GTTGTGTATTTACTGGTGTTTAATCTCTGGTTGGGTTGTGTATTTACTGGTGTTTTAGCTCTAATTGGGTTGTATATTTACTGGGGTTTTATCTCTGGTTGGGTCGTATATTTACTAGTGTTTTATCTCTAATTGGGTCGTATATTTACTGGTATTTTATCTCTAATTGGGTCGTATATTTACTGGTATTTTATCTCTAATTGGGTCGTATATTTACTGGTATTTTATCTCTAATTGGGTCGTATATTTACTGGTATTTTATCTTTAATTGGGTTGTATATTTACTGGTGTTTTATCTCTGGTTGGGTGGTATATTTACTGGTGTTTTATCTCTAATTGGGTCGTATATTTACTGGTATTTTATCTCTAATTGGGTCGTATATTTACTGGTATTTTATCTCTAATTGGGTCGTATATTTACTGGTATTTTATCTCTAATTGGGTCGTATATTTACTGGTATTTTATCTCTAATTGGGTTGTATATTTACTGGTGTTTTATCTCTGGTTGGGTGGTATATTTACTGGTGTTTTATCTCTGGTTGGTGGTATATTTACTGGTGTTTTATCTCTGGTTGGGTCGTATATTTATTGGTGTTTTATCCCTTGTTGGGTCGTATATTTATTGGTGTTTTATCCCTTGTTGGGTCGTATATTTATTGGTGTTTTATCCCTTGTTGGGTTGTATATTTACTGTGTGTGTGTGGGGGGGGGATCAACCTGCTGTAGCCTGATTACATTGGACTGACATGGTTAGACGGTCCAGGTGTTGGGGAGTTGGAGCGGAATGAGGCTACTATGTTAGCAGCTACTAGTATCTGCCACACAGTGGTCAGGGGGAGAGATCTCTAAAGTGTAACAGGACCAACAGGGACCAGGTCTGTTCTGGTCTGGGTCCCTATTTATGAATCACTTACTCCTCCTCTATCCGTTTATCTGAGCAACAAGGACTCAAAACCTTTCTGTTACTCAGAAAGCTTCCTTCTCTTTCTTTGTCTGGACACTCACTGGACATACTGGTTGACACAATCGTGGACACAGGACATACTGGTGTCCCCATAGTGGGAACACAGGACATACTGGTGTCCCCATAGTGGGAACTGTGGAGATATTGGCTTCACTATAGTAGGAACTCTGGACATACTGGTGTTCTCAGCAATGTTTATGCTAACACCTGATGTCATCTGTGTCTCTGCAGAAGTATCGTTACCAAGACGATGTGACTCCACCTGTCGACCCCAGCTCCGGTCACATGACCCACGGACGTAGCAACGAGCTGAGCCACGCACACCTGGACGGATACACAAACCCTGCCGCACTCACCGTACGCAAACACAAGCACACAGAGACACGGACACACACAGTGTGGCTGCACTTCACTTCCCACAGCGCAGTCGTCAGTCCAACAGGGTCCAAAGTTGATTTATTTATTCCACTGAGGATCAAAGAGGGTCTGATGGTTCCTCCACCAGAGGGCGCAGTCTAACCAAAAAGATACCAGGCCTTGACTCGTCCTTCAATGGCTTGGAGAGGTTTGGGAGGTCCCCGAGGAAGTTTCGAAGGTACTCAAGAGTTTTGTATGGCCCTCGTAGAGATTTGGGAGGTGCTTGAGGAGGTTCCTAATGTGCTTGGGGGTCTTGTATTGGCCTTTGAGAGGTTAAGAAGGGTGTTGAGGGGCTTCTTAAGGTCCTTGATGGTCTTGTAGTCTGCTGGTATCTGTGATCTGAGGTCAGCTGTCTCTGTTATTACGGTTCACACTTAGCTGTGATCAGTTCTACAGCCAGAGGGAGTTCATCTCTGTTAATTACTGACACACACACACACACACACACACACACACACACACACACTGAGCGTGGGATGCTCGTGCCCACTCTGAATGTGATGCATCCTTTTTTTTTGCTCGGCCATCACCATGGCGACGACAATGGTGGGAGGGGGGAGCAGAAGGAGAGTTACCATGCAACAACATTAGCCTGAACGTGTTGTCTGCTAAAATTATTCTTTTCTGTCAGAACTAATTTAGTGTCTCATCTCTCTCTCTCTCTCTCTCTCTCTCTGTCACTGTCTCTCTCTCTCTCTCTCTCTCTCGTCACCTGTCTCTCTCTCTCTCTCTCCTTCTCTCTCCTCGTCACCTGTCTCTCTCTCTCTCTCTCTCGTCACCTGTCTCTCTCTCTCTCCTCTCTCGTCAACTGTCTCTCTCCTCTCTCTCTCCTCTCTCTCTCTCTCGTCACCTGTCTCTCTCTCTCTCTCTCTCTCGGTCACCCTGTCTCTCTCTCCTCTCTCTCTCTCTCTCTCTCTCTCTCTCTCTCGTCACCTGTCTCTCTCTCTCTCTCTCTCGTCACCTGTCTCTCTCTCTCTCTCGTACCTGTCTCCTCTCTCTCTCTCGTCACCTGTCTCTCTCTCTCCTCTCTCTCTCTCTCTCTCTCTCTCTTTAACCTCCCCTCGCTGGGCAGGCGGAATAATGACGTCACAAAGGGGATGGGATTCCTTCAGAGAGAGAGAGAGAGAGAGAGTGTGGTAGAGAGACATAGACCCTCTGAGGCTGTGCAGTGGAGCGTCGAGCAGAGAGAGGAAGAGGAGGAAGAGGAGGATGACAGAGAGCCAGAAACAGCCTCTTTCTCTTTCTGTGTTCTCTTCTCGTTGGAATTCGATCGTTCTTCATTCCTCTTCATCTCACAAAAGGTTCTTCTGGTTTGTCACCTCTCTCTTTCTCTCTCTCTGTCCCCCTGTCTCTCTGGGTGAATGAGGGAGGAATGAGTGATGTGCCAAGCTGTCAGTCATGTGGGACGCTTCGTTGACGGGTCCAGGAGACGACACCTAACGAGTTTCTTTTTCTGCTGAGAGATCCCCCCCCTCTTTTCTGTTGGCTTGTTAATTATTCATCCGTCACTCCATCATCTTTATGTAACGCCGTCCTCCTGAAGAGAGAGAGACAGGGAGAGTGAGTGAGACAGGGAGGGATGTTTGTGTCCGTGTGGTACGCTAAGAAGATGGGAAGACGATTCATCAACAACGTGAGGCGAGCAAAGAGACACAGGCAGAGGATGATGGTAGGACCTCTTTCATTGACCGTAATGGCTCTGATTGGACCGGGGGGGAGGGGCCTGTAGAGGAACCGACTGTGCTGTTTCTTTCTCCCATTGGACCGCGTCTGGTTTTATCTGTCTCATGGTTCTCATGGTGCTCACATCCCGGACCTGGCTAACGCTACTTAGCAACGCGACTGTTAGCTTCAGGTGAGCGTAGCACCGTGCTTCATTCTTGTATTCATTTACTTTAATTAGGCTTCGTTCGTCTTTCATGAGCTGATTTTAATAAGCTACTAGACTGTTCTTGGTGATCCAGACTCATGTCTCAGAGAGACAGAGACAAAGACAGAGAGCTGTCATGGGAAGTGAAGAGCTTCCCTGTGAACTGTAACTGCCTCTTTCTCTCTCTGTTATGTAACTGAAGCTCTAGAGACAAACACAGCAAGTGGTGTAGTGACGACAGCTGTGCAGCCCTTCAGGACAGAGAGACGGACAGAGAGACGTGTTGGTTCATGAACTCCCTGTAGTTGATGTAACCTTTAACATCTTCACTTGCAGACGTTGAACTGAAGACAGGATGTTGTTGTTGTTGTTATTGTCAAACCTGGTGAAGGAGTTGATTCATAGAAAGGTGAAACTCTGAGGAACATTAACGTGTTGGCCAGTGACAAGCCAGAGATTCATCAAATGTGTCTCATGTTGAGTTGGTTTTCCTTCAGCAGCTCTTCAATAACCTTTTGCCGTCCCGACACGAGCTGTGATCCAGTGACCTCCAGCTTGTGTCAGTGTTTCTGTTGTAAAACACTCGGACGTGATGTAATAATCATGTTGTGGAAGACAAAATGTGACAGAGAGAAGGAGGGATGGGTGGTCGCCATAGCTACAGTAGTAGTTGCCTGGTAACCGCCCCCCTGAGGGCTCGACAGCAGTTACCATGGCGTTGCCGTGGAGACGAGCAGTCGGCAGAGAGAAAGCGATGCTGCATGTGATTAAAATCTTTTTCTGTTTTCACAGATGAACGGATCAGAAGGAGAACTGGAGTATGAAGAGATCACTCTGGAGAGGGTGAGACACGTAACACACACACACACTATATATGATACACAAACATGCACTGTCACTTTAAACAAACAAACTCCATGCACTATACGTACATTTACACACACACACACACTATATACCAGGGGTGCCCACACTTTTCCGGCTCGCAAGCTACTTTTCAGCTAAGCAGGCCGTGGGGATCCCCCCTCCGCCCGAGGACCGCCCGGCGGGCTGAACGCCCGAGTCGATATGAAGAAAGGAAGGAGCCTCTCATCTTTCAGAAGGATGGAGCCGCCACAAGCATCCCGCACATTTTTAGTCATTACCTTATTGGCGTCAGCCTGGGTTGCTTTGGAATGAAATGAAATGCCTCCGTTAGTAAGCAAGGATCGCTAATTAGCATTAGCATTAGTTTTGGTCGGCATTCTTTTATCGATGGCACGCAATCTACTGGTACTGCCTTCACGATGGACTGGCTATTGGGCACCTTGCTATATACTATACACCAGTGTTGGCCTTCTGTACTGGCCTAAAAACAATCACAAAGCTAATTCATCATTTTTTTATTTTTATAATTACACCACGTGTATTAAAACAGTTTTCTCATTGCACAACTCCTGTCTTCCTCTGCTGTTTCCTGTTCAGCTTGCTTTACCGAAAGTTTTTATCCAATCAGATTCAGCCCCTGTGTCTCTATGTAAGAGAGACCGGCGGTCCTCTAAGTACACCCTAATTAATTCAATTCAATTCATTTTATTTTGTAGAGCCCAATATCGCAAATTACAGATTTGCCTCAGAGGGCTTTACAGTCTGTACACATACGACATCCTCTGTCCCGAAACCTTCACATCGGCACAGGATGTTAAAGAATTAAAGTCCGTGGGGACCATGTTGTTGTTTATCATAGTCTTCAATCAATCAGATCTTTAGTTTCACATGTTGGCCGTATTCTTTGACGTGCCAGCAGGACCGAGGTGGCCTCATGAGTACGTTTGCAATAACGTGCACCTTCTGTCCAAAAGAAAACTAGCTAGCAGATCTCAGTATTTACTTCAGGATAAACTTAAACAGTGAACTGCTTTAAATGTGTTTCTTAAATCTGCAGTAGCTGTTAATTTGTCTGTTGTTTTTATTATATGACTTATTATGTGAGTTTGCTCTTGTCATTGAGTTATTGATTTGATTATCCATTGTTCATTAATTACGCAGCAAACACATCATGACGTGTTCATGTTCCGGCAGTTTGTGTTGAACTTCATGTAACATTTTGTTTCACTTTAAATGCTACCATGTTATCTGTGTTAATATAAGATGTTTACACAAAACAAACAATAACCTGTAACACACCTGTGTTAGTGTGTGTTATCGTGTGTATTATGTGTGTTAATGAGTTGATGTGTGTACCTCCAGGGTAACTCCGGTCTGGGCTTCAGCATCGCAGGAGGAACTGATAATCCTCACATCGGAGACGACCCATCCATCTTCATCACTAAGATCATCCCGGGAGGAGCAGCTGCTCAGGATGGACGCCTGAGGTACCAGCGGCAGCACCTAGACCAGGACCTGGTTCTACCCTGGGCCAGGATTTTTCAATGTTGCAGCAGTGATTGTGCTCCCAGTGTCCAGATCTGGACTGCTTTCTCTCTGATCTCGCCGGATGGCCACTACTGCTTGAATACCGTTACTTAGACACCGTTCCCAGAGCCACTCCCCCTCGCTGACCCCACCGCAGACCCCCACCCCCCGTCAGGGGGGGGGGGGCATCTGCTCTAACCTACTACCCCCCCAACCCCCTTCCTGAGAGTGGGAGAGGAAATCAGCCACAGCCGTTTGCGCCCCCGGCCTATGGACCACCTTGAAATCAAAGGGCTGTAACCCCAGATACCACCGAGTGATCCGGGCGTTGGCATCTTTCGTGCGGTGGAGCCATTGGAACTGTGCGTGGTCTGAACAGAGGGTGAATGAGCGTCCCAGGAGGTAGTAGAGCAGGGAGTTGACCACCCACCGGATGGTCAGGCACTCCTTCTCCACCGTGCTGTACCTGGCCTCCTTTTCGGGACAGCTTCCGGCTGATGTACAACACTGGGCGGTCAACCACCCCCACCTCCAGGGACAAAATGGTCCCCAGCCCCCTGTCCGATGCGTTGGTCTGCAGAGTAAAGGGGGGGGAGAAAAGTTAGGAGTGTGGAGGAGTGGTTCCGCACATAGAGTGTTTTACCTTCTCAAACGCCAACTGCTGCTGCTGCTGCTCCGACCACTGAACCGGATCTGACGTGAGGTCCACCTGTAATACCCCGCCAGCCCCAAAAATCGCCTCACTTTTTCGTCTTGGGCCGGGGGCATGCCACGATAGCTGCCGTCTTGCCCACCTAAGGGCGCATCTGGCTGCCCCCCAAGTGGTACCCCAAATACCATACCTCCATCCATCCAACTGCACACTTCCCCGGGTTGGTGGTGAGCCCAGCCTGTCTCAGGGAGTCCAGCAACAGGCCCACCTGCTGCTGACTCGACTGCAGCTGAGGCCAAGCTTCCACCTGGCACTGTTCCCTGAGCCACTCCCCCTCTCTGTCCCCTCTGCAGCCGAGCCAAACCACGCCTGCCACCTCAAACATAAGCCTGGTTCTACCTTAGAATTGGTTATACCCGCTTAGAACCCTCTACGGTTCGTCTGTTGTTCCTCTGACAATCCTTTAAGGTTCCGCTGTTGTTCTCACATCTCTACCCGTTCTAACATAACCTTGGTTCTAACCCTTAACCCGGTCTGAACGCTTTAACAGTCCTTTGACGTTGCTCTAACCTCCTGTTATGTTCTTCTGTAGAACTCACATCGCTGCCCTTCGTCTTTGTCTCCAGGGTGAACGACAGCATTGTGTTCGTTAACGATGTGGACGTGCGTGAGGTCACTCACTCCATTGCCGTTGAGGCGCTGAAGGAGGCGGGACCTGTCGTCAGACTGTACGTCCTGCGGCGACGCCCACCCAGCGAACGTGTCACACAGATCAAACTGATGAAAGGGCCCAAAGGTAGGAAAGGAGATGAGGCCCTTTGAGTCTCGTCTGCTTCTGGTTTAGTAAGAACCGTCCTCACGTGACTCCTCGGGTCTTTGTGTCCCATTCTGGTGAAGGTCTGGGCTTCAGTATTGCGGGTGGAGCAGGAAACCAACACGTTCCTGGAGACAACAGCATCTACGTCACCAAGATCATTGAGGGCGGAGCGGCGCACCGCGACGGACGGCTACAGATAGGAGACAAGATACTAGCGGTAAGAATAAAATCGCCCTCACAAGTTCTCGCGATACCTCATTAGTCCTCAATATCACTCAAAAGTCCTCATGAGTCCTCATGAATCCTTGTATGATCTGACCTTTGACCTCAAAAGGTGAACCACGTCTCCCTGGAGGACGTCCTGCACGAAGATGCCGTGGTTGCCCTGAAGAACACGGGGGAGGTGGTCTACCTGAAGGTGGCCACGCCCAACTCGCAGTACATCCACCAGAGCGATCGATACAGCCCCCCCGACCTCACCAGCTGTACGTACACTTCCTGTTTAATGGTTGTGTGTGAAACCACAGTTTTACCAATGGAGTTTCATTTGGTCGGCGCTATGCTAATCTAAGATATGCTACGCTAAGGCTTAGGCTGCACAGATCGCATTACCTAGGATATCAGCCGGGCCCTCTGGCACTGGGTCCGGCTTGCCTGGCTGGGTGGTCCGTAGTGGTCTAGTGGCCCATTGTTTGTTCTGTCCCGGCTAGTCCGGTGCACTGAATCTGGTGTGAAGACCTGGATGAGGCCACTAAGGGGGTCCAGCAGGACTTACATGTCACCCGCTTCATTTCAGCCTACATGGAGCCGGACTACATGTGCGACTACCCCCAAGTCCTCCCTCCTCCCTCACCAAGGCGATACTCACCCATACCCAGAGGCATGATGGGAGACGATGACTATTCTCGGGAGCCCCGCCGGGTCTGCGTCCAACGGGGATCCACAGGTCTGGGGTTCAATATCGTGGGGGGGGAGGATGGAGAGGGGATCTTCATCTCCTTCATCCTGGCAGGAGGACCAGCAGACCTGAGTGGAGAGCTCCGAAAGGGAGACCAGATCCTCAGTGTGAGTGCAGAGACCAGGTCCTTCTTTGGAGGTGTAGATATATCAATGACTGTGTGTGTCTCCCTGTGTGTGTGTGTTTGTCTCGGTGGGTGTGCGCTTCGTGTGTTCCCAGGTAAACGGTGTGGATCTCAGGTATGCGACTCATGAACAAGCTGCAGCAGCTCTGAAGAACGCCGGTCAGACCGTCACCATCGTAGCCCAGTATAGACCTGAAGGTAATACTAGTGTTACTTTACTAGTAGTACTACTACATCATACTAATGGTATTGAAACAGTACGCTATTTGTATTACTACATCATGTTATGATTCTACTAAATCCTACAAGTAGTATTACTACCTAATGCTAGAAGTATTGCCTCTTTTTACTGGGGGTAATACTACATCATAGTAGTGGTATTACTACATCATACTAATGGTATTAATATATCACGCTAGTAGTACTACATCATACTCATGGTATTAATACATCATGCTAGTGGTATTACTACCCCATGTTAGTAGTATTAATACATGACACTAATATTATTACCATCTCATACTACTGCTCCATGATGCAAGTGGTATTACTACTTCAAGCTAGTGGTATTAGTACATACTATAGTGGTATTAACTCCTGCTAGTAATACAATAACAGTAGTACCTTTTACTCTTTTTCTTTTTGCAGAGTACAGTCGCTTCGAAGCAAAGATCCACGACCTGAGAGAGCAGATGATGAACAGCTCCTCCGGGAGTCTAAGGACCAACCGCAGCTTCTACCTCAGGTGAGATGGGTCACCTGGTCCGGTCCAGTAGGATGAACCAGGACCAGGTGAGCTAGAAGAAACAGGACCAGATTCTGACTGAGCTGCGTCTTGGTTTCAGGGCGCTTTTTGACTACGACAAGCAGTGGGACTGCGGCGTTCTGTCCCAGGCTCTGGACTTTAACTTTGGGGAGGTTCTCCACGTGATGGACAGCAGCGATGACGAGTGGTGGCAGGCCCGACGGGTGAACCAGCAGGGGGAGCTGGAGGAGCTGGGCTTCATCCCCTCCAAGCACAGGTCCGTAGAACCCGCTCTGCCATCGGTGACGGCTGCTCGATGACGGGCCACCGGTGACCCTCGGTGACCTTCGGTGACCCTCGGTGATCATATGTTTCAGGGTGGAGAGGAAAGAGTGGTCGAGGATGAAGAGCAACGGAAGAGAAGGCTTCGTTCACAGCTACGAGCTCATCACTCAGATCGAAGGTCAGTGTCGCCTCTGACCTTTGATCTTTACACAAAGTGAAAAGTTAAAACTATCAGAGAAGCAATACAGCTACAAAGACACAAAGAGACACAAAGTAACCACAAAAAGACACAAAGTCACTAATAGATAAAAAGAGATCACAACACCTCCAAATCTGAGGCCATGGTGCTCTGCTGGAAACCAGTGGAGTGCTCTCTCACGGTGAGGATGGACATCCCAAGGAGGTCTCGGGGTCTTGTTCAGGAGTACGTGAAGGATGGATTAGGACATCGACAGGCAGAAACTGGTGCTGCGCTGTACTATCTTGGCAAGAGAGCTGAGCCGGAGGGCAAAGTTCTTAATTTACCGTGTGGTTTACCTTCCGACCCTCATCTATGGTCACAAACTCTGGGGATCTGGGACTGAAAAAGAGATTGGGTTAGTCCGTCGTGGAGAGACAGTCAGGAGCTCAGCTTTAGAGAGGGGTATGGAGTCCGTCTTGAATACGACCATAAAGAGAGCCGCATAGAGGACAGACCTCCCGGAGATCCATATCCGTCCTGCTTAGCACACCAGTGTGATGATCAGGACAACGCCACAGACTGTGTTCTTCCTCTGTGCTTTATGTCTCTCAGGTGTCTCTGTGTGTCCACCAGGTGTCTGTTGGGGTCTCTGTGTGTCCTCCAGGTGTTGAGCATTTGTCTCTCTGTCTCCGTAGTGGACTACGCTCGTCCTGTCATCATTCTGGGTCCGACCAAAGACCGAGTCAACGACGACCTGCTCTCAGAGTTCCCAGACAAGTTTGGCTCCTGCGTCCCCCGTAAGTGTTGTTGAAACGAGACGCGCCACACAGACGAACGGGAAGTGATGTCACGTCCTCTGTCCGCAGACACCACCCGCCCACGGAGGGACTACGAGGCGGATGGGCGGGACTATCACTTTGTGTCGTCACGGGAACAGATGGAGCGGGACATCCAGTCCCACCGCTTCATCGAGGCGGGGCAGTACAACAACCACCTGTACGGGACGTCGGTGCAGAGCGTTCGACAGGTGGCCGAGCAGGTGAGACAAGTCCCGGCTGCTCCATGCCCCATGTTGAAGTGTCCTTGAGCAAGACACCTAATGGCTCCCCGGGCAAAAATGTAAAAAGTCATGGGTTCAAAATGCAATGGAATTTTGGATAAAAGCGTCCGCTAAATGACCTGTAATGTAAATTAAGGTGAACCCTGCGTCGAGCTGATGATGTGGTGCTTTGTGTCACCAGGGGAAACACTGCATCCTGGACGTGTCGGCCAACGCCGTGAGGAGGCTGCAGGCGGCTCAGCTCCAACCCATCGCCATCTTCATCCGCCCTCGATCCCTGGAGAACATTCTGTAAGTCAGTGAAGTCAACAGGGAGGTCAACATGCTCTCAACGCTGTTTCACTGGGAGAGACAATGATTTGCTATATTAGCAACACCATCTGTGTGTGTGTGTGTGTGTGTGTGTGCAGGGATCTAAACAAGCGTCTCTCAGAGGATCAGGCGAGGAAAGCTCTGGATCGAGCCATGAAACTGGAACAAGACTTCCTTGAGTGTTTCTCAGGTAAAAACAAATCTTCATTTAACATTACAGATGAACGTTATGGGTTCAGAGTGAGGCTAACTGTGTGTGTGTGTGTGTGTGTGTGTAGCCATCGTGCACGGCGACAGCTTCGAGGAGGTGTACCACCTGGTCAAAGCCGTCATCGAGGAGCAGAGTGGTCCGTACATCTGGGTTCCTGCTCGGGACAGACTGTGATTGGACAGCGATTGGCGCCGTCGAAACATCCTGCTCATGCTCCTCCCCTTAACTCCACATGCTCTTCATCATGCTTCTTCTCTTCTTCCTCACGCTCCTCCCCCCGATGCTCTCGGTGGTGTCCACTGATGGAGAGCAGGCATTTGTCTTCTTACAGTTTTCTTTTCTTTCAATGAGATGGCGACCATTGATTGGATGGATGCTGTAGCTTCTTGAAGGAGAGGGCACCTGTCTGTCTCTCCACCTGTCTGCCTCTGTACCTGTCTGTCTGTGTCAGAGGACAATATGGAGGGAGACACATGGTCAATTACTTGATTGATTCTGTATTATCATTCGATAATGAATCGGTTCAGTTGGTAATGAAGTATTTATAATATCCTATTTATTTAATGATTTATCTATTTATTTATGTGACGTGAAAGTGGCGTGAGCGCGCGCGCGTGTGTGCGTGCGTGCGTGCGTGCGCGTGTGTGTGTGTGTGTGTGCGTGTGTGTGTGTGTGTGTGTGTGCGTGCGTATGTGTGTGTGTGCGTGCGTATGTGTGTGTGTGCGTGCGTGTGTGCGTGTGTGTAGTGTACATAAAGACTTGTGTGACTGTAAATAAAACTATGGGGCTCAAACACAGTCTATTCAGGGCTTAAACTATCAAGCACTAAACTACGATACCCAAAATCCCCCTCGGAACGCACCACTACCCTCCCCCCCTCTGCCTGGACTACAACCCCAATGGTCTCCTTCTCTTTGGACTACAAACCCCACAATCCTCTGTTGCAAGAGACAGTTTTTGCCAAGCAGCAACGAAAAGGTGAACCTGAAACTGAACAAACACTTTTTGAGCAGGAGCCTATGGACTACATTACCCAGAGTTCCCAGCTCCAGTGATAAACGGACTACATTACCCAGACCGAGCTACAGATCTGTCTACCCACAATCCCTGGCTACGGACCGGTCCACGTGATCCCTTGACCAGAAAGCTCAAAATATCTTCTGAGGGGGCGGCTAACTATATCATTACATCATTACATCATCTTATCATTACATCATCATATCATTTGTCAGACACACAGGGTTTAGGAGGGGGGGCTGAGTACTGGCAGAAACACTTTTAGACTTGTATCGGGGTATTTATTAGCCTGTGACACACACACAGCGGGCTGTCCGATATGTTGTAAAATTAGTTCTAAATGAAATTAAAATATTGAAATAAATTCCGTATAAAACCTGCATGTGTTTGAAGTGTCTGATTAGTACGTTGATGTCACGTGACATCTGCTGAGAGTCGACCAGAATCAAACCTGTCAGTCGTCTCCTCCGTCAGCAGAGAGAGACGACGTTCTCACACACAGAAATTGATGAGAAACCGATGAAGGTTGAAGTGATGTGGACACAGGGGCTAAGGAGAGGAAACTCGTCTTTTGCTCCATCGTCTCACAGAACCTTCCAGTGAACATCTCAATCCACGCTGCTTTACCATTGACTTAACTACAACCGAACAGAAGATAAAGTAATGCTGAACAGCATTTATGGTGAAGCTCCTTCAACTCACAAAGCTGCAACATGTAAAATAACCTGGAAACACTCACGCGACATCACTGGACCCCGTCCACCTCGTGGTCCGATGGACCAGTGTGTCTGTGCACGAACATCACGTCCAACTCTTCTTGGGTAGACTTCTGCTGATCTGTCCCCCCCGGTGATGTTTAGCGATCCGATTGCTTCTCTTTGCGACGACGGGTCTGAGAAGAGGATCAGACGAAAATAAATGAGCAGATAAACGTACTGAGAAGACATCGTATACACGATCAAATCATCATTTACTTTTTAGTCTGTTTACATTTACCTCTCTGTGGAATTATTGGGAAGCAGTTTATTCCTTCTAGTGTTTGTTCTGGGGTTCCATTCACTGTCCTATTCCATGTCCTGTCCACGTGACAGCTGGAGAGACACCCCGTTCTTCATTTCTTCTCTGCAGGGTTGTTCTTCAGGTTCTACAGCCTGAGAGCTGCTGATCTCTACAGCACCAGAAGCCTGCTGCTCCTCAGCTCAGCTCTTCTCATCTTTTTTTCTTACTTTGAGCCGGTGCAGACATTGGGTACGACCACGGGTCCTATGAGGACACCACATGTCCAGCTCGAAGCCTCCGAGCTGTCCCCAGCTGGTGCTCAGCAGGTAAGAGCTCTTCTCGTGCTTCACACTCAGGGATACCTCCACGTTCCTAGTCCAGGAACATGAACACCTGCCGCCTCAGAGACTGGATGGGCCCAAGTCCCAACCCGCCCTGAAGAATCACAGATAGTTAAAGTGTCACACCGGCTCCTGATTGATCGGATGAAATATTACAGTGACAAAAACACCAGTAATCATCTGTTTTTGTGTGTTTTAGGTCACATGATGAATTCTTTGTCACTAAAATTTCTGCCCTTAGATCCTCACTCCCCCAGCATGTTTCAGTCTGGTTTTAAGCCTCTTCACAGCACCGAAACAGCTCTTTTAAAAGTTTTAATGATCTTCTTTTAAACCATGACTCTGGTAACAGTGCCTTTTTAATGCTTTAAGATCTCACAGCAGCATTTGCCACAGTGGATCACACTATCCTCTTGTCCCGCCTCGAGCACTGTGGGCATTAGAGGTTCTGCTCTAGAGTGGTTTAAATCCTACCTTGCAGATAGATCCTTCTGTGTACAATTGGGGACGTTTTCCTCCTCAGTGGCCCCTCTGACCTGCGGAGTCCCCCAGGGGTCAGTTCTAGGCCCTCTACTGTTCTCCTTGTATATGCTACCCCTGGGGTCGATATTTACGAAGCATGGAATGCCTTTCCATTGCTTTGCTGATGATGTGCAGGTGTACTTGCCACTAAAGGCCCCCTCTAAGGAATCCCTTCATCCATCCATCCATCCATCCATTTTCAACCGCTTATCCGGGGTCGGGTCGCGGGAGCAACAGCTCCAGCAGGAGACGCCAGCCACTCTCCTGAGGAAACCCATTTTGGCCGCTTGTACCACCGGAAACGCTTTTGACTTACTGCCGAGCACCCAAACACAGCTCTCGCTTTGGGAGTACAAGGATTGGATGGCCCCAAGCAAGGACCCCCTCACCCCGTACTCCCGCAGCACCTCCCACAGTTTCTCTCGGGGGACCCGGTCATACGCCTTCTCCAAGTCCACAAAACACATGTAGACTGGATGAGCATACTCTCAAGCCCCCTCTATGATCCTGGAAAGAGCTGGTCCGTTGTTCCACGACTAGGACGAAAACCGCATTTTTCCTCTTCAATCCTTGGTTCGACTATCGGCCGAACCCTCCTTTCCAGCACCTTAGAGTAGACTTTACCCGGGAGGCTGAGTAGTGTGATACCCCTGTAATTGGCACACACTCTCTGGTCCCCCTTTTTGAAGAGGGGTACCACCACCCCGGTCTGCCACTCTTTTGGCACTGTCCCAGACTTCCACGCAATGTTGAAGAGGCGTGGCGAGACCTCCACCAGGCCAATTGACGATGATCCCTCCTCCACCTCCAGCTCCGCCCCTACCAAAGAGGGCGTAGTAGTTGGGTTCAGGAGTTCCTCAAAGTGTTCCTTCCACCGCCCGATAACCTCCTCAGCTGTGCACAGCTTGGATGGTTCCCCGTTTCCCCCCCTGAGGTGCCGGATGGTCCTCCAGAAGCACTTTGGTGCCGACCGAAAGTCCTTCTCCATAGTTACCCCAAACTCCTCCCATACTCGCTGCTTTGCCTCCATCACGGCAGAGGCTGCTGCCCTTCGAGCCTGTCGGTACACTGCAACTGCCTCCGGAGTCCCACCAGATATCATAACCCAGAAGGCCTCCTTCTTCAGTCAGACGGCTTCCCTGACCACCGGTGTCCACCACGGGGTTCGAGGGTTACCGCCCCTTGATGCACCTAAGACCTTGAGGCCACAACTCACTGCCGCGGCTTCAGCGATGGAGGTTTTGAACATACACCACTCTGGTTCAATGTCCCCTACCTCCACAGGAATGTGAGAGAAGCTCTGCCGGAGGTGTGAGTTGAAAATCTTTTGGACCGGAGCCTCCTCCAGACGTTCACCCTCACTACACGCTTGGGTTTACCGGGTCTGTCCGGAGTCTTCCCCCATCCTCTGACCCAGCTCACAACCAGATGGTGATCAGTTGACAGCTCTGCCCCTCTCTTTACCCGAGTGTCCAGAACATGCAGCCTCAGATCAGACGATACGATTACAAAATCGATCATTGATCTTTGGCCTAGGGTGCTCTGGTACCACGTACAATTATGAACATCCTTATGTTCGAACATGGTGTTTGTTATGGACAATCCGTGACTGGCACAGAAGTCCAGTAACAAACACCCGCTCGGGTTCAGATCAGGGAGGCCATTCCTCCCAATCACGCCTCTCCAGTTATCTCCATCGTCGCCCACGTGCGCATTGAAGTCTCCCAGTAGGACTATGGAGTCCCCTACTGGAGCCCCATGCAGGACTCCATTCAGGGTCTCCAAAAAGGCAGTCAGAGTTTTCCCTCCCACCACCCGAAAGCGTAGGGAGGCGACCCTTTTGTCCACCGGGGTAAACTCCAATGTAGCAGCACTCAGCCGGGGACTTATGAGTATTCCAGAGCCAGCATCTGCCGCCCAGGTCTGTTCCGTCTAGACCCCGCACTGTCACTGCCACCCTTGTAGCAGCGCACCCGACCCCATCGGTTTCCTCCACAGGTGGTGAGCCCACGGGGAGTAGAGTCTTGGGCTGCCGCGTCACTCCTTCGGGCTGTGCCCGGCCAGGCTCCGCGGCAAGCCCGGCCACCAGACGCTCGCTGTCGGGCCCTCCATCTGGGCCTGGCTCCAAATGGGGGCCCCGGGCTTCCTCCGGGCCGGGTAACTCCTTCCCTCTTCCATTTTTTCATGGGGTCTTTTTGAACCATTCTTAGTCTGGCCCCTCGCCTGAGACCACTTTGCCAAGGGTAACCCTACCAGGAGCACAAGGCTCCCGACAACACAGCCCTCAGGGTCATAGGGACACACAAACCTCTCCACCACGATAAGGTGACGGTTCCCAGAGAGGTGCTGTGTTTAATTGTATGACGGACATTAAAACATGGATGGACCGAAACAGCTTAAAACTAAATGAAAACAAAACAGAGATTGTGCTATTTGGTCGCCCTGACTTGATCCAGGTCCATGCCAGGTCCCTTGGCCCACTAGCACCATACACAGGTTCCCAGGCCAGAAACCTTGGTGTGATTATTGATGGGGCGTTTAAATTGGACAAGCAGGTCAGCTCTGTGGTTGAGGCTAGCTTCTTCCAGTTTCGGCTTCTAGCCAAAGTCCAACCCGATCTAAACAGGGCTGACCTCGAAAAAGTCATGCATGCTTTTATATCTTCGCGTTTGGACTATTGCAACTCCCTGTAAGTTGGTATCGGCCAATCAGAACTCAACCGTCTACAGCTTGTGCAGAATGCAGCAGCCCGTCCTCCTTTAAGAATCTTTTATGTGTTTTTAAGTCTCTGCATGGACTGGTCCCAGAATATTTATCCAGCCTTATTAATGTGCATCAACCCTCCAGAGCGCTGAGGTCAGCTGACCAGCTGGTTCTGAACGTTCCTCGGTTGTTCCTTAAAACAAAAGGAGATGGAGCCTTCGCAGTAGCGGCTCCCAGACTGTGGAACGCTTTGGCATTTTCTGTGCGGTCTGCGACGAGCCTCTACTTTTAAAACTCGCCTTAAGACTCACTTGTTCACGTTGGCCTTTGGCTGAGTTAAGTCACCTGCATCGATCTTTTATGTGTTTGCCTTTAACTGTTTTTTTCTTGTTTGTTTGTTTTACGTTTTCTTGTATTGTTTTATTGATGCTGATTGTTTTTATCCTGTAAAGCACTTTGGCTGGCCACTGGCCTTTAAAAGTGTATGAATAAAATTGACATTGACATTGACATCCACAGACGTGAGGTCACGCGACAAAATATTAATTTGATAGAAGAAAAAAAGTCAATCCTGTATCAGATTAATCTAACATTTACACAGATTTGATTCATTGAAAAGGAGAATGTGAATGTATGTATTTGAAATAATTGAATGTTCAATAATGTAATATGAAAATGTAACAATATGAAAATAATTGAATGCTTGAATGAATCATTCATAAAACAGACCTGGTTAGTCTGGCTGCACAGGCAATGCCCTTCACAATAAAAGTCTGAGAGCACATTAGAACATAGAACTAACGAGGCTTCGTCTGCTGTAACAGCTCCTGATGATGTCACGCACACTGAACTTCCTGTCTCACGGAAGGTCAAAGGTCAAACACAATGAGAGCAATTCTTGCAGAGGGGAATATTTAATAAGTATTTTTACAAAATCTGCCAATAGAATAAAATACAGAATAAAGATCAGTGTGTATCAGCGTGCACCAGTGTGCGTGTTGTGTTGATCAGTGTGTATCAGCGTGCACCAGTGTGCGTGTTGTGTTCATCAGTGTGTATCAGCGTGCACCAGTGTGCGTGTTGTGTTCATCAGTGTGTATCAGCGTGCACCAGTGTGCGTGTTGTGTTCATCAGTGTGTATCAGCGTGCACCAGTGTGCGTGTTGTGTATGCTCCACACCCCCCCCTTCAGGGCGTTGGCAGCCCCTTGCAGCGTCCAGGTGAAGAAGGCGAGTTGTCGTCTGAAGCGTTTCTCGTCAAAGCGTTTGGGGTCAGAGGTCAGCAGGGTCAGGTGCTCACTGAGCGCGCTCAGAGTGAGGTCGCCACGGCCGTGGATCACATGACGGAACGGCGACTCCACCACGGACACGTACTGAGACAGGAAGTAGTATTCCACCTGCAGCACAGACAGAATACTACAGGAAGGGTTTTCTGTACTAGTACCCTCATGACCAGCACCAGAGAACGGGTTTAACGTACTAGTACTTCCATGACCCATGTAACAGGGAGGGTTTGATGTACTGGTACCTTCATGACCCATTTCAAATGGAGGTTTTGATGTTTTAGTACCATCATGACCCATAGCAGAAACAGGGTTTGTAATACTTGTACCTTCATGATGAGAGTTGTAGTAGAGAGCAGTATCAGTAGTGTTTGATGTAGTGTTCTATATATTAATAGAGGTGTGTGATGTACTAGTAGAGGGGTTGACATACTAATAGAGGTAATTGAAGTACCAGTAGAGGGGTTTGATGTACTAGTGGAGGGTTTTAATATATCAGTGGAAGAGTTTGGTGTACCAGTAGATGGGTTTGATGTACTCTTAGAGGTGTTTGATGTACTTGTACCCTCATGATACGGGTGTTGTAGTAGCGTGCGGCCGTCGGGTCGTGCAGGTCGCTGTACTCAATGGCTCTCTGCAGTGTCTCAGCTGCTCGGCTGTAGTCTCCTCTGGCACTGAAGACCCAGAGAGGCGACAAACCTCTGGACTGAAGACAGACACAAACATGAATGTACGTATATGCATTTGTACACACATACACACCTGTCGGTACCACAGCCTACCTGCAGCTCTGCAGAGTGACGGTTCAGCTGCGCGCTGAACTGCAGCACCGTGTCGGCGTAGGAAGTGATGCGTAGCGGCAGGATGTGGTCGTGAGCCAATCGCAGCACCATCTCGCCCACCAGCTCGCCTAAACTCCGCCCTGTGAGCCCCACGCGACCCCCCAGAACCTCCTGCAGGCGGGAGGCGCTGTCCAGCGGGGTGTTGACGAAGGGGTACGCCCGCTCCTGGGTGGAAACATGGACAGGTCACCTGTAGCGAGTTCCCATCATGCAACAGAAAGACTGGTGCCTTAAAGAACTTGCGTTACCTCCGAGAATCTGAGCTCCATCGCCGGAACTCCTGCAAACGCTGTGAAGCTGTACGCCCCGCTGTTCAGATACAAGGGCTTGATGCTGCGGAGGAAAGGTCCCGTTGTGAAGGAGGAGAGATCTGAACACAAATGATGGTGTGTGTTTGTGTCTCACATCTTCCAGCTGCCTCCTTCTCTCTCCGCCTGGCTGTGGATGCTCTGACCTAAATGTTTTGGATGCTCCACCTTTCAGACGTCGACACCGGGAAACACGATAAAGAGGCTGTGACATTACTGTGACATCATGGACTACATCGGGGGGGGGGGTTCTACCCTGTTAGCTTTGTGTCTTTTTTGGGGATTTAGCAATGTCTGAAATATGAACATTTTTACATGGGGGAAATAAACCTGTAAAAAAAGGGGGACTTGTGACTCACTTGAGCCACTTGTACCTGTTTCTGGTGACCTTGAATTGTGGCCTCCAAGTTTTAGTCATTTAATCTCCACGAACCTGTCTTACTATTGTGCGACGGATTTAGACTTCATTGATATGGGGTAGGTCATGTAGGGCATTTACAATGTCATGGTAGTTTAACGTTCTAGTAGCTAGGGAGACAACCGTACAGACCTGTCTGATGGCAGCGTCCAGCAGGTCCACCAGCAGAGGACTGGTGTAGGCTGACAGCACATCGTCACCTGCAGACACGCATGCAGGGATTACTCCGTCTGAATGGCTGACACGTTAAACAAGGTTTATGATTGGCCGGCAGCCAGTTACCCATAACCGCCTGGTCCAGACTGAAGTAGGCCACGGCCTTCAGGTGGAGCATGGACAGGTAGCCCTGGCACACACACAGATGAGGGGTTACTGTGACAACCACAGGGTTGACAGGCAGAGGATGTTCTCTCTGATTGGACGAACCTCCAGCCATTCCGTTGCTCCAACATTCCCAAAATCTCCAGCGTCCCAGCTGACAAATAGGAGACTCCGCCTGGGACTGAAACCTGGACACACACACCAACACGTTGCTATGACAACCACTGAACAACACCCTCATCTACGCCGTAAGACCTAAGCACCACCTGACTCCAAGCGAGTCTCACCGTTCTTCACCATGGCGGAGAAGGTTCGAGCAAGCTCCAAGAGGATCGCTGTTCCAACTCCAGACTTCACAGCTCCTGGACCCAGTGAGTCCCTCTGAGCTCCCAGGATGATGTAGTGGTCTGAGAGAGAGGTCAGGAAGGTCAGAACCACGGACAGAACCGGGCTCGACCCTCCAGAGAGAGAGAGGTCATGAAAGTCAGAACCACAGAAAGTACCTGGTTCGACTCTGCCCTCCAACGAGGAGAAGATGTTGTTCAGCAGAACTGGCGTCATGACGTTGTGGACCGACATCGAGATTCTGTGTCCGGCACTGAGCTCTGGACCGACTGCACAGCGCACGTACGGCAGCCTGCCGCGCCACAACGGAGGACAGGACGCCCCCGACAGCTGGCTGAGACACACAAAAAATGCAGTGACCTCACTGGACACCGAGGGGGGTGTGGCTCATCTGAGCAGGTGACCCGGGGGTCGGGGCCCACCTGAGAAGCTTGGCGGCCACAGTGGAACTGATTGGCAGAGCCGGGATGAGGGGCAGGCCGGAGGACTGGATGGAGGGGAACTGAGTGTGATTGAAGGACGGGAAGCCGGGGGTGAAGGGGTCACCTGAACCCAGGTGGACCTGAGATTGGACAACACAGAGAAGAGGATGCCGATTGGTCGTGAGCAGCAACACGTGGACATGCATGTCTTTCTCTGCATGTGTGCTAGTTACGTGTTCAGACACAGCAGTGTTTGCGTTCAGGCCGAGTCGTCGGGGGTCCTGCGGTAAGTCTGCGGGGTCGGGGTAGATCAAAGCTCCGCCGCACCCGCTCCTCTGAGCCAACCAGACCTTCTCTGCAAAGGTGACCCCGCCCCCGACACGCATCACCACCACGCATCCGGCCACGGACAGGCCGGCGCCCTCCAGCCACTTAAAGTCTTCAGGGCGGCCGTAGTTGGCGTAGACCAAGCAGCCCTACAGAGATGGAGACGGGTCAGAACCAGGCCTAGGTTTGTGGTTACTGTGGCGACAGACACATCTCGGTCCCCCTGTCTCACCGTGGCACTTCCCGAGGCGCTGTACGGACAGTAGTCAGACGGGTTGAGAGGAATCTGCTCCACGATCCATCCTGCAGAATCCAGTAGCCAGAGAGAGCTCCTCTGAGACCTGCACACACAAACAACAACACAAACCAACAACAAGCCCACAAAAAGACTCTCCACTCTGAGAAGGTGTGGGTCCCGTCTGCCCACCTGTGGGGGAACTGCAGCGTGGCGTAAAGAGACTCGGTCCAGGTGTGATCCATTGGCAGCAGCCTGAAGCGCCGCAGGATCTCTGAGGCCAGAGAGGTTCCCTCCGTGGAACCTGGAGGATGATCAGCTCTGCTGACTCGACTGATGGTGACGAAGACAAGCACTCAGACAGGAAGTGACAGTGGAGACTGAAAGGGAACGAGATTGACCTAAACTTAGACCGCTCATATCATTGTCACCACCTGACTGTGTTGACGATGTCTTCGTCCTGCAGCAGCCTCCTCATCATAACCCTGAGCTCTCCCAGGTAAAGCCCCGCCCCTCCTTCCGCAAGTGGATTAGCCCTGCCTCCTTGCTCCTCATCCTCCTCACCCTGCCCCCCTGCTAGGTAGCAGTGGTACCGACCACCGAACACTGCGTAGGCCAATAGGAACCCTGTGAGGGAGACAGACCAAGGCCACTTTAATCACATGGTCTAACTCGTCACTGGAGGTGTGTGTGTGTGTGTGTGTGTGTGTGTACCGGTGGCAAAGACCACTACCACGACGCACACGCAGAGCAACAAGCTGGCTCTCTGGTGAACATGGCGATACTGCCGCACCAATGCTGTGATGTCACTGCTGGGCCTTGCCGCCTCCTCCTCCTCCTCCTCCTCCTCCTCTTCTGATGTCACAAAGCTCATCTCTACCTTCTGAGCTCCTCCCAACTCGTCTTCCTCGACCACGCCCACGGAGGCAGACTGGGCAGAGAAAGAGTTGGTTACGGGTCAGAAAGCCAGTCCCGAATCATCCCTGCATTCACAACTTCGGTTAGTCCACACTGCTGTTACCCAGAGTTCATAGGGTGACGTTAAAAAAGACACAAAGGGATTTATTGTTTATTATGGTTCACTGTTTGACCTCATCTTGTGTTTAAATTGTTTCCTCTTAATTTGACTGTAACGTGTTGAGGCTCCCATATAAATCATCATCATCCCTGATAATAATAATTATTATTATTAAAAATGAATGACCTCCCACAGGGTTCAGGGTTCAGATCTCACCTGTCTCAGCCGAGCTCTGGTGGTGTCCATGGCAACCTGCAGACAGACATGGCTGGTTAAGAATAGTCATTTTTGCTTATGAAGGTTCCAAACTGAGGGTGTGTCCCAATTCCCTAAGCTGCATCCTTAAGGACGCATTAAGGACGGAGGCCGGTGAACCGACCGCGAGGAAGAGTTTGCGTTTAAATGTAAGTAATAGAATCCACTTAAATATTTACCCACGGAATTTTTCAATGATAATATATAACATCACATCTTAGCTTCTGAAAGTCCCGTGGGTTAGGGTTCACCCGTGTTTTTAAATACACGTATGACGCTAGAATAAACTATGCTGCTTTCACACCAAAAGGAAAGTGAATTATCCATGCAAGTAGATTCCATGCAAAGTCAATGCACAGATGTGAATAGTAAACTCAGGCCAGTAAAGATGTGACGCAAAGCAAATTTTCACATTACTTCATATTATGAACAGAAATGGATTAAGTTATGAACCTGAACTAGAAAATGCATTTCCTGTAGAAAAAACTGAAATGGATTTTTAAAAAATGCTGAAAATACTGAAATTAGAAAAGCTGAAATGAATTTGAAAGAACTGCTGAAAATAAAGAAATGGGAGAATTTGAAATTAGTTTTAAAGAATTTCTGAATATACAGAAATGAGAAAAGCTGAAATGAATTTCAATAGATTTGCTGAAAATAGAGTTGCAGGAGCTACAGTAAAATGAATTTTAAAAAGCTGCTGAAAAGAGTGGGCAGGGAGGGGGGGACTTCTGTGATAAGATGGTGGGGAACAGGGTTAGAAAGGGGGGGCAGGGAGGAAGAAGCATGGTTAGAAAGGGGGGGGCATCTTTTAAGGGGGGAAGAGGCAGAGTTGAAAGGAGGAGGATTCTGTGAGGGGGGGTTGAGGAAGGGGGAACACCGGTGAACATGTGGCAAAGGGGGCTCTGTGAGGGAGAAAGAGAGGGGGGGACTTCTGTGATGGGGGGATGAGAGGTGAGAGGAAGGGAGAGAGAGAGGGGGAGAGATAGTTAGTGTGTTTACATGGTGGTATAATTGGAATCTCTGCTTAGTCGGACTGTGCTCTCTTTCGGGGGGAGGTGCTATTATCCCAATATATACGGCAGTGAATAAATCGAATCATTGACCGAAAGCATGTCATATCCGATCCAATAGGTGGCGCTGTTTTCATTACAACTAGTTGTGATACAGCCATTTCCGCTTCACCGGTTCACCACTACCAGCAACAACAACATTAGGAGAAAGATGGCGAGCGGAGAGCGAGGTGAAGCTACATCCCTCTACTATTTTTGCATGATGCTAATAGGAGCACAGCAAATGTGAATGGCGCTATTGGCTGATTTGATAACGGAGAGAAGACGCCGGCGGGATCTCGAGCATGCGCAAAGACGCAAAGTCCAGTTCCTCATCCGATTCACCGTTACATGCCGCAATAGTCAAACTATCAACTGGATCGGACCGGAGTTATCCAGGGGTGTTAGTCGGACAGTAATTTGATTTCAGTCCGACTAAGCCAGTTATTGGAATCCATGTAACCACGCTGAGTGAGTGATTAAGCGTAAGGAGGGGTCAGGGGGGGCAAGCGAGTGTCTTCATCATGTTGGTCTTGTTGTCCATTGTCCAGACATATTTCTTGTAAGTTGAGGTCATAGAAGCAGCTGTGAGTCACAGAGATCCTGCAGCGTGTGAGCGAGAGTAACCACGGCAACGGCGCACCTGTGCTCATTAACGAGCGGCTGCAAAGGGCAGAGACAGGACAGCGAGTTACACAGAATCCACTCCTCAAACAAATGACAACCAGCGCAAAACTATAATAGCTATCTAAAAAATACGCTGTTTGTGCGAGACCCAAGACTCTACCGAACGCATCGATGTGTTTTTTATGTCTGTCCGGTGATAAATACGGCTCCTATGGGTGTTTACAAAACGTGTACCTTCTGGATTTTTTGAGAAACATGTCGGCAGATTTGTATTGGAGCCTATGGGGCTTTTGTGTCACTGTTGGTCTCCTGAGGCCAAAACTAAAGAACTCTGGGATTCCACGAACACATTTATCCAACCAGCACAACCATGCCATCACTTTCACCTAAAAAGGAAGCCTGAAAAGTGTATATTGTGGCCGTGAAGGCAGATGTGCAATCTTTTTTTAACCAGCTTCTGACGCTGCTCTACACTCTAGATCTTCAGCGCTCACTCCAACAAACGCAATACACACTCATGTAAAACTCAGAAACGGAGCGAAAAACTAGTGAAACATAATCAGTGATTATGAAAAAAGTTGAATAGATATCCACAAGCTGTTTGTTTTATAAAATAGTTTAAATGGTGTCTGTAGCTGAAAGATTGACAAAGCTGAAACATGTGAAAGTTGAGAAGATTTGAAAACAAACTGCATGTTAAAAAAGTTTATGATTTAAATTTGAAGGAGCTGAATATTTTAATATTTGGACAGTTTTAATAGCTGAAAGTGTGAAGGAGTTGAAAGGGGCCACGGAAGAAATAGAAGAAGATGATTAAAGAATCGAAGAACAATACTGAAACAGCATTCTAACAAATATCCCTTTCTAAGTTAGTAACGTTACAGAATAAATACACAAAGCAACTCAACTTGCTTTGCTCCTTTTGTTTTGTTGTGTGATTATAAACTAACTTTACACTGTGTTTTGTTTCATGGAGCAGGAGGAAGCAGCATCAAGCTAACAGAGAACGATGTGTGTGGTGACATTCAGCTACTGTAGCTTGGACATATTCTGTAATATGAGTTACAGTTCAAATAGCTCGTATCCTATGCAAGAACAAAAGTAGTTCAAGTGGCCGGCATGAAAGGAGCTGTTTGAATTCTCTAAGGCTAAGGAAATGAACTTCAATGCTTCCTTACCTAGCTCCTTAGCATAGAAACCACTGGATCATCCTTTTCGAAAGGAAAGGAGACCATTCAGTCCAACAATTCCTGCGTCAGCAATATTTGAATTTTGCCGCTGCAGACTGACATCACCAACATGCGTCTCCGTCCATCACAACTTCGTAACTCAGTGGAACTGGAGTCAATTCCCTAAACGCCGCCTTGTCTTTTCCTGACTCCTCATGAACTCTCCTAACCATCTTTCCTTGACCCCGTGACCTTTTCCACAGAGGTCAAGGAATAGTGGTCAGGAATAGACGTTAGGAATAGTGGTCAGGAATAGACTTTAGAAGGTCATTTTTCCCTAGTCCTCCTCCCCCTCCACCGTTCTTCCAGGAGACTTTGTCAACTACTTTACCAAGAAAATAGCTGACATACGCTCCTCTTTCTCAAACCCACCTCCTACTCGTGTCCCACTGGCTTCACCTCTATCGCCCTCACTTCCCTCCTTCACCCCCGTCTCCTAACCAAGTTCTTACCCTAGTAACCTCTGCCCGTCCACCACCTGCCCTCTTGACCCCATTCCATCACATCTTCTACAATCTATCGCTCCTACCCTTCTTCCTTTCCTCACCTGTCTCATCAACAACGCTCTGTTATCTGGCTGTTTTCCCAATTCTCTGAAGGAGGCAAGAGTTAACCTTTTCCTGAAGAAACCTACCCTCAACCCTTCTGAAGAAAACAACTACAGACCGGTCTCTCTTCTTCCCTTTCTGTTCAAAACCCTTGAACGCGTGATCTTTAACCAACTCACCTCCTATCTCCACCGTAACAACCTCCCTGACCCCACCAGTCAGGCTTCAAGGCCGTTCCACAGAGACTGCTCTCCTTGCTGTCTCAGAGCAACTCCACACTGCTAGAGCTCCTCTCTGTCCTCTGTCCTCATCCTTCTGGACCTCTCTGCTGCATTTGACACAGTCAACCACCAGATACTTATTTCCTCCCTTCAGGAACCTGGTGCCTCAGGCTCTGCTCTCTCCCTTCTCTCATCCTACCTCGACGGCCGCACCTACCGGGTAACCTGGCGAAGATCTGTGTCGGAACCTTGTCCTCTTACTACTGGAGTTCCTCAGGGTTCCGTCCTGGGTCCCCTTCTCTTCTCGTTCTACATCAACTCTCTCGGCGCTGTCATTCGCTCGCATGGCTTCTCCTACCACAGCTATGCCGATGACACCCAACTAATTCTCTCCTTCCCTCACTCGGATCTCTGCCTGTCTGACTGACATCTCTCAGTGGATCCGCCGAACATCTGAAAATCAACCCCGACAAGACTGAACTACTTCTCTTTCCGGGAAAAGATTCTCCTACACAGGACTTGACCGTCAACTTTGGCAACTCCGTGTTAACGCCCACTTTGACTCAGATCAATAATCAGAGCTCAGGGACTGGTTCCTCACAGGGGTCAGAGGTCAGCATGTTGTTTGATCAGCTTAGCTTTATTAACAGATAGAAAAACACAGTCGGCTGTAACTTCTTCTTCAGTTCTCATAGATCTGGATCAGAGAGGACCAAACTTTATGTTGTAACTTTCATCTCAGTCGGTTACTTACCTCGATGTTCCCTTTTCGCTCTGTCCGTCAGCTTCTCCTCCATCAACAGAAACCAGCGTGTGAACTTTGGACCGTCCAATCAGATGGAGCTGCTCGTGTCACCTGACCTGCTGTGACGGACACAGAACTCACACTCAAAGAGACTCCGCCTCCAACGGTGCAGATAAATACTAATGTGCTTTGACTGCACAGACTGCGATGTTTTCAGGACAGCTACTAACAGTCTGGATGAGTTCACAGAGGCTGTAACTTCTTCCATCAGCTTCTGTGCTGTGTACTGCTGTGTACCATCATGCACCAGGGTGAGTTACAACAACGACAAACCCTGGTTCACAGCGGAACTCAGAACACTACGCCTGCAGAAGGATCAGGTCTTTAGGAGCGGGGACAAAGACTTGTACACAGAGGCAAAATACAAGTTTAGGAAGGCGGTGAGATGCTGAACGTCTGTACTCTGAGAAACTCCAACAACAGTTCTCAGCAAGTGACTCTGCTTCGGTTTGGAGAGGCCTCAAACACCTCACCAACTACAAGCCAAAAAAACCCCACTCCATGAATGACCTCCGCCTGGCAGACGAGCTGAATGAGTTCTACTGCAGATTCGATAGACAATGTCCTGATCCCATCCCCCACTGCTCCACCAACCTGGGTCTGAGGACAGAAAGGGAGATGGGTTAGCAGAGAGACAGGTGAAGAGACAGGCAGACTGGTATGCAGACAGACAGGTACTTACTCCAGTCGGTAACAAGAGGTTTACTCAGACTTATGTGCTCCACCACACACGACATCTTCTCTCCAGACCTGCTGACACACAAACCAGCACATCAGTGGTTGTCCTCATCAACCTGGACCTGGACTAACTGGACTTATCAGAGCTCAAGCTAGCTGGACCTGGACCACCTGCCAGCTCGTCGGTAGAAGTGACCCCGGTGGTCTCTGGCCGTCCGTCTCTGGTCCACCTCACTATGATCTTCTTGGGGTAGAAGTCATAGACGCTGCAGACCAACATGGACAAAGGTCCACCACCAGGGGGCGTCTCAGAGTGCAGCCTGACGTAGGGCTCAGCTGGAGACAATATATGACATGGTGAGGGTTTGTTCTATGAGCTCACAGGTACGAGTATTAGTACTAGGAGTACTTAAGGTAGTAGCAGTAGTACCAGCTGCAGTACAAGTACCAGTCATGTACTTGTGTTTCAGAGATAAAAAAACACAATGTGAGGAAACTCAGGAAACTACTGTCGCACGCTGCTGGTAGAGAATCATGGGTGTGAATGGGTGAATGATGTCATGTAGTGTTAAAGCGCTTTGAGTGGTCGGAAGACTGAAGAAAGGAAGTCGGAAGAAAAGTGCTATACAAGTACAGTCCATTTACCATACAGCAGAGACATACGCTGGGCTGATGTCTGCACATCTGGAGATATTAAGCTTAGCCTCCACATCTGGAGACAGGAAGCTCAACCTCCACACATGGAGACAGAAGTGAGTTGTTTGTTGTGTCTCACCATAGAACTTGACCAGTGGATGGTCCAGGGCCAGATGTTCCACCCTGCTGCTGTAGATGTCTCCCAGCTTTGGGGTGAACTCAAGGGTGGAGAACTGGTTGAAGGTTCTATCTTTGTTGAGAAAGGGAACGTTCTTGCAGGTTCCTTCAGTGACGTTCTCCTGGCTCTTGGTCCAGGAGAACGTCACTGGAGCAGGAAAGAAACCAGTCACATGACAGTTCTTCTCTCCCAGTTCCACGCCGTGCTTGCGGTAGATCATGTGACTGAAGCAGGCTAGCTGATTAGATTATATTTCTTTAAATGAGCCTCCCGGCAGTAGGGTTCAAGGAACGCATCATCAAATGAGAATAATTATCTCAACTGTTCTTAAAAACAAGCCCAAAGAGTTTCTAATTGACACATGCAACACCCAGAAGGATGAGAGTCTGTGGGACAGTGGACCTCGGCTGCAGGGTGTAGTGTTTCGGTTCCAGAAGTTCTTGTAAATAAATGATTCCTGCCTTCAGCATCAATAGCGCTTGTACAGGAAGTGATGTCATAACAGATCTTTGTGATCTGGAGAACTCTCTCTGTAAAATGTTATTCTAACTGATATCGATCCTTCATCAATGAGGAGTGATGAACTAATCCAGCAGCTCAGATGAACATCTGCGCCGGAGCAGGTTCAGGTCATTGGATGTGTTGCTATGGTGATTTAGACAAACTCTCTTCGGGGAACCGAAAAGCCTGATGTACGTCATCTCACCTGAAAATGATCCGGCTAACTCAGTGAGGAGAAACCTACGAGGAACGAGGCCCTGAAGCTAAAGAGTCTCTTTGCTTTCACTTCCTGTTCCGTCAGCAACCAATCAGAAGCAGAGCTGCAGGAGCTTCATCAGTTACCAGGAGCAGACTACAGGTTCATCAAGGTGCCTTATGGGACCATCATGGAGGTGTGGTCTCACCTGAGCAGGTTCAACAAGACAAAGCAGAATAACTTCATACTCTTCCTGGCCCCTGAGAACCTACAAGACCTTCAAGCACCTCAGGAACCTCCTCAAGGACTTGCCAAACCTCTCAAAGGCCCCAAAGACTTCCTCAAGCACCTTAGGAGGACCTTCTGGAGGAGAAACAGCATGAGGTCATGCAGATGATCAATGAACCAGGTTCTGTTATAATAAAAGGAAATCCATTTAAGGAGTATATTCATGTTTAATAACCAACATGTTAACTAGCTCCGCCTCTTTGTGTGACTCTTCCTGTGTGGATGTCACACTCAGGAAATGTAGACAGGTAATGTCAGTTAGTTTTTATTTACAGGTGAGGTCAGACAGTGTTTTTGTTTACAGGTGAGGTCAGACAGTGTTTTTGTTTACAGGTGAGGTCAGACAGCCTCCAGGTGCAGACAGGTGAGCTGTAGGGGAGGAGTCACCCTGGTCATGAAGTCCCGTTCTCCTCTGCTGAATCTCTTCATCTCTGAAACAAACATGAACCTGGTCAACATGGCCGCCGGTCTGCAGGTGGTCCCCGGGTCAGAGGTCAGAGGTTCCTACCTTCTGATCGCTGCTGGTTTGGTTTTCTGCAGGTGAGAGACAGCTGACGACACACAACATCACTGCTGCACAGACACAACAGGAAGTGGAGGAGAGGGTCATCAGAGTCGCACACCTGAGAGAGACACACATGTGATTACACGTGTAAATACACACAGGTAATCATCACCGGTTCCTGTCAAGTGGACTGACCAAGCTCCGCCCCCGGGGGTAGACGCGGACGTGACCTCTGACTCTTAGCGCTCTCTGAAGTCCCTCCCACTTAGAATCAGCCAATCCCAGCAGAGGAGGAACCAGAGCGCCTGAGAACCACACGTGAGCCTCACCGGTGCCGTCATCAATCACCAGCCTGATCGATCCATCAAAAAAGTACACAAGTACAGCAACATGCAGCCTACACAGTACAAGTACACAGAAATACACACATGTGAAGAGAAGAAGGCTCACTTTGCTTTGGACTGAAAGACGGATGAAGTCGATGGACACTGTGAACTGGAACAAGTCTAAAAGACAGAGACAGTGAGAGGACATGAAGACCAGCTCGTCCTCTAGTGTCCTCTAGAGGCTACAGGTTAATAACAAGGACATGAAGAGGGCTAATGTGTCCTCTACACACCACAAGGTACATAGCAAGGACAAAAAGAAGACTACAAGTATAGGTATGCGTACTACATGTATAGGTTCTACATGTATGCGTACTACATGTATAGGTTCTACATGTATGCGTACTACATGTATACGTACTACATGTATACGTAAGAGCCGCATTTAAGTTTATGTGAATGTATTTAATGTTCTTATGACTCTGTCGCCCCCTGTGGGAACCAGTAGAACCCAATGGTACTCAGCAGCACCCAGTAGTATCAAGTACCAGTAGCTCGTTCACCATCTGCCTTCTATTTATATTCATTTAAGTCAGTGTTTCCTGTGTTGTGACACACAGCTGGAACGGCGTTCCTTCGGTTTGTTATCAAGCCGCTGCAGACACGCGTCTCCATTTCCTCACGCAATTGACGTTTTGTCTTTATTTCACGCAGCAAAGCGTTAACTAAATATACAATCAGATATTGTGATAAACGATTCTGCAGCTCTTCTGCGTTGCATCATGACGTCAAATTGAGACAACAAGAAGCGTCAATCTAACAAATACTTTTCAATATACACATTACATATGCAGAATGAGCACAAGTCTAAAATTAAATAATGAATATTTCCCAAATTCCAATAAACTAATGTACACACTTCTGGCTCACAGATGGGAAACACTGTAAATAAACTTAACAGTTAATATATTGTTCACAGTTTGAAGGTGAAACGTCCAAAGCTGTGGTAAGCAAAGAGATTTGTATTTATTTCTATTTACAGTATTGTTTAATCAGTTAATATATTGTTCAATTTGAAGAAGAAAACACGGCATTGCCAATAACAAAACCACTTTCTTCAATGTCATCAATCGTATCGGTTTTAGCACCGGTATCGAAAAAAAAACAAAAAAACAATACCGGTCCCTAGCAGTACCCAGTAGAACCCAGTAGAACCCAGATGAGTAAAGCACCTGCAGGTAGAGACTCCCACACAGCGAGCAGCTCCACTGCAGCTGCAGGAACAGGAAACACACCACATGACCTCTGACCCGACCCACAATGCCGCTCTGTTCTCTGCCCACTGCCCACACACCCAGGTGCATCATGGGAGCAGGAGGAGGCCGGACAGAGCTGGAACAGATCAACACAAACGGATCAATAAGTGATGAAGTATGAAAGTGAACACCGGTTATTGATCCTTGGTGCTACCTCGTATCTCCCAGTGACATCACCGTCACGCAGCTGACAGGAAGAGAGCGGCAGTACACGCCTCCTGACCTGCACACGCACATGTATGTAAGACAAGTTAAGTGTGTTTGCTGTTGTGGTTTCTTGACTTCTTCTGCCTTAAGATTAAAATATTACCTTTAGGTCAAAGTACATTTTTAAACAATTTCATTTTAAACTCTCAGTTAGTGGCACTGATTCAGGACTAAGAACATTTAGAGACTGTGTTACCTGGACACTCTCCGCTGGAAGCCAGAGAGCAGCAGTGTGTTGCCAGGCAACAGGCCAGATGGGTAGAGGGTGTGGCTCAAGTCCAGGTACACCTGAAGAGTCCTCCCAGTTTGGTCCCACACTGTGAGTCGCACACCAGCACACACACCTGCAGCAGTGCTACTGGTCCGGTCACTGAGACTGATCCTGTCACACACCCGAGCCTGAAAACACACCATATCTGACCTGCACGCACGCGCACACGCACACAGCAGTGAGTCTGAATACACGGCAACTGCAGCGCCGGATTAATCATATCATTTAGATATTGATCCAATCAATCAGACTACCTGGAGTCCAAGACCTCAGAGACAGAGAGGACTGTGGGCGAGAGAGCCTGACAACAGAGAGAGAGAGAGATAAACTCCACATCCTCACCTTTTTATTTCATCTGTATCTGGTTCTTATTTTATCAGCTGATGCAGATGTGTGCTACCTGCAGCGGTTGGCGTGTCAAAGTGTGGAGCCTCCAATTGGATCGGACCTGAAGGGTGGGGTCTGTGTGAAGCTCCACCCCCCCCTGTCCAGAAACACCACGCCCAATTAAAACACTGGGATCCTGATGGACAGACACACAGCGACCGATCGGCTTGATCATCTGACAGTGATCAATGATGCACCGATGACCCTGACCAGCATTAGTCTTTAACGCTGACGAGTCAGTCAGAGAGCTCGCGCTCTCATTTCATCTACTCTCATTGATTAATGAAGAGAAACACCTCCTCTTTGAAACCATCCAACACGGCCTCAACTCTTAGCAGCCAATCACCTGCAGCTGCTCCACCCGGAGCCCCGCCCCCCAGTGACATCAGTGTTTACCTGTGTGTTGGGGGCAGTGAGTCTGTAGAAACATCCGGGCTGGAGGAGAGGAAACCAGCGAGCGGACCCACCGGAGAGAACCAGGACCACCTGCCGACAGACGGGTACCAGGTCACCCTCAACACAGCTGCATCATGGGATGTTTCAGGTCAGTGTCTCACTTTGTCCTCGCGCTCTGTCTCCGTCTCTCTGTCTGTCACTGGTCCGTTCTTTGGGTCCCGCCCCCAGCTGACCACTGGACCAACCACAGCGGCTCTGACTGAGAAGCAGTGTGTTAGCCCCACCCCCTGCACCTTCTGGACCACGCCCTCCTTCTGCTCCACCCTGATCACCAAGGAGACGCAGGGTCTGAAGCCGCCACCCACAGGGCCGGTAGTCACGGTAACGGAGGCTTTTCTTCTCTTCCTCCCTGCAGTCGTAGCTCCCTCCATCTCCTCTTCTTCTACAGTCTGTTTCCTCTCTGTGACATCACCTCCTAACTCCTCCCCCCTCTGTCCCAGGTGTGTAGCCATGGCAACAGATGGACTCAGGATGTGGAGGTGGTCCAGAGAAAACTGCAGGTAGACTCTGTCTCACACACACACACACACACAAAATCAATAGGTTGTCAGAACACACACAATAGTGTGTGTGTGTGTGTGTGTGTGTGTGTGTGTGTGTGTACCTGCAGTGTTTATGTGTGATGTACTTGTCCTGGTTGAGGTGTTGGTAGGAGGGGAAATCTGATTGGAGGAACCTCTCCGTTACCATGGTGAACTGCTCGACACACACCAGACAGCCTGCAGCACACACACACACACACACACACACACACTTTATCTGGGCGGATTGTGTAAATACAGTTTTTTACTCTGATGACTGTCACGCAGCAGCTAACGATAGCTAGCGCTTGGTTAGCTACAGCAGCTAGCTAACCATTTACCTTCTATTTAAGTCAGTGTTTAAGCCCCATTGAGCTGCAGAAACGTGACTTTGTTTCCTCACGCGAATGACAGCAGAACGTTTGATTCTTTTCGGTTTGTCTTTATTTTACGCAGCAAAGCATAAACTAAATATACAAGTAATACATTCCGTCACACGGCAGATAAACGATGTGCTCTCGTGCGTCATGCAGCTCTGCTGTGTTGCAGCTGCTGCAATATGACGGTGATACAGAGACAAACAAGCGTCAATCCAACATAAATGCTTATAAACGTTACATCTCTTTAGTTTCAGGTCCAGTTTAGTTCAGTTGAAGAAAAAAAAATGGCCTTGGCTATGAAACCCCCCCCCACAAAAAAACACCTTTCTTTAATGTCGTCAAGTATCGGTTCAGGCACCGGTATCGTTTTAAGTATCATTGGGGCACCGGTATCGTAACAAACCCAAACGGTACCATCTCTAAACCCTGGTTGACTTTGACCTTTGACCTGTGTGTGGTACCTATCCAGGCGGTGTTGAAGGCCGCCCTCTGACCTCCCTCCCGGCTGGTTTCCGTGACGACGCAGGCCACGGCTCCCGTCGCGTCTCTGAGCTGCACAGTTGGTTCAGACGTCGGTGTCGGGAGCTCCAGCAGCCCGACCAGCAGGGGGCGCCGCCTGCCCCACGACACAAGTACTGATCAGCTGCTGATCGGTGTGTGATACTGTAGTACTACATATACACACTATGTACTACTATGCTGTCATTCACTCTGCTGACATCTACAGTCTGCTACTTCACAACCAATCAACCAACATGTACCCGAGTGCGTCTCCGGTCCGGGGCCCATCCCGGAGGGCAGAGGTCAAGGTCCTGCAGGACCAGGCCAGCGCCGTGTTGAGCTGAGACCGGGACAGACTGGATCCACCAGGAGGCAGAAGGGAGCTCAGCGAGACCGAAGACCAGCACTCAGAATGCAGAGACCCAATGAGGACGGATACACTGAGGTACTGATGGACTGCAGGGTCAGTACTGTACTACAGACAGAGACACTGCAGGGTCAGTACTTTACTGCAGAGACACTGCAGGGACAGTACTGTACTACAGAGACACTGCAGGGTCAGTACTGTACTACAGACAGAGACACTGCAGGGTCAGTACTACAGACAGAGACACTGCAGGGTCAGTACTACAGACAGAGACACTACAGGGACAGTACTACAGACAGAGACACTGCAGGGACAGTACTACAGACAGAGACACTGCAGGGACAGTACTACAGACAGAGACACTGCAGGGTCAGTACTGTACTACAGACAGAGACACTGCAGGGACAGAGAGGACTCTTTCTACCTGTGACAGAGGACAGGTGTGAGGCTCGTCCAACATCTCTGAGTAGATGTCCCTCCGTCCCCCTCGTCCTCTTCTCCACACAGACTCCATCAGCTTCCAGGACAAGGCGCTCACACTCTGCTGCTTCAGTAGGCTGGGAACCAGACTGCAGACGACAGGTGTAACGACAGGTGTAACGCACACCTGTCCAGGTGTAACGCACACCTGTCCAGGTGTAACGCACACCTGTCCAGGTGTAACGCACACCTGTCCAGGTGTAACGCACACCTGTCCAGGTGTGTGTGATGGTGATCGCTCCCCTACTCACCTGTGGGCGAGTTGAGAGCTCACGTGACAGGTCCACAGATACTCTGACACGCCCGTGTTTTTCTCCAGCAGTAACCGTGGTAACCCTGCAGAATCGGGTGGCGGTGCCCCCCCCACCCTGCTGAAGGCAGTGACCCGGAGGCTGGAGCGGAGGCAGGTGCACAGCATGCTGGGAGGAAAGTCAGGACAGGGCCGGTACAAGAAGTGGACATGATGGAGCTGAAGGGGAGACATTCAAAAGAGAGAATGAAGCCCAGTCCAAGTGTCCCCCCTGACCCCTGACCCCTCAGGGACTCACTGGGCCGGGACCCACACCGGGACCCAGACCGGGACCCACACCGGGACCCAGACCGGGACCCACACCCGTACCGGGACCCACCTCCACAGAGTCTCCTGCTCTCAGTTTTCTCCTGGTTGCCGGCTGATAGGCCAGACACAGCCCCACCTTCCTGTCAATCACATACAGTCCGGCTCCATCACTCACCACCTGAGTCACTGTGCCCTATCAGAAGAGAGGGGCGGGGCTTAGCACAGAGGTCACATTAACAGATAACAATCTTACATCAGTGTTCTCTGTACTTCACCTGGTAACTGATGACTCGGGACTTTTTCATCCTGAGACCTGCTTTGTCCGTCTCAGGCTCCACCTCCTCGCAGTCTTCATTGTCAACATGTGACATCACCAGAGGTGGGGGCGTGTCCAACAGTGTGTCAGTGTGTGTGTAGTTTGTGTGCAGTTCAGACTGTTCGGTCACACACAGGATGTTGTTTCCTCTCCAGCCTCGTAGGACACACACACGCAACGCCGTCACACACACACTTAGACCAACGTACACACACTGAGTCCACCACTGCCTGCTGATGTCCTGCAGAGAGACACAGACTCGTGATAGTTCAGAGACCTCAGAGAGCAGCAGGTGTTCAGTGACCTCACACACCTTGACGAGGACCCGGACAGTGTGAGACTCGTCAGTCAGCCAGAAGCAGAAGAAGGTCGTTCCTGCCACGACCAGCTGAGGGCACACAGAACCCACCAGACCGAAGACGGAGATACGTTGTCCACGGGTCCTGGGAGACAGACGGGCGGAGAGCGAGAGACATGCAGTGACAGACTCCGTGTTTGGTGACATGTTGAGCCCTCAGGGGTCCTGAATACTCCGTAGGGCTGTCAACGAATATTCTATATATTGAACTATTATACACCAATGTAAAAAAAACAAACGGCGGCGCAGCCGTCTGCTTAGCGGGCGCGCGCCTGACTACCGACTGTATATCGCATGAATAAAATAGACCAGACGGCTACGACACTTCATGCACTGGGTTGATTATTATATCGCTCGCTCGCAGCGTTCAACGTCGCTACTGGAGAACCTTCAGTTTCATCACTGCAGGAAGCCGGACGTGTTTGGGACAAGAATCGTGACCTTAAACTGCACAGAACCCTTGATCAGCATCTGTTTATTGTTCATTCAAACCGCTTTGCGCTGAGAGCGTGTGTGTGTGTGTGTGTGTGTGTGTGTGTGTGTGTGTGAGAGATCTGCGGTCGTGGTCGTTTAACAATTGGATTATTTGTGTAGGTAATACGTTGTTAAATATGTTTAAACTTAAACATTTAAACAAATAAATTACCTATAAAGTAGTTATGTCTCGTTGTATAAATTTGTCCTGTTATTGACGTCTTTTTTTAAAGCGAAACGTCCTTTTGAGCAATTTTGACAACCCTACACCTCAGAGGTTAGAGGTCACCTGAGACACGCGACTCACCTGTTGTCCAGTAAACCAGCAGCCTCTCTGACTCCAACTGCCCTGCTAAGCCCCGCCCCTTCTCCAGGACGAGCAGCCAATCCCTGCTCAAGATCAGGACACAACAGTGCAGGAGAACCAATTAGCTCCACGTAGCCTCTGACCTCCTGGTTCTGCCCCGGGGCATTGTGGGGGATGTAGTTCCAATGAGGGAGGAAGACAGGACGGTTCAGCCACAGAGGAGAGGGAGACAGGCACTGGGGAGAGAGCGAGAGACAGGTGAGACGCACCTGAACACATCACAAGCTGTGTCTCAAAGGCGCTAGGCTGCATCCTTGTAGCCTGCATCCTTGTAGCCTGCATCCTTGTAGCCTGCATCCTTCAGCAGCCTCCGTGGACCTGGTCCAGGCTGGTCCTCCAACAACCACATACGCTGAACCGAGCGGTCTCTGAAATGGGACGGTCTGTCCTACGGGGGGACGTCCCTCCGCTGCTCCTGTTGCCTAGCAACCTGCTGATCTTAACAATAAAAGCCTTAAAGCGCAGATAAACTTCTTATTTCATTTAGGAAGAGACGCTTCTCCTCCGGACCACGATATGTTTCTGAGAGAAGAACATTTTCCAGTTTATTTTTAATTCAAATTAAGTTAATGTAAAATACTTTACACTAATACTATGAATACTAATTTATAATTAACTTCAGCTAAAATTAATATTGCAATCTTAAGGCAGAGGAGATTCCATCAATAAAAACACTATTAACTTGTATGCAAGGACTTTTTCTTGTAACTGTAAAATATTACAGAACGTGTCCACGGCTTAATGCAGCTTAATGTCAGTAGACACAACGTTCTCCTTCAGCTCGCTGCTCTAAATGTGAAGTTACTTCATAATCACACCACAAAACAAAAGGAGAAACACAAGCTCAGTTCTTTTTTGTATTTATTCTTCACGGTTACGGTCTTCGAAAGTCATGTTTCAGGTTCCTTCCTGTCTACCTGAGCTCACTTTGATCCATTCCTGTTGATAATATGAAGTATAATATTATTATGATATTAGTCAGCCTCTAAAGTGTGAAAGTTGAGTCATTAAAGTGACTTTTCACTGATAACGAGAGACGAGCGTCTGCTCACAGCGCAGCGGCTCCCGGTAACGTGAGCTGCTCGTTGTGCGTCTGTTAGAAATGTGTGTAGTACGTTGATGTTCATAAGAACAGTACATGGACCCGGGGGGCTCGGGTGAGGGTCCGGCCCCGGGGCCGTACGTAACGTTACCACTCAGCAGTTTATTCTAGCGTCTTATGTGTATTTAACAACACGACATCGGTTACCAACGTCGTGTAACTTTACGCATCACAGGCTCACCTCGCACCCGAACGCATCACAGACTCACCTCGCACCCGAACGCATCACAGGCTCACCTCGCACCCGAACGCATCACAGGCTCACCTCGCACCCGAACGCATCACAGACTCACCTCGCACCCGAACGCATCACAGGCTCACCTCGCACCCGAACGCATCACAGACTCACCTCACACCTGACACTGCCGCTGGCGTCCGTCAGCCTCCACTCTCCGGCCGGCCCCTCTCTCAGACAGCCAATCAGCAGCAGGTTGACCCGCGGTAGGGCCAGGTGACCCGGCAGAGAAAGCTCCGCCTCCTTTTCCCACGCTCGCTGCTGATTGGTGGTCCAGGAAGGGTTGCTGACACAGGCCAGGTGCTGCAGGGAGAGCAGCCCTGAGACTGACACCGGTCTGGCGGCGGGGTCACAAGAGGTCAAAGGTCACAGTGGAATTCCAAGTTGTTGATGAAAACAAAAGCACATGCAGTGAATATCCCAGAATGCAGTGGCAGAGACGACAATGTTCAAAGCAGCTTTACATTCATAATAATAATAGTGATGACAAAGGTCGTACCTGTAGCTCACAGGTAAGACGTGTGTGACAGCCATGTTCTCTTGGAGCTTCCTCACCAAACACACACTGAGCTGATCGGCACACACACCTGAAACAGATGAACCCTGACTCATTACTGACCTCAGGTCAGTGGACAGGTGTCCATCAGTGAAGACAAAGTACTTTGATCTCTGACCTTATGAGGAAAGAGCCAAAGATCAGCGAGTAAAACATATCATATTTCAGATGTTGTCATGGTGACGTGACGTGTGGCAGCAAAGTGATGCCCCCCATATTTACACCATTTAAACACTCGACCACCGACCAGGTGACCTCGGTGAGTCCCTGAGTCAGGGGTCAGGGGGGAGATTGAAATTGGGCCACTGATTGGCAGACTGACCTGTCACTGCGTCATCAGCAGCTAGAGGGGCGGGTTCAGAGAGCTCAGGACACAGGTGTTCTGAGATGAAGCCGAATATCTCCTTTAACCAGATGGTCTCCTGCAGGAGGACATTTATGATATCATAAACCCGCCATCATCTAATCAATAAGTAAACCCAGTGAATCTCTTCTGTTATTACTGAGGAGTCAGAAGAGAGACATTATTAAATGTAAATGAAAAGTTACTTACAGCTTCCCCGCGGGCCCTGAACCGATCCAGGAACAGCTGCAGGGAGTCCATGTGCACAGCTGACCGGTATCGATCATTTCACGAAGACAGAACGTGTCGCTCCTCGGAGAACCGTAAAGTCACCATCACGCGGTAAAAAGTCTTCAAAGTCTACTTCCTGTTAAACTACGGTGTCCGCAGAGGGTCAGCGCACACGGAACGTGTGAACCGCTTTTTACTAATAAGCGTTGGTTTCTGACATTAAACAGCATATCGTTTTTTATAAATATGATCTATTCGGACTTTCAGATGTTTCTGAAATGTTTATCCAGGTTTAGACATACTAATGCATACGATCTGAACACGTATTATCAGGTTAACATCTTATTCTGATAATGTCTAATATTGATCTGATGTTTGATAATTACATTCAAAAGATTTCCTCACCGAATGAAAACACGTTATATTTTAAAAGAAAATATATTTAATTGAAAATGTCATAGTGATATCTAAATTACAATAGTGTATTTTCTATTTTCACAGTCATGTCATGTCACAGACATGTTTGTCATCATATTTTTTATGAGGAGGAAAACATTTAAAACGATGAACATGATAAACACAACAATATTGATAAATATGGCAAACATGATAAACATGATAATAATGGTAAACATAATAGACATAATAATCATTAATAGGATAATAATGGTACATACAATGAATATGATGAACATAATTAACATAATGAACATGATAAACATAAGGAATATGATAATAATGATAAACGTGATCAATATAACAAACATTATCATCAAGATAAACATGACACACATGGTATTGATTACAAACATGATACACATTACAATAAAGATTAACATGATAAATATAATAACCATAATGAGCCATCTTCAGGTTTGAGGGTTTATATCTAGTGATGATACATAAACTGAGGTACCTCATTCCCTTAACAACATTTCAATTTTCTGTTACCCTGAATAGTGGTCTAACACCGTAAATAATAAATAAAACCACCATCTTCATCCATCCGCTGTTGTGTGTGATCCCGCCTCCATCTCTTCACAGATTGGCTGGTTGATTTGACAAACCCAAATACTGACCAATCGAAAGTAGAAATACTTAGTAGCTCCACCCTTTTGTTCGTGTAGAAATCCCGCCCTGCTGGCGTTGCTGGGCAGGCGGAGCCGTGTAGCAACGAGGTTTGACCTGCGGCTCCGCGAGCCAATCACAGGCGAGTAATGAGACGAGCTCCGCCCAGGTTGGCCGGCTGCGTTCCCGCCCTCTGTGTAGGAATGACTAACATGGGCGTTACTGGGAGGCGGGACCAGGCTCGAGCTCGATCCATTTTGAAAAAGAGCCATAGTCTCCAGTTGCTGCTTCATCTACCAAACAACAACAAGAACAGAGAACCCCCAAATCCCGAACACCGAGCCAGTCTGCTTCAGCCTGTAGCCGGCCGTCCAGACAAGTGAGTACTCCGCTCGTACCGCCGGACCCGGGTCACGTTGATCACTGACGATGAGCTCGGTCTGGTTACCAGTGACGGCCAGAACCTTGCAATAAAAGGTCCGCCAATAAACATGCAAACTGGGATAAAATCACCGCTGCCCGGTCCAAAGCCGGCCTCCGTGCGGTGCGCGCATGTCCTGAGTGCATGAACCTTTGGGTTCGTGCACTCAGTGGACTTTCCGGGATGGGTCGTTGTCAACACGAAACGCCCATTATGTAGTGTGATGGCCAGGATATAGTCCCGTCCCGTCCACACAACACTGACCTCTCCGGGGCATAGCCGGTCCCCTGTGTTGAAAATGGGCAGCGGCGGTACTGATCCATTTACGCTGCAAAAAAGCTTTGTTATAAAGCGGTGAAGTCCACAGTCTGGTAGCGAAGTTGTTATTATGTGATGTAAGGGTTCGCCTGATGCTAGCGGGGATGGACGGGGACGTTAGCCTGATGCTAGCGTGGATGGATTGGGACGTTAGCCCGATGCTAGCGTGGATTGATGGGGATATTAGCCTGATGCTAGCGTAGGGGGATGGGGCAGCTAGCTCTGCAGAGGGCGGGAAGCAAATGGTGGCCCATTGTTCTGTCGGAGCTAGCCCGTTAGCACGGCTAGGCTAGCCGCATTAGATGGCCGGAGAAGACGCGGCTAGCTTTACTCTCCGTTCATCTCTACGGCTCAGGCTCCCAGTCACAGGCGGCCAGGAAGGACCGGGAAGCGGCGGGACGCCGGCGCACCGACCCGGGCCACAGAGGGTTGGGTCCGGGTCGATGGGCCTCCCAGAGCCGCGGTAGATAAAATGGATCCCCACTTCTTTGTTATTCCCGATCAGCCGGTAGCCCCGGATGGCCGTTAGCTCACCGATTAACGGACGTTTAACGGAAGATCTAATGAGTCAATACAACTTCTCGACACATTTACATTATGACCCACGGTGAAAATGTCATGTTTTAACTCATTACAAATTGCACATTTCTCTTTATTACTGTTATCTGGTGTGTTTTATTCACCTTGTGATCTTTGGGATTAGTGATTATTTCAGCTACTATGAAACATTATGTCGATATCTATGATCGAATTGATTGTCTGTCTGAAGAATGTACCAATAATTATTTTGTCAAAGCAGACTCTTTCTGATTTTTATATATATTATATGTATGTATATTTAATACCGTTTTCTTTGTTTCGGGGTCATTTGTTTTTAATCTATCGATTGATTCATTAAATGATAAATATTTAAGGTTATTGACAGACTTTACGTTGTAATTAAATTGTATCACACCATCACTTTTGTGTGACAGCTGAACCCCCCTTTCTGTCTGTTAATGTCTCCCTGCGTCCCGTCCATCAGGACGCCACTATGATGCGTAAAGACGTCAACAAGCCGAAGGGGAAGACGTCGGCCTACGCCTTCTTCGTCCAGACGTGTAGAGAAGAACACCGGAAGAAGAACCCGGAGCAGTCCGTCAACTTCGCCGAGTTCTCCAAGAAGTGCTCCGAGAGGTGGAAGGTGAGACGGAGAGGACACCAGTGGACAGACAGAGTGGAGACAAGTAGACAGACGGATAGGCATGGGTGAGACAGGGAGGACAAGAGGAGACAAACGGACAGACACACAGTAGACGGACGAATATGAGATGAGACAGGTGGACGGACATGTTGCTGTCAGTTGGAGCTTCAGTAGTATCTGCTGAATATGATGATGTTACATGATGATATTAAGAAGATATGTGTGATATCAGAGGGTCACATGACCCCAGAGGTTCGGCATGTTTGTGAAATGACTAACTGACCTCTGATCAGGTCAAAGGTCGCGTGCTCACTGCGTGCTGTCGTTCCAGTCGCTCACGGCCAGCGATAAGAAGTGTTTCGAGGACATGGCGAAGGCCGACAAGGTGCGCTACAACAGCGAGATGAGAGACTACATCCCACCCAAGGGCTTCGGCAAGAGGGGCCGCAAGAAGAAAGACCCCAACGCTCCCAAGAGACCCCCGTAAGTGTGAGACCACCACACCGGGCTGTGCACCGCTACACCTGACAGAGTATCTCTTCTCTGACATGTGAGCACGCGAGCACATCACGCCGGCCTTGGCCACTAGTCCACTGGCTCCCTGTTTGTTTCAGGATTGAATTTAAAATTGTATTAACTGTTTATAAAATTTTAAATGGGTTGTCGCCTTCCTACTTGTCGTACATGTCCACACACCTATCAGAGCACTGAGGTCGTCTAATCAGATGCTCCTCCATGTAAGAACAGCTCGGACCATTGCAACGTCCCTGCTTAAGACCCACTATTATTCTTTGGCTTTTAATTCAAGTTGAGCTTTGATATTTTGACTTTATTCTTTCTCTGTCAGATATTTTGTATTGTACATTGTGCTCTGTCTGTGTTTTATTGTCTCGCTGCTTGTTAAGCACCGAGGTTGTTTTTAAAATAAAATTGAACTTGAACTGTGTGTGTGTGTGTGTGTGTGTGTGTGTGTGTGTGCGTGTGCGTGTGCGCGTGCAGGTCTGCGTTCTTTGTGTTCTGCAGCGAGTACCGCCCCAGTGTGAAGCAGCAGTATCCGGGTCTCTCTATAGGCGACTGTGCCAAGCGTCTGGGGGAGATGTGGAGCAAGCTGACCCAGTCGGACAAGCTGCCCTACGAGGAGAAGGCCCAGAAGCTACGGGAGAAGTACGACCGGGTGAGTCGCCCTGAGATTAAGACCTTTGTGTTATTACACGCCGCCCCCGGGTCCGCCTCCCACTATCACAATGAGTAAATGCGTCCGTCCTGCAGGACATGGTGGCGTACCGCGGAGGAGGAACAACGTATGCTCGGAATCCTGGCTCTTCAGCTCAGGGAGGAGAGGAAGAGGAGGATGACGAGGGAGAGGACGACGACGATGATGACGACGAGTGAGAGAGAGAGTGTGAGTGCGAGAGCGTCTGTACAGTCATTTTAAAGATAATCTCACCAAGCTTCAACCATGTAACCCGTAGCAACCAGGTGTCCGATCGGGGAAGCTGTGAGATATCAAATATAAACGTCCTCCTCATTGTGTCTTTAAAGACAGACTGTCTCCTCTACCAGAGGGAGGACGGAATATAAGACATCTTCTGACTTTTAAAGACCAATTAGTAAGAAAAGAATCAGCTGATGTTCAAGTCTCTGACAGGTCACATGACCAAACTGGAGTTTCTTTATAAACACCTGATTTAAAGTGTGTGTGTGTGTGTGTGTGTGTTCGTTGACCAGACAACAGTAAAGTAACACCCCCCGTCACTGTTACCATGGTTACCGCAGCACCCTCCAATCTCCCCTCCCATTGCCGCAGGTGGGGCACTGAGAATGAAGGCCCCTTCTCTCTCTCCTTCTCAAGGAGGGGGGTCGTGGTGTTTGCGCATTCTCTCTACGGGTGTGTTTTCTGTCTTTTGTACAGCGTCTTTGTAGAAACTTTTATAATAAAACGACCACCTGAGGAAAAAATCCAGGGTCTCTTTGTTCTTCTTCACCCATCGAACATCTGGATCTGGATAGAGATGAGCCACACTTCAAAATAAAAGCACCAGTAGTTCTCAGGCCCGTCGACCCTCCGGCTGCTGGGGTCCGGGGCCCCTGGCCAGCCTCCATCAGCAGTGGCCTTACTGGTCAGCGGGAGGTGGGTTAGTTGTCATAAGGTGTCAGCTGTTGTCACTGCAGATGTCCGTAACCATCTCTCGTGCAGCTCTATGATTCATGCTGTTATGTAATAGTCACCTGACACATCTCGCCGTAGCGACGGCTGCTATCTGACTAGCAGTCAGCATTGGTGTCATGAGCATCTGGTATCTCCAGAGGTTCCTTCAGGAAGCTCCTCCCCCTTATCCAGGCTCTCGGAGCCAATGATCCTGTGATCAATGCGATGCGTAGGTAGTTCTGAGAGAACACAGCGCGCAGTGAGACCCCCCCAGAAGACGGATACCTCAATGATGACGTTGGTATTGAAGCTGTACGAAACATCGTAGTCTTTGTTTGTATCACAGCGCTTTCCATTAACCACACACAGGTTCTTTTTGTACTTTTTCTTTTCTTTTTATGTTGAACACAAGGATGTTTTCAGGCAAGAGAAATCAACCAATCACAAAGAAGTATAATGACATCATATAGCACAAGAGCTGTTCACTCTTTGGAAGAAGACGATTGGTTGAGATTACAACAGGCGGGGAGGGGCGTGTCCTGGTGGCAAAACAAGAGGCCGGCTGGATTCAACTTGTCAAATGTCCTCAGGAAGGTTCCTCACTGAGGGAACTGAAGTGGCATCGTGATGAGAGCTGTTCTGTTCTCTAATGCTATAAGGAAAGGAGCTTCAATGCTTCCTTACTTAGCTCCTTTAGCATAGGAACCACTGGAGCACCCTTTACCGAAGGAAAGGAGATGAACGTCCCACAATTCCTTGCAGCGACAATATTTAACTAGTGACGTATGGAGAAATAACGAGATCATGTGAGTAACCGTTTATGTTAATAAAGTTTTCCTTTGAACCTGTTTGTTTGTGTGTCTGCACGACTCACACTGTAACAACACATGAAGCATCTGCAGACTGACGTCCCCAACAAGCGTCTCCGCCCAAAACAGCTACGTAGCTCAGTGGAGTCCATTCCTAAACACCTGCTTTGTCTTCTCCTAACTCCTCATCAACTCTCCTAACCAGCTTTCCTTGACCCCGTGACCTTATCCACAGAGGTCAAGGACAGCTGCTTTGGAATAGACGTTAAGGGGTAATTCTTTTGACAATTCGAATCCAGCCTATGAGGTGAAGAGACAGGTGGGGGTTGTGCAACCTGGTTTCCATGGTAACAGTTATAAAGCTCAGCCACCTGATATCACAAAGACCAAAACATGTAATGACTTCCTAACCCATCAAAGTTATTCACAAATGACTTTACATACTAATTATAAACTAACAAAGACAACAAATAAAAGATATGACAACACCACTACTGTTGCCATAGTTACATCAGCTACCATCTGATTCAGCCGCTTCCATGGCAACATGCGGTTGAAGAGAAACCAGTAACTGAACTGGTTCTCAAACTAATCCAGATCCAGAACTATTAGCAATATGGTTCCTGTTCTTAACTGGTTCCTGAAGTAGATTTGTGGGAACCTGTAAAACTTTATCACATCATAAATAACCCAAATAAATAAATAAACATTTAATAAATAGGTGACATGACTAAATAAACTCATCAGTATGATCAATCATTGGTCATGCAGATAAATCTATTGATGGAGGGACCACCTGTTGTCAGTGACATCATCACAGCAGTCCAGAATCGTAAATACAAACGGAACCACTGCCTGGGACAATCGGCCGTGTTAAAAGCTTTAGAATACAGAGGGTCAGTAAATGCATCATGAACACGGGTACAAAACAAAACAGGTGTTTGAGGGTAGATTGTGTAACTCATTTAAACACGTGTGAGTGTGTATATTTACAGTACGTGTGTGTGTGTCTATTTGTCGTTGATTCTCAGTTTGAAGGACACCCGTCCAGCGAATTTGTCTCTCTCACTGCCTTCGGCCAGAGTGTTGGAATTGATTTTACACTCCACGCTGATGTCGGTGTTCAGAGAGGCGTTCAGGAACTTCACGGCCACCAGCGGTTGAGTGTAGTTCACCTGAGATATTGAACACATCACACGGTTAAATGACATCACTGTTGTGATGATCGCTCAATAGACCTTTCACACGACTACGCAATCGGCGTGGTAATCTTCTTCCTGTCTGGTCAGGGCAACGGCGGTAAACGAGCAGGGGTGGTTGTAGCGTACCGGGCTGTTCTGTATCTGTCCTTTCATCCCTTCCCTGTTGATGGTGATCCGGCGGGATGAAGGACCAAACATTAGCATTAAAAAGGGGAGCACGTATGTCTGCAGCAGACACTCTACGTCTTAGGGATCAGCGTTCGCCGCTTGAAACCAGAGGCCGTCGCTCGCCTTTTCCCTTGGAACGATTTCACCCATAAAGGAAAAAGGGAGCCGGTGTCTGAGCGGTGCCAGCTGTTGGCGTCTGTAGGAGTCGAGATAAAGGAAATAGCAAAGAAAACTTTTTTGTGACGGAGTTTCCCTCCACCAGTCTTGTAATGTAATTGTAGTTAAATCTGTGAGCAAAGTTGTGAAGACTCTCTCCGAGAGTCTCGGATCCATTTTCTCCTGACGTGTTGACGCTTGACAGGAAGTCCACTTCCACATTGATTACGCATTTTCGGTTATTGTGAAATAGGTTCATCCCGATCCGCACTCCGAGGCGCTCCTTTTAACTCTAACTGTGAGGGTTTAGGTACACAAGGTGACATCATCTCTGGTAGACATGTTGAGCCCTTTATGAACACTTAGCCCAAGGGAATAACCCACTAGACATGACCAGTGACTTCATAATAAAATGTATGCATTTAAAACTTCACGATTGAAAAACACATGAAATCAGACAATGTTTATTCAGCTATTAATGAAATATAAAATGTTGTCACCGAAACAAAAAAAAGGAAAATATTATTTGAAATGACCTCTTAAGGACATTTCAATCAGAGAATAAAACGTAATAAATCTATATTGCTGTGTCGAGGAACGAGACTCACACAGTGATTTGTCTTTTGGGGCAACAAATCAAGTTGGTAACCTGACTGACCGGCTCCTGTGGTTGCATTTGGGTCCTAATCCTCGTCCTCTCGTGAGACTACTCTGTCCAAATGGTCTACTGGGACCAACCATGTCCACAGGGTTACCCTAACCCGCTAACCCTGGTCTACTGGCTACAACTGATCTACTGGTCCTCATGAGATGAACCTGGGACTGACATGAAGGGGGGTCCACTGATGGGGATCCCGGACAGATCTGTTGATGTACATTGAGTTTTGAGTTACCTGAGCTTTCTTGCCATAGTACGGGTAGTACATGAGGTTGAAGGTTCCGTTAGGAGGATAGTAGGCCAGAGGTCCGATCTTATCCCCGTCCTCCCTCTGGGCATACGCACACACACACACACGCACACACACACGCATACACACACACACACACACACACGCACACACACACACACACACGCACACACACACACACACACACACTGATCAATACCTCAGTTCAGCTCGGCCATCAATGGACTACAGTTTACGCGGAAACTTTAACCATGAGAGCTTTTGCAGATGTTCTACTTTGAGTCTTTTGGATTCTACGTTGCGTCTCTGTGGTTCTACGTTGCGTCTCTCTGCTGTTCTACGTCGCGTCTCTTTGGATTCTACGTTGCGTCTCTGTGGTTCTACGTTGCTTCTTCGTGGTTCTACATCGCGTCTCTGTGGTTCTATGTTGCATCTCTCTGTGGTTCTTTGTTGTACGTCTTTGTGGTTCTGCGTTGTGTCTCTCTGCTGTTCTACGTTGTGTCGGCTGTTCTACGTTGCTTCTTCGTGGTTCTATATCGCGTCTCTGTGGTTCTATGTTGCATCTCTCTACGGTTCTACGTTGTGTCTCTGGTTTTACGTTGAGTCTCTGCTGTTCTACGTTGCATCTCTGCTGTTCTACGTTGTGTCTCTGCTGTTCTATATTGCGTCTCTGTGGTTCTACGTTGTGTCTATGCTGTTCTACGTTGCATCTCTCTGCTGTTCTACGTTGTGTCTGCTGTTCTACGTTGTGTCTATGTGGTCTACGTTGAGTCTCTGCTGTTCTACGTTGCATCTCTGCTGTTCTACGTCGCGTCTCTTTGGTTCTACGTTGCGTCTCTGTGGTTCTACGTTGTGTCTATGCTGTTCTACGTTGCATCTCTCTGCTGTTCTACGTTGTGTCTGCTGTTCTACGTTGTGTCTATGTGGTCTACGTTGCATCTCTCTGCTGTTCTACGTCGCGTCTCTTTGGTTCTACGTTGTGTCTATGCTGTTCTACGTTGCATCTCTCTGCTGTTCTACGTTGTGTCTGCTGTTCTACGTTGTGTCTATGTGGTCTACGTTGCATCTCTCTGCTGTTCTACGTCGCGTCTCTTTGGTTCTACGTTGCGTCTCTGTGGTTCTACGTTGCGTCTCTCTGCTGGTCTATGTTGCGTCTATGTGGCTCTATGCTGTCTCCGGTTCTAGGTCCTGCTGTTCTTAACACGTTTTTCTCCACTCTGTACCTCTGATGATGGAAGGATGAAAAGATGGAGACAACAGATGAGATGACGGCAGACTGGTAGACAGACAGACAGGCAGACAGGAGCTCCTCCCCTTCAAAGGGGGTTGATCTTCTAGAAGAAGATCTCTGTGGTGGGAACATCCCGTTGGTTATGTGGTCCTTCTTCTCCTGGACAACCAGCCGAGTGGAGTTGACATAGAGACACTCAACACAGACAGACAGACAGGCGGTTCACACCTTGGCTCCACAGGTGACATAAGGGGACTGACCGTCCTTCCCCGGCAGCATACCGATCACCTGGAGAGACGGACACGTCAGAAGAATATTCCCTATCATGGCAGCCAGATACAAAGTTAAATAATGACCTACTCTGTTCAGCTTGATGAGGATGCAGGGCTGCCCTCTGCTGTAACCATAGAAACGATCCAAAATCCCCGAGCACTCCTCCAACATGGTCCGATTAAACTGACAGGAGCGCTTGGGATTGTTCCTGACCTGAAGACAGACAGGCAGGGGGAGAGTGAGACATGCACGCAGATACAGAAAGAAAGGCAGAGGGTGAGACAGGGAGGTAGATGAAAAGGAAGGTAAAGTCAGACAGACTGACAGTTTCACCTCTCCACTGTCCTCTTGAATGAAGTATTGATCTGGAGAGCATTTATCGTTGGTCTGAACCTGATAGCTGCCGTTGTATGCTGCAGGCAGACAAGTAGATAGAATCATCTAACTGTAAACATGAGGTCACTCTATATGTGTGACATCATGCCATGACATCATAGCGCCAATAGTCTCACGAGCTAGGAAGCTGTTGAGGTTGTTGGTGAATCCGTCCCAGCTCTCGGTTTCTGAGACGGTGAAGCTGATCTCCAGCTGATCGCCCTTCGGACGAATCATCATCCCTGAAACATGACGACACGTGTCCTTGTTAACCAATCAGAGGCGGAGCCTCGGCGGGCGTCTTTGTTGTTGTTACCTGGAGTGGTCAGGCGGTCCTGCCAGGTGGGCTTGTAGTCATCCAGCGTCAGCAGCATGATGTACATGGTGAGGACAAACATGCCGGCCAGGAACAGGTAGAAGACCAGATAGAAGAGAAGGATCAGCCCTGGGGGAGGGGGGCAAACACAAGAGAGCCCTTCACATCCCCCTCCTCTTCTCCAAATATCATCTTTATAATCCTCTTGAGTTCAGCGCCGCCTCCTGATGACCTACATTCAATGTGTGCAGGGAGGAAGGGGGAGAGGGGGAGGGGATAATCTCTCTCTCTCTTTTTCTCATCTTCTTATTGGTCACTTTCCATCTACAGTTTTACAAATGATGACATTTCTTCTTGGCAATAAAGAACACTGCACTTTTATCAGCTTTGGATCCTTCATTCTGAATATTTATAATGATCATCATCATCTTCTATTATAACATCACTGGATATATTATAATATAGTGTCACATCCTATATTTTAATATGGAATCAATTAATATATTATACTAAGCAAAAAGGTACAGGAGGCTGTACTTGATCGTCCAATAAAGTAACAGTTCGGGGGTGTTGTTAGATCTTGCACCATGTCGTTCATCCACATCGCCCGTGACGACCATCGAAAACGATCATTTGTGGTGTTTACCGGTCTTTTTTCGGTGATCGCCACAGAGCTGAAAACTGATACGACAACTAACGGTCGTGCAAAATCTAAGCGTTACTGAGTGAAGCAGTGATATGTGATAAGCTCGGGTCAATGTGAACCATCAGGATTAAAACCAACAGTTTCTCCCCGTCGGCAGTCGGGCTCATCAACAGAGCCGGTCCCCCACTGACTGACTCTGACATCACACCGCTCACTTTCCTTCTGCACACGTCACTTTCACTTGGCACTTTTGTCACTTGTTCGCTAGTGCACTTTATTTTCTAATTTTTGTATTATTTCATATTAAACTAACCCATAGCCTTATACTGCTAACCCATAGCCTTATACTACTAACCCATAGCCTTATACTACTAACCCATAGCCTTATACTACTAACCCATAGCCTTATACTGCTAACCCATAGCATTATACTGCTAACCCATAGCATTATACTACTAACCCATAGCCTTATACTACTAACCCATAGCATTATACTACTAACCCATAGCCTTATACTGCTAACCCATAGCATTATACTACTAACCCATAGCATTATACTGCTAACCCATAGCATTATACTACTAACCCATAGCCGTATACTACTAACCCATAGCATTATACTACTAACCCATAGCCTTATACTGCTAACCCATAGCATTATACTACTAACCCATAGCATTATACTGATAACCCATAGCATTATACTGCTAACCCATAGCCTTATACTACTAACCCATAGCATTATACTACTAACCCATGGCCTTATACTACTAACCCATAGCCTTATACTGCTAACCCATAGCATTATACTACTAACCCATAGCATTATACTACTAACCCATAGCATTATACTACTAACCCATAGCATTATACTGCTAACCCATAGCATTATACTACTAACCCATTGCATTATTCTACTAACCCATAGCCTTATACTGCTAACCCATAGCCTTATACTGCTAACCCATAGCATTATACTACTAACCCATAGCCTTATACTACTAACCCATAGCATTATACTGCTAACCCATAGCATTATACTACTAACCCATATCCGTATACTACTAACCCATAGCCTTATACTGCTAACCCATAGCATTATACTGCTAACCCATAGCATTATACTACTAACCCATAGCCTTATACTGCTAACCCATAGCATTATACTACTAACCCATAGCATTATACTACTAACCCATAGCCTTATACTGCTAACCCATAGCATTATACTACTAACCCATAGCATTATACTGATAACCCATAGCATTATACTGCTAACCCATAGCCTTATACTACTAACCCATAGCATTATACTACTAACCCATGGCCTTATACTACTAACCCATAGCCTTATACTGCTAACCCATAGCATTATACTACTAACCCATAGCATTATACTACTAACCCATAGCATTATACTGCTAACCCATAGCATTATACTACTAACCCATAGCCGTATACTACTAACCCATAGCATTATACTACTAACCCATAGCCTTATACTGCTAACCCATAGCATTATACTACTAACCCATAGCATTATACTGATAACCCATAGCATTATACTGCTAACCCATAGCCTTATACTACTAACCCATAGCATTATACTACTAACCCATGGCCTTATACTACTAACCCATAGCCTTATACTGCTAACCCATAGCATTATACTACTAACCCATAGCATTATACTACTAACCCATAGCATTATACTACTAACCCATAGCATTATACTGCTAACCCATAGCATTATACTACTAACCCATTGCATTATTCTACTAACCCATAGCCTTATACTGCTAACCCATAGCCTTATACTGCTAACCCATAGCATTATACTACTAACCCATAGCCTTATACTACTAACCCATAGCATTATACTGCTAACCCATAGCATTATACTACTAACCCATATCCTTATACTACTAACCCATAGCCTTATACTGCTAACCCATAGCATTATACTGCTAACCCATAGCATTATACTACTAACCCATAGCCTTATACTGCTAACCCATAGCATTATACTACTAACCCATAGCATTATACTACTAACCCATAGCCTTATACTGCTAACCCATAGCATTATACTACTAACCCATAGCATTATACTGCTAACCCATAGCATTATACTACTAACCCATAGCCTTATACTACTAACCCATAGCATTATACTACTAACCCTTAGCCTTATACTGCTAACCCATAGCCTTATACTGCTAACCCATAGCATTATACTACTAACCCATAGCATTATACTGCTAACTCATAGCATTATACTACTAACCCATAGCCTTATACTACTAACCCATAGCATTATACTACTAACCCATAGCCTTATACTGCTAACCCATAGCCTTATACTACTAACCCATAGCATTATACTACTAACCCATGGCCTTATACTACTAACCCATAGCCTTATACTGCTAACCCATAGCATTATACTACTAACCCATTGCATTATACTACTAACCCATAGCATTATACTACTAACCCATAGCCTTATACTGCTAACCCATAGCATTATACTACTAACCCATAGCCTTATACTGCTAACCCATAGCATTATACTACTAACCCATAGCATTATACTGCTAACCCATAGCATTATACTACTAACCCATAGCATTATACTACTAACCCATTGCATTATACTACTAACCCATAGCATTATACTACTAACCCATAGCCTTATACTGCTAACCCATAGCATTATACTACTAACCCATAGCATTATACTACTAACCCATAGCCTTATACTACTAATCCATAGCATTATACTACTAACCCATAGCATTATACTACTAACCCATTGCATTATACTACTAACCCATAGCATTAAACTACTAACCCATAGCATTATACTACTAACCCATTGCATTATACTACTAACCCATAGCATTATACTACTAACCCATAGCATTATACTACTAACCCATATCCTTATACTACTAACCCATTACCACCAGCATTATATTTTATTTTAATACTCGTGCACTGTTGTCTTGTTGTCCATTGTCGTACAGTCTGCTGTTACGCACAAAACGCCAAGTCACATTCCTTCTATGTCGGACATATTATGACCATAAATGTTTCCTGATTCCTGTACATGATCATTCAATAATGGACCCCATGACTCACTCCCAGCCAATCAGAACACTGGATTTCATCTACCCGTATTATAATATCCAGTAGCTGAATACATTATAGAGTCACTGCATATCTGTCTGTTTCCATGTCTTTTTTTCTGTTCTGAAAACAAATGTTGTGTGTGTGTGTGTGTGTGTGTGTGGCCATATTACAGTGCAATCAACCCTAACCCTCCCTAATCCAGATTAACACAAACACACACACACACACACACACACACATTTACTTCACTTCAGTCTATCGTGCATCAGTGTGTGACAGTGTGTGTGTGTGTGTCCTTCAATCTCAATGAAGGCCAAACCGTCACTGCCCTGATGCATGATGGGGAATATGACATCATTAGAGTGTAGTTATGTAAAGCAAGAGCAGACTTTAGACACTGAGGGATTCTTTTATATCACAGCCAACTGGTCCCTACAGCCAACTGGTCCTTACACCCAACTGGTCCCGACAGCCAACTGGTCCCTACAGCCAACTGGTCCCTACAGCCAACTGATCCCTACACCCAACTGGTCCCTACAGCCCACTGGTCCCTACAGCCAACTGGTCCCCACATCCAACTGGTCCCTACAGCCCACTGGTCCCTACAGCCAACTGGTCCCTACAGCCAACTGGTCCTTACACCAAACTGGTCCCTACAGCCAACTGGTCCTTACACCCAACTGGTCCCGACAGCCAACTGGTCCCGACAGCCAACTGGTCCCTACAGCCAACTGGTCCCTACAGCCAACTGATCCCTACACCCAACTGGTCCCTACAGCCAACTGGTCCCTACAGCCCACTGGTCCCTACAGCCAACTGGTCCCCACATCCAACTGGTCCCTACAGCCAACTGGTCCCTACAGCCAACTGGTCCCTACAGCCAACTGGTCCTTACACCAAACTGGTCCCTACAGCCAACTGGTCCCTACAGCCAACTGGTCCCTACACCCAACTGTTCCCTACAGCCAACTGGTCCCTACAGCCCACTGGTCCCTACAGCCAACTGGTCCCCACATCCAACTGGTCCCTACAGCCAACTGGTCCCTACAGCCAACTGGTCCCTACAGCCAACTGATCCCTACAGCCAACTGGTCCCTACAGCCAACTGGTCCCCACATCCAACTGGTACCTACACACAACTGGTCCCTACAGCCAACCGGTCCCTACACCCAACTGGTCCTAATGGTAGCGAATTATTGGCGCGAGTAGATTCCATGTAAAGTCAATGCACAGACGCGTCTGGTCGTGAATGAGGCAAATTTTAAAAGGGCGGAAAAAGCTAAACGAGTGAAGCGAATAAATCGCTTTGTCGCCCAAAGTTGAGATATTTGAACTGGAGCACCGATCCGACACAACAGGTCATCAGACCGGCTGCTGGGCCGCCTGAAGCAGCCGGGAAGCCGCAGTCATCCAGACGCACTTCCTGGAGGAGTCGGTGACATTCCAGCTGTGTGCGGATGATGATGTCATGAACCTGAACACAGCGCGTTTGCGGTTCCGACGTTTGTGTAATTCACACAACAAATAAAGAGCAGAAATTGTGGTTATTTATTGCCCTGGTGGATAGCGTAAATGATTATAACTTTTAACATTCATTTATAATCATAATATTTCTGATAATTCTGATTAGAAATATGCTTTGGTAATATATAAATAATTTTATCTGTCTAGATATTTACATATTATAGATATAGATATTGTTAATGTTTTTTTTTGAATATTGCATATTATATTTATATATATATATATAATATGCAATATAATATATATATATATATATATATATATATATATATATATATATATATATATCATTTATTCTATTGGAAATTTGATGTTTATATATATATATACATCCAAATAAATGTATTAATAATATCAATAAAATATTATAAATATTATCAAATAGATTGAGCTGATCGATGGAGTAATATAGTTATTGATAATGGTATAACTCATCCATAAGAAGGGGGGGGGGGTTACTCACCCCAGCTGGAGGCGGTTCGGCCCAGCAGCTCGTGGGTCCTTGGGTTCCAGAAGCAGTCCCGCCACTCGCTGGAGCCTATGCGGTCCTCCTCCCTGGTTCCGGACATGATGAGGAGGAGAAGGAGGAGGACGAAGAGGAGGAAGATGGAGGTCGGTCTGTGGGCTCGGAGCAGCGCGCGATGTCTCCGCTATGACGGCACGAGCCTCCCGGCTGCTGCTGGAGCGTAGAGACGGTCGGTGAGGGAGGATCGATCCGAGGGATCGATGACGGATATGACCGGTGAGACGAGACCCCGAGACAGACGGAGACAGAGAAAGACAAGACCGAGTCACTGCGAATCACTCCTCCCTCAAACCCTGTGTGACGTCACACCACTAATCAGCGGGCCGACCCCGCCCCCTGCAGAGTGTGACGTGATCGCATGTGATTGCGTCTCTCACGTTTCAACTTTACTGTTTTAATCAGACGGTGGCGGCTGGTCCATTGAGGACAATGGGGGAAAAAATAAATTGTAATCTTTGTTTATATTAAAATTACATTTGACAAATAGTCAACATTTGTGTGAAACGTTCATTATATACCCGGTAATATTTGTAAATTAAGATATCTGCGCAAAATATATGCTTTCCCTGCCCGTCCTCCTCTCTTGTTTACATGTCTCAGCTGTTTCAGCTCCAGTGTCCCTCCAACAACCAAACCCTCACTCTACGTTCTCTCCTCCGAGAGCCGTTTGACAGAAGAACTTTAGCGGTGAAACAGCCGGACCAGACGATCCGACAACGGAGCTGCGTGAAAGGGAAACACGGAGCTTCTGTAGATTCCACCCCTGTGTTCCGCCTCCGGTCCCCCGCTGTGGCTCATCCCGGGGATCACCAGGGCGTCGTCAGTCCTCCCCAGTACCCAGGCTGCTCTCAGGTCAGTCCTCCCCAGTACCCAGGCTGCTCTCGGGTCAGTCCTCCCCAGTACCCAGGCTGCTCTCGGGTCAGTCCTCCCCAGTACCCAGGCTGCTCTCGGGTCAGTCCTCCCCAGTACCCAGGCTGCTCTCGGGTCAGTCCTCCCCAGTACCCAGGCTGCTCTCGGGTCAGTCCTTGCTTCTCAGTCCCAGGGACCCTGTGTTGTGTCTACAGCTGCATAATAGTCCAGCTTGCAGTACTTGGTTGTCCATTAGATGTCCCTCCTAGGACAGGTCTATGGATGTCCCTCCTAGGACAGGTCTATGGATGTCCCTCCTAGGACAGGGCTATAGATGTCCCTCCTAGGACAGGTCTATAGATGTCCCTCCTAGGACAGGCCTATAGATTTCCCTCCTAGGACAGGTCTATAGATGTCCCTCCTAGGACAGGTTTATAGATGTCCCTCCTAGGACAGGTCTATAGATGTCCCTCCTAGGACAGGTCCATAGATGTCCCTCCTAGGACAGGGCTATAGATGTCCCTCCTAGGACAGGCCTATAGATGTCCCTCCTAGGACAGGTCCATAGATGTCCCTCCTAGGACAGGTCCATAGATGTCCCTCCTAGGACAGGTCCATAGATGTCACTCCTAGGACAGGCCTATAGATGTCCCTCCTAGGACAGGTCCATAGATGTCACTCCTAGGACAGGTCTATAGATTTCCCTCCTAGGACAGGTCTATAGATGTTCCTTCTAGGACAGGGCTATAGATGTCCCTCCTAGGACAGGTCTATAGATGTCCCTCCTAGGACAGGTCTATAGATGTCCCTCCTAGGACAGGTTTATAGATGTCCCTCCTAGGACAGGTCTATAGATGTCCCTCCTATGACAGGTCCATAGATGTCCCTCCTAGGATAGTGTCTATAGATATTCCCTCCTAAGGACAAGCTATAGATGTCCCTTCCTAGAACAGGTCTTATATGATGTTCTCTCCTAGGAGAGGTCTATAGATGTCTCTTCTTGAGGACAGGTTCAATAGATGTCCTCACCAAGGCAGTTCTCATAGTTTTCCCTCTAAGGACAGGTCTATAGATTCGCGTGCGCGCTAGGACAGGTCTATAGATGTCCCTCCTAGGACAGGTTTATAGATGTCCCTCCTAGGACAGGTCTATAGGGTCGGCAAACGTTTTGACTCGCGGCCACAGTGGGTTGTAAAATGTGACGGAGGAAGAACAAATGGTTGAAGTGTTTGTGAGCTGATATAAATGACGTGTGAAACATCATCACATGAAAGGATTTGGATTTGAACAAATAGCAAAGCATTTATTTGCAAGTCAATTTAACAAATTGTCAAAGGTGTAACAACTTCATGAGGACCAGGGACCTAAACGCAACACTTTGTTGTCTTTGTCTGTTTACTTGCAATGCTTTTGACACGTCATGCTCCTTTATTGTTTCCACTGACCCAACAAAAGAGACCTTAACGTCCTACAATCGTTGCAATACATTAGTTTCTTGGCTTCAGAACCTGCAATGAGTTTATTACGTTAGACGCGTTTGTGACGGAGCGTCTCATCCAGCGAGGAAACGCTGCCTGCCGTCGCCAGAGAACAGAGCAGAAAGGTCCGACGGTCTTTAAACGCGTCTTCATGTTTCTGTGAAGCAGCGCGGCTTCAGCCTGCTAACAGGCAGCTAACAGGCAGCTGAGCTAAGCTAACGAAGCCACGTTCAAACTCAACGAAGCTAAAATAGTCGCCGCGGTCCGTAGTCGGTGCACAAGAACCACCGCTGTGATGAGGGTTGGTGGATGACGTCATCATGACGCGTTAATATCCGCCGTACTTTGTCTGTTTGTTGTCAGTTGGCTGCGTGCGGATTTAGGGGGAAAAGTATCGTGACTTCGTCACCCACATTACATTACAGGTCATTTAGCAGACGCTTCTATCCAAAGCGACCTACGTTACACTTTAAACCATTAGGGGTCAGGTGTCCTGTTCAGGGACACTTCGACATGGAACATGTTCGTCTCGTTAACGAAAGTTAGAATAGATTTAGTCATAGTTTTTATTTTTTAAGATTGTTTTCGTCACGTTTTAGTCTCGTCTTAGTCATGAAAAAAAGGTTTGTTAACGAAAAAGTTTCGTCATAGTGTTCGTCGCCGAAATTAACACTGGCTGGGCCACCACTGATAACGAGTACTAGTACTTACTCACTATTACTGTTTATCAGAATACTAGTACTCACACAACACTGCTGTTTATCACAGTACTATTACTCATACAGTACTACGGTTTAGGTAGTCTGTAGACTATGCGGTCAACATGGCCCTCCACTACATCTGGACTCCCCAGGAACCTACGGCAGGATCCTGTTTGTGGACTTCAGCTCTGCCTTCAACACCAGCGTTCTGTCCCCTCTGCTCTTCTCCCTGTACACCAACCGCTGCACCACCAGCCACCAGTCCGTCCAGCTCCGGAGGTCTGTGGATGACACCACCCTCATTGGACTGATCTGTGGTGGGGACGAGTCCGCCTACAGTGTCTAGAAAGTGTCCTACTAGTGTTTCACCATCGTTTTACCGCTGTTTTGTTGTTCAATTATATTTGGTGTTGTAGATAAAAGTAAATAAAGTGGACGCTACGGCTGACACGGCTCGGGGACCGATTCCTTGGCGTGAGGAATTGGATGTGTGGCGGGAGTGCGTGACAAGAGAACGAAATGCGTGACTTCTAAAATGCTGCAAAATACTTCACAAGTCCAACCTGATTAATCACGTTTCACGTACATTTGAAGTGGAGCGCCGCATTGGAATGCATTTGTAAACCTTCTGTGTGCGTTTCCAATCATTGAGACCATATCAGACCAGTCTACATTATAGACTGTACATCACAGAGTCTTTACACTCTTATGGACTTTGATGACATTACTATAATATGGTAAATACTCTATGATGTCATTTACAGTCTCGACCAATAGATGGCGGTGGGTTGAGTGGACACATAAAGACAACCAAAGAAAAGAGAGAAGTAGAAGACGAGAAGTTGCGTCAAAAGTGAAGAGCGTTTCAGTGTTGGAGTGGATTTTCTGTTACAGTCTTTTTCTAATCAGCTGCTCGGTTCACCGGTGCTTCTATGTGACGTCACTGGCTCCCGGCGCTCAGCAACTAATCGGAATTTAAACACGGTTCCATTATCGGACACGCAGTCCTCCATCGTCATCAACTGGACACGCGGGGGAAGCTGGAGCAGGACCCGGAGTCCGTCCCGGACCGGTCCAGTGCTGCAGGGAGCCGGTTTCTCGTACGTGGTTCAACTAAAGCCCAGTTTGTGCTTCTGCGCTTTCAGAGCGACGCACTGCGTCCACCCGTTTTTCTCGGCTTGCGTCGCTTTTTGTCGGCCGAGGGGCCGCCGATGACGACTACAAAAAGCTCTTCAATCTGATCCGTTCTCTCGTAAACATTCTTCCTTTTAATAATGTCCGTATCGGGCTGTGAAAGCGGAGATGTGAGACTCCGTAAAGGACGTAGTCAGCGGACCGATCACAGCCCGGTGCGCTGCGGGAGGCTGCGTCGCTTTAGACGCAAGGAGGTGTGAAAAGACACGCAGGGACACGCAGGGACACGTTAAGGCCGGCGCATGCGCATGCGTCTGCGTCTGCGTCGCTCATCCTGAAAATGATCCGGCTAACTCAGAACTCAGGCTAACTCAGAATGTGTGACGAATCTGCTGTTACCTGTTCCTCGTACGTGACGAGGAACAGGTAACAGCAGATTCGTCACACATTCGCAAACATATTGCTGAAAATGTTCAAAATCCATCACATATCCATTGTAGCGATTACGATTGTATAAGAGAGCACTACATCACTGCCACGTATGAAGAAACACATTAAAGAACATATATGTATTAAAATATGCTGTTTTCTATCATTAAACTGTACACCGTCAGCGGCTAGGAAACCTTTTGGTTCAGGGTGAAGCAATACAATATCTAAAAGAGCAAAAACAGTTATAATTCCATTACATTTATTTAGTCCAGCCCAAAGTCAAATATTAGCATTAGAGGGCTTTACAATCTGCACATACACGACATCTCTGTCCCAGGACCCTCACATCGAACCAGGGACAACTCCCCCAAAAGCCCTTTAACGGAGAAAAGAGGAAGAAACCTGTGGGAAGCAAACCAGGAGGGATCCTCCTCCCAAGATGGACAGAAGTGCAATAGATGTACAGAATGATCATCATAAGAGCTACAAAATATTCAATGGACAGAACCACAGAAGGAGGCAAGACCAGGGTCCAGATAGAACCGTGACCCGTGGTGACCTGTGAGGAGACAAAGCACAAAGACTGATGGCTGTCAGGCAGGAGGTGCAGAGTGGACACTGGCAGTGATGGCAAACTTCCACCGTATTCTTTCTTTTACAATATAAATGATCTTCCTGTTTGTAATCGTACACTTCTCTCTATTTAGACCCTTTCAATTCAACCCAGATTAGACGAATGTTTTAGGACACCATGTTTTGAGCAAGATGATTATCAGAGGTGAGACGTAGCCAGGGGGGGTTCTCTAAGTTCATTTGCACCCTTGTTGATTGGATTGTCTCTTTTCTGACAACAGGAAGGAGACGAATGGTGGAGCAGATGTTTTGATGTTGCACACTGGATCTGAGGAGAAGCATTGATGAGTAATATATTACATTTGTAAGATTACAGAACTGTACCTTAGAATCTTACCCATCACCTTACCTTTGTCCCTGGACGTTGCTGTGCATCCCCACATGCTCTACATAGTTCTGTCAGGTTTTCTAGCACATTACGCAAGTATGATTACTTTCTCAATAACATCTAAAACTCCATCGGTGCTCTTTTTTTTCTATAGCTTTTCTAAATCTATTTCTACTGAGCAGAAGTCGCACAAACGAAATTCTCCCTTTATACATTGCTAATTAACGCGATGGCTTAATCCCCGGTGTATTTTCGGATGGGGTTGGGTTCGGATGGGTTCTTCTTGATGGAGAAAAAAAAAACAGAAGTGAAATTGTGAATTGAGTCGTGTTCCCCTGAGGTTAGACCTGACCTGACTTCCACTCCAGACGCAGTGCTTTAAATGGTCCAATCAGAAATGATCACACCTGTCTGCCCCACGGTGATATTTACCTGTATTTTTGTCATTGTCAGAGCTCCGTTGCCGTGGAGACCACACTGATGGCGAACAAGACGAAGATCCAAGCTTCGGGACAGACGTCTTCTGACGAAGAACCCTTGAATCCTAACGGCCACCGGCCGAGCCAGAAAGCAAAGAGGAGGGGCCCTGCAGAGAAGCAGCGGCGTCTTAGAGATAAAAGGCGGGGCAACAAGGAGAAGAAGCAGGAGGGCGTTACGGTGAAGAGGATGTACAGCGACGGGAAGCGGCGCTGGGATAAGAAACATTACTGCGTGTTCTGCCGGCAGCCACAGGTGAAGATAGCTCGGCACCTGCTCACCAAACACGGCGACCAACAGGAAGTGGCGGCCGCCGGCAAGCTGCCGACCGGCTCCAAACAGCGCCACTTTCTGCTGGAGCATCTACGCTGCAGGGGAAACTACATGCACAACATCGAGGTCTGTCTACCTGCCTGTCTGCTAACAGCCAGAATAAAGTACCTGTATCACAGTTTCCCACCTGTGTGTGTGTGTGTGTGTGTGTGTGTGAGAGCAGAGGAGACCATGTAGGTCAGGGGTCTTCAACTAAAATATGAAGAGGTCCAGTTATAGAAAATGTCTAGCAGCAAAGGTACGGAAGATCATAATGTGACTACTTAGTGTGATCAAATAGAACATTTGAAGGACTGAACATGTATGTGTGACTGCAAATATAAGTAATGTTCTCTCAAGTAAAATAAAAGTAGGGCTGCATTTAAACAAGAAATATCTATATAAGACATATCTGGACTTGTCAGTAAATCAACCTGCACACCACTTATCCTGCACACAGGGTCACAGGGGGCCGGAGTCTTTCCCAGACGCCACACAGAAAGGCCACTGGGCGGAGTCAAACCCAGGACCTTCTTGCTGTGAGGCGACAGTGCTAACCACCACGCCACCGTGCTGCTTTGACAGTCTCAGCAAATTATAAATAGTAAATACACACATTTTAACAATTGAGCAGTTTTGGAATGCAAAGACCTGGTCGAGTGGTATCACGTGGGATGGTTTACCTCTAATGCAATTGGTCTGTGATTTAAGCCACTACCGTAAAGACGACCAAAGCTGCGCAGTTGAAAAGTGCACCGTCACGTTTAACTTACAAACTTCTAAACTTTTTGTCCGGATGGGACGGCTTCTGGGTCCAGATCTGGACCGCGGTCCGCCAGTTAGTGACCTCTGATTTAGGTACTGTGGCAAACCAGGAGGAGGGGTCAAGCCAAGACGGTGGATCAGGTTGGGGGAGGTGATAGAGGGGGGGTGTTACCCAGTGCATGGGCTGCAACCGGTTGGCAACTGGCATTGGGAACACCTGCAGCCCATCAACCCAATCATGAGGTGACAGGGATATAGAGGGTGACATGGGAGACAACTGGGAAGCATTATTGCCCTGTCATGCCTTTCCTCTGTTTTCCCCCCAGAACAAGTCGTTAAGGACCTAAGACCGGGTGCTCCCCCCCACTTTTATAATGATAGGGGAAACGGATAATATTCAGGACTATCCACCAGTCTGCCTGACTGTCTGTCTGCCTGTCTGTCCCTCAGGTGATCCGACAGGGCACCGGAGAGATTGTCCCGTGGCGTCAGCCCTCAGAGGACGTTGATGCCAGGAACTATCTTCCCTGCCCGCTTTGCCTTGGTTTTTTCCTACGTGCTGATCTCTGGAAACATCAAGCTTCCTGTCGCAAGAAGATGACCTCTGAGCCCCCAAAAGAGTTCACAACTAAGTTTACCTCTGACCTGACGAAGGACACAAACTCTGACTCCGCAGGTAAATCAGCCTGTAATCCAACAGCCGACCGGAGCGACGCGTCCACCGAGGATGCACCTTCTGACCCCTCAGGAGACACAACTACCAAGGGCCAGACATCTGACCCCACAGTGAATCAAAACGAGACCTCTCACCCAGAGGCGGACCAGCCCAGGAAGCGCAACAGGGTCCAGGCCGCAGCATCCCGCCTCCTCCCGATTTCCAGCGGAGCATCGGAGAGCTGCAGCGAAGTTCTGCACCGCATGAACCAGGACCACGTCTCACACCAGGTCTGTCTGTCCGTCTGCCTGCTTGTCTGTCTGCCCGTCTGTCTCCGTGTTAACTCGCTATTCCTCACCCTCGCCAGGTCAAATCTGATTGGTTGATTTGTAAATACGGAAACAAGTTGATGGGAAATCAAGATGGCAGCCAGAGGAGGTACGACTACGTCAGTCAGAAGCTGAGGGAGCTCGGCCGGTTCCTTCTAGCCGCTAAGTCTCTAGATTCTGGGGTCCAGAACCTGCAGGACCTCCTTGCGCCGGGCCGCCTCGCCCTGTCTCTGTCCGCCGCTAGGAAGGCGGCCGGCTACCGGTGGAGTCGCCCGCCACTGGCGGTGAAAACCACGCTGAAAACTCTCTGTGAGATTGCGATCGGAGAGACTCTCCAGGACGGAGACGTGGAGGCCGCGGCCAAGACCACTGACTTCTACCACGTGCTGGGGAGGGAGTGGGACCAGCTGGGGCTGCAGAGCCCCGACTCCAACACAGGTAACCATGGCAGCTAGCTGCGGGGGGTCATTTAACTGAACCTGGAGAGTAGGGCTGCAACAAGGAATCGATGAAATTCCATTTATTAAAAGCATTGGCGACGAATTTCAATACTGATCCGTTGTGTCTCGCGATTATTACGTCACTCAATGAGCTGCGGAGATGGATGCTACGGCGCACAGGGAGGTTAAAGAGGAACTGAAGTCCGATTCGGGGTTTTTTTGTGTGAGAAAGGGGATGTGTGGCGGGAGAGCGCTGCTAAAAACCGAAATGAGTGACTGTCACACTCAATGCGACATGTAACCTGGCACGGGAGCACCACGTTGTCCCGTTTGGACGTGAGGAACGTAAGGAGCCTCCAGCAGCGCTGCTGTTGTTTACTTGTCGTCCAGCTGATCAAGCTAGCGTTAGCTCGCTAATAACTGCAGTCAAGCAGTTAGCAAGACTAAGACACGTCTCTATTTACTCGCCTCTTTTGGACCTTTTCATTTTTCAATCTGTTGTATTTTGTGCTTTGTCCCATATCTGTTATTGTTGACCTATATATTTGTGTGGTGTTCTTTTTAATGCTGTCATATACGGTAGTCTAGTGCGCTTGCGCACATACTGTGGGTTGTACGGTAGTTGATGTTACGCCTGTAAAGGGAGACGCAGTGTTCCATTAAACCAGCGCAGCGAACTAAGAAGCCTAATGCATTTATTTACAAATGGCCTTTTAAATTCATCTCATAGCACTTGGTTGTTTTTGTAGCTGCACTTGAGGATTGGGTGTGTACATTTATTTGCACTACAATGATTGTAATAATTTAATGAATAAGCTCCACGTGAACATGGGGGTGTTTGAGTAGTATAGAGAACAAGTTCTGACATTAAAACAAACCCTGTTACATTTTCTGATTTGTATTCTTTATTTTTTCTAAATGATTATGTTCAAGGAGCAACCTGTGCTTTCTGAAGTATCTTTGCAGTCCTTTTTTAGAATGAAGGGTTGCAAATTAAAGCCTTTTGATGCTGTTTTTTTTTTCATCCATTTCATCGATGAATCGATTTTTATCAAAATAATCGTTAGTTGCAGCCCTACTTGAGAGTTTGCGGTTCAGGGGTCTCCATCGCTGAGTGGCTGAGCTTGTTTTCTAGACGAAGCGGTCCGAGCCAAGCTGAAGAAACGATTGGTCCCATCTAGAGGTGGGAAGTGTAAAGACCCCGCTGACCTCAGACCAGAGGGTGAGTCCTGATGCTGACGACCACCCATTTGGGGGTTTAAGTAATGTCCAATTGGAATGCACTGTCTGAAAGTGTCACTATCATTTCAAATGTATTTTACTTCTTTTAAAAATGGGGAAAAACATGTGAAAAAGGTCTTGAAATTGGAGCTACTGCTTAACCAGCTGAGCACAAGCCAGCAGCACAACATTTCAATCTATTCACATTCTCCAAAAACAAAAGTCACTGCAATATTCTCACCAAACACCATATCCTGAGTTGGGAGAACCTCATTAAATTCAGTGTGTGTGGTTTTTAAACCGTTACATGAAATGGCCACTTAGTGGTTATATTTAACAAAGCAGCAGATTCACTAGATCTGCTTCAAGACGTGATTGTGTTATTATAAAGCGGTCAAGCTCATTTAGAAAACCTACGTTCTCTATGAAGGCAGCTCACTCGTGGAATGCTCAGCCACCACACACACAATCTTGAGATACAACCTTAAGGATTGGCTTGTTGCCACTCAGGTGTGCACACATTAATGTGGTGTCTGTCCTGGGGTCCGTTTCAAGAAGTGGGTTTAGTTTGTTCACCCTGAGATGAGGAAAACTCGGTCCGTCACCACGGTAACTGAAGCTCCGGCTCAGTCACCACGGTAACTGAAGCTCCGGGTCCGTCACCACGGTAACTGAGCCTGTGAACATCACCTGGTCGGGAGCAGGTTTTCTTTCTCCTTCCACAGGCTCCTCCCTCTGACAGCAGCCCAGCCAATCACATAGCGCGCTTTACTTTCCTCATTCATTCTGTATTACACATATGAACAAAATAAGATCCCTGTTACGTTAAAGACTAAAGTGCTTTCTGGACGATCCTGTTGATGAAGAAGCGCTTTTACTTCGTTAAACGCGTCTGGAGAGAATATTGAGGCCCGATCAGATGTATCGTCGTTTCCAGATGACTACTTGTTTGAACGCTATCGTTTTTCTTCACAGTCCATCAAAAATGTCCATGACCTCACCCGTCCTCATAGAACTAACGTCCCCCATCGTGGACGTGCTCTCACATACGAGTACATTCTTTGTGTAGTGTTACGTGTTTTCCTTTACAACATTAGAATATTAGTAAAGCTGCTGTATGCAGAGCCGTGAGAAACTTGTACCTGGCTCCTAACCTCACCCGTCCATATAACTAATGTCACTCATCGTGGACAAGATCTCACATACGAGCATCTTTGTGTCGTGTATTACTTTTTTTGCAAACGGCATTTTCCTTTACATCGGTGCTGCAGAGAATATTCGTAAAGCTGCTGTATGCAGAGCCGTGAGAAACGTGTGCCTCGCTCCAACCGGCACCTGAATAAAACATATTATAGGTTCAATACTAGTTTTTACCAGCGATATTAATCTAAATATGAGCATGAGTGGGTATTTCAAGCGCGTATTTAGTGCATTCTAACAGAATGTAAAAAATGTTATTTTCCCACTGGAAATGAGTAAAACGTATGGATTATGATGAGTGTACATTAAATATTAACTGTCAACACTTTATTGTAACTTACGCCGTTTCTCTGTCATTTGCTGCAGCAGCGTGTTGCTTTACTTCCTAGTTACAGGTTCATCCTCGCCGTCCGCTTGCATTACTATTTACAGCTCAATAGGTGTGAATATACTGTTTGTGGTGGTTGTCATGGTAACTGATAGTATCGTGGCTCCATTCATGCTGCCTTCATACTGTGGTGATGCACACGCTCAACTCTGAGTCAACCTACTGGAGTTGAATGAACCAACTCTGAACAGCAGTTCTGAGACCAGAAAGTCAGTTTCTCGTCTCCGGGTGAATCAACTCTGAGTTTGACTGAGTTTGTTAAACCTCCTACTTGAAACGGACCTCTGCTTGCTTAGATGTACGTCTTGTTCAGTGTTATTATCTCTCTGTGTATGTGACGTGCTTCAGTGTTGTGCTGTATATGTGCTTAGGTGTGTTTGTTCTGCCTGACGCAGGCTGCATTCTGTTGTCTGGTCTATTGTCGTACACTTTTCTGTTCTTTGTCAGTCCATGAATTTGAATTAATTTCCTTTTGTTATTCTCCGTCAATCGTCTGGCTGGGGACAGCAGATGGAAATGAGCCTCTCTGCTCACTTAAAGTACAATTATTGATTGGTTTGCATTGCAAAATAAATAAATCTCAACCCCCAGGCCAGAGGCTGCATCCTGATTCTAACCTCTGACCCCAGACGACCAACCTTTATCAGAACACGTCGACTAGATGGTGCATTCTGACCGTCTGTCTCGTTTGTAGTTTTGTCTCCAAGCAGACCCAGAACGTCGACCTACATGAGTTCACGGGAGTCCAGGCTGCAGACCCCTGCTGGTGGGTTCTCCTGTATTCTGCTGATCACATCACTGGCCTGAGACCTCATTTGTCATCAATTTTCTGTCTTTCAGTCCCTGTGGCTCCTGGAAAGGTCCAACGTCGACCCTGGTCTTCTGCTGAGAAGGAGGCGGTCTGGAGACAGCTGGGAGTCTACGTGCTGGTCCAGTCGGTTCCGGGGAAGGAAGTCTGCCAGCGCTGTCTAGACCTGGAGCCTGACCTCAGAGGGCGACACTGGAAAGACGTCAAGAACCAAGTCCACAACCAGATCCAGAGCCAGAAGAAGCAGCAGTTCCATACCCAGATGGACCTTCAGGAGAACCAGGGGGAGCAGAGCCAGAACCAAAATAAGCAGCAACAGTACCAGGACCACACCAACAATCCGAAGAAGCAGCAGCAGTACCAGGGCCAGTTTGACAATCAGGACCACCTTCAGACCCACAAGAAACAGCTGCACCACATGGGCGAGCAGACTGACCTGGACCGCGACACTTCTGTTCTGACGGTTGTAGCTTATGGACCTGACGGTCCACACCGAGGACTGCTGGACCCCCCTGTGAGTCCGTACCTCCAGCTGCTGGACGGGTCAGTCCAGTACCACACTGTCAGCAGACATACGGACCAGAACATGCTACAGGAGGTTCCACCAGGACAACCCCACAATGCACACTCCGGACTGGTCTACTTCTGATGGACCGGTCCACTTAGGAACCACAAGGTCTCAATGGGGAACCAACAGGCCTTGTTTAGTGTGTGTGTGCGCTTCTCAGAGCTTCTTTAATGAATGAGATTCTTAACTAATAAACTCTGAGTTATTCAAAGTATTGATATTATGAAGACAAACTAATTGTATAGTTCCATATTATTAAGGAGCTGCAACATTGAAGCTATGAACACATTAATGCAGGGCTCTTCAACGTTTTTCAGGCCAAGGTCCCCCGAACTGATGGCGAGATGGAGCAGGGACCCCCTGTTCTACGGCGTTTGGTCTGCCATCTTTTATTTTTGAGTTCCGCGCTCTTTAGACGTGAGCACGAACGGATCTGATTGGCTGTGATGTCGTATCAGCGTGATGAGTGAACCGGTGTCCAGCTTGAGAGCTGCTGAGGGACTGAAAGACAACGTCTCCTGGATCAATGTATCGGTTTCTACAACATGTTGGATTCATGTTAATGTGTTTTTAAATACAATTCTGATGACAGTTGAATTTGTGGAAAGAAAATTGGTTGAAAAAAAGATTGTCTTCTCATCCAAAGGTTTTGCGACCCGCTGCAGTACCTCCACGGACCCCCTGTTGAAGACCTCTGGATTAATGTATCAATCAATAAATAGTCAACGACTTAGTAAAGTAGTAAAGTAACTTGTGTATTTTACACAGTAAAAGTCCTGGTAGTATAATACACAGTACTATAGTAAATACTTATGTATACATATGTTTTAACTGGTCTGATTTTTGGTCCCACTGGACTAATGGGTTGAACTGTTTCAACTAGTTAGTTTAACATGTTGAACGGGTCTAATTTGTTTAACTGGGCTAACTGGTGTATGTGGGATAACTGGTTTAAAATGTTTAACTGGACCTGTTTAAATGAACTAACATGTTAACTGGTTTAACATGAACTGTGAAAATGACTCTGAGAGACTTATAAAGACGTCATAAGAGTCCTAAACACACACACACACACACACACACACACTGACTCACTTATAAAACAGTTTTATATGAAACATTTGACTCTTCACACAGAAACTTTTCAACTGATTTCTAATGAGTTTCACAACTTCACACATTTAGAAATGTGTTGAAACCCTGAAAGGTCACGTGACTTATTAGGAATGATTCTTCCTACGAATCAACATCACTGACGGTCTATTTTAAATCAGGCTTTAATACGAACATAGGCTTCTAGGTTTTAATTTGTATTTACTTTAGAAAGACCTCCTCGTGTGCACGCACGGGTACGCGCACGGGTACGCGCAGGACTCCTGAGCTCTGATTGGCCGATGGGAGGTTCCTCCCGCGGGGGAGGCCCGATGCGCATGCGCGCGAGCGGAGGGAGGAGGCGCGTGTTTGTAGTTTGAGTTTAGTTGAGAGTCCGACTGAGACAAGATTGATACAGTTTATATTCAACTAAAAGAGCAGTCTGCTTATTGTCTGCCGTAAGACAGGCAGACAGACAGACAGACAGACAGACTTCCAGGCGGACACACGGGCAAGTCGCATCGCTCCAAGCCGGCAAAAGAGCCTCACCGCCGGCATGAAGGTGGAGTTCGCCCCGCTGAACATCCCGCTGCGGAGGAGGCTGCAGACCGCCGCCACGCTGCAGTGGGTCTTCTCCTTCCTGGCTTTAGGTAACGTGTACCTGTCTGCCGTCACGGGACGTCGTGCTCTCACGTCGAGGACGCGCTCAGGTTCAGTGGCAGCTGGTGACGTGGAGCTGCAGGTCAAAGTCCAGCTGCTTTCAGCTCTAACGAGAATCATCACATGTCCTTTATCTGACGCTTTTATCCAGATCGACTTACAATAAGAACATTTCAACCAAGAGGAAACAAACTCAGAAGAACAAGTAACAAATAAGATAGATAAGAGCCATTATAAGTCCAATGTAAGTGCTACAGTTAGTGTGTTAGTGGAGGTAGAGTGTGAAGATGTGAAGACTCTCTGTGGTCCTGATGTTTTGCTCTCCATCAGATGTTGTAGTTTCACACTAGAATAAAACAGCTGGTGGCTCTGCAAGCGGTGATCAAACCTAATTAAGGGGAAATGCATTTGAACTCAGCTATATTTGATTTAATTCAATTCATTTTTATTTTGTATAGACCAAAATCGCAAATCACAAATTTGCTTCAGAGTGCTTTACGGTCTGTACACATACGTCATCCTCTGTCCCGAAACCTTCACATCGGCACAAGAAAAACTCCAGAAAATGAAAACCCTTCCATGGGGAAAAAGGAACCTCAAGGAGGATCCGTCTCCTGATGGACAGACTACAATGTTCATTCTGTACACATCCAATGTAAAAGATGTACAATACATAGGTTTTCTTCAATACAGCAGGATGTTCATTTAATGTAATGTATTTTAGTACATTGATCAAGATATATTCTCATGTGTACATTGCTATTCTCTTCCACATCGCTACAGATGGTCCATTTAGAGTCAAACACACCATAAAGCAGGGGATGCTTTAGGGCGGGGCTACACGCTGATTGACAGGACTAGAGACGTATAGAATGTCTCTGCGTCCCCCTCAGTCTTTATACTGTCACTTCCTCTTCACTGGTTGCAAAAACAAGGTGGCGACGAACAAAACGCTGAACTTAGAGGCGTCATGACAAACTACGTCGTCGGGCTCCAACCAGAGCTACTGCCGTAAAACGGTAGGTAAGCCTGTTCCTGGGTGTGGTTGTTGGACATTAACGAGCATGTGACTGAACACAAACATCTGATTTTGTTGACTGATGGTCAGTAGTGGGTTAGGCTCTCTGTCACAACAATACGATAGTTTTGTTAAGTCAGCTCATAGCCAAAGATGTTTGCGCCTCAATGTCCAGGTAATCTCGTGGTGACTCATGGGGCAAAATGTATGTCCTGAGGTGTAGAACATGTGCCTTTCCACATTTAATAACCCTAACCCTTTAGCCTTGATGACTTGTATGTGGTCAAGTATTTAATAAATGTCCTGTTTAATGATTTTATTCTGGTGTCAAGTAACATTGACTCTTCGTCTTCGGAGTGCTGAAAAGCCAGGCTCTGGACTCTAGCTCCACGTCACCAGCTGACCGACAGCTGGTTGGCGACCTTTGAACCGGAGGTCCCAACTGTTAGGGTTAAGTATTTGAAATAGTGGGACGGACGGGTTGCCCTGCACTGAAGTGATGGAACTCCACCATATATTTAAAGACGACTGATGCCAGTAAGAAAAGATATCCGCCTGCTGTGATTGGTTCGTGCAATGTTTTAAAAGTTCAACTTACTCATAACTAGGCTTGTCGCAATGTGCAATAAAATGACACATCTCACACACTCAGAAATCACGTGCAATAATCCTTGGTGCTGCGATATTCATTTTACATTTAACATTTAAGTTGATCCTCTGTCCCTCCTTGTGGAAAGGGGGGCGGGACTTAGGCAGCACGCCACAGACACAGAGTGACACCGACAGGTGAAGAGAAGCAGTGAACCCAACTAACCCAACTAAGCTAACTAAGCTAACATCTCACCCAACACAACAACCATCCGCCCGGCTTTAACCTGAACTACTGTCGGTTCCTCCGGACTGCTCCTTCGCCTCTTTGGGCGGGAGGAACGCACGGCAACGTCCCCAGACCGCCATCCTGCGTTCCTCCCGGTCCGCCTGGTCGTTAGCGGGGCCGAGCCGCTCCGTCTCCCCCTGCAGCCGCGGAGCGCGTCGCCTTGCTGGCGGTCGAAGACCCGGGTTAAACCTCCCCGCGTAGAACCTCCCCGCGTTAAACCTCCCCGGGTTAAACCTCCCCGCGTTAAACCTCCCCGCGTTAACCTGCCCCGCGTATACCTCCCCGGGTTAAACCTCCCGCGTAGAACCTCCCCGGGTTAAACCTCCCCGCGTAGAACCTCCCCGGGTTAAACCTCCCCGCGTAGAACCTCCCCGCGTTAAACCTCCCCGCGTAGAACCTCCCCGCGTTAAACCTCCCCGCGTTAAACCTCCCCGGGTTAAACCTCCCCGCGTTAAACCTCCCCGCGTTAAACCTCCCCGCGTTGAACCTCCCCGCGTAGAACCTCCCCGCGTTGAACCTCCCCGGGTTAAACCTCCCCGCGTTGAACCTCCCCGGGTTAAACCTCCCCGCGTAGAACCTCCCCGGGTTAAACCTCCCCGCGTAGAATCATGATGATCAATATGCTGTCTGTCTGATCACCTGACAGCGCAGTGCTGTCTTGCTGCCTTCGTGCTCTTGGCTCTCTCTGATTGGTGGATTGTGGCCCTGCTGTATGCTGGTTGGCTGTGGCTGGACTGGGACACGCCCACCTGCGGGGGTCGGAGGTCACAGTGGGTCAGGAGTTGGAGCGTCTGGGACTTCTTTAAGGACTACTTCCCTTTGACGGTGAGCTAAGGATTATTGATCTGATCAATGAACCTTATCTGTGAGTGTGGTGATTGATTATTGATCTGATCAATGAACCTTATCTGTCAGTGTGGTGATTGATTATTGATCTGATCAATGAACCTTATCTGTCAGTGTGGTGATTGATTATTGATCTGTGTCTCCAGCTGGTTAAAACAGTCGATCTGGATCCAAAGAAAAACTACATCTTCGGATTCCATCCACATGGTGAGAAACTGTCTGTATCTCTGTCTGTCTCTCTGCCCGTCTACCCGTCTGTCTCTCAGGTGTGCTGGTAGCTGTGTTGACCTGTCTGTCTCTCAGGTGTGCTGGTAGCTGGTGCGTTTGGGAACTTTTGTACGGAGGCCACAGGTTTCTCTCGTCTGTTTCCTGGACTCAGGTCTCACCTGCTGATGCTGCCGTTCTGGTTCAGAGTTCCTCTCTTCAGAGACTACATCATGTGTGGAGGTAAACACCTAGCTCTTTCTCTTAATGGGGACCAGAACCAGGTTCCGAAAGAGGTTTTGAGGAACACTGTGTTACGGGTCAGAGCAGGAGGAGGCAGAAAGCTGCTCTGATTGGCTGATGGTCAGAGCAGCGTCACATGGGCTCAAGGTCATCATTGATCTTCAAGTGATGACACTTAGATAACAGCTTCCCAGGTGGAGTCACCTGTGCCACGTTCCACCTGGTGGACAGACTGTGGAATTGCACCTATCACATGAGGATGAACCAAATCCTGTCTCTGTCAGGTGTCTGTCTTTATGAACATGTCTGTCTCTGTCAGGCCTGTTGTCTGTCTTTATGAACCTGTCTGTCTCTCAGGCCTAGTGTCTGTCTTTATGAACCTGTCTGTCTCTCAGGCCTGGTGTCTGTCTTTATGAACCTGTTTGTCTCTCTCAGGCCTGGTGTCTGTCTTTATGAACCTGTCTGTCTCTCAGGCCTGGTGTCTGTCTTTATGAACCTGTCTGTCTCTCAGGCCTGGTGTCTGTCTTTATGAACCTGTCTGTTTCTGTCAGGCCTGGTGTCTGTCTTTATGAACCTGTCTGTCTCTCAGGCCTGGTGTCTGTCTTTATGAACCTGTCTGTCTCTCAGGCTTGGTGTCAAGCTGTAAATCCAGCCTGTCTCACCTCGCCAGCCGACCTGGCGGAGGTAACGTTGCTGTCATCGCAGTGGGCGGAGCTCCAGAGGCTCTGGACGCTCGACCAGGAGCTCTAACACTTCAGGTTTACTATGAAACCTTCAGCCTTTTATAGTTTAGTAGTATCAGAGTCCAGAGGGAAACAGACAGACTTGTAACGTTGGTAACGTTTGTTACCGTAGCAATATTAGAGACCATAGTAATGTCACCAAATGTGATTTGTTTCTGTTTCAGGTTCTCAACAGGAAGGGATTCATCAAAATGGCTCTCAAACATGGGTGGGTGGAGCTTGTGGGGGGGGGGGGGGCGTGGCTCTGAGGGGTGGAGCTCCAAACATTACAGTGTGTGTGTGTGTGTGTGTGTGTGCTGTAGAGCTCAGTTGGTTCCAGTCTTTTCTTTCGGAGAAAACGAGTTGTTTGATCAGATGGAGAATCCTTCCGGCTCTCCTCTGAGGAAGCTGCAGGTCAGAGGTCACACATTAATGTTTCCCTGTGAAATATTCAAATAATTGCAGTAAAAAGTAAACGTCTTAAATTTGAGAAGTTGTTCTGTGTTCACAGAATGGGTTGCAAAGCATCATGGGAGTAGCGATGCCGCTGTTTCACGCCAGAGGAGTTTTCCAGTACAGCTTTGGACTGATACCGTACAGGAAGCCCATCCACACCGTCGGTATGAAGTCACTGGTGTTTTACCAACAGGAAGTGGTGTCCTCCGTCTCATCGACACACTCTGTTTCAGTGGGGAAGCCGATCGCGGTGGTCCAGACTCCGAGTCCCAGCAGCGAGGACATAGAGATGCTTCATAGACTTTACATGCAGAATCTCACGGAGCTCTTCGAACAGCACAAACGCAACTATGGTGTTAGTGACGAACAGCACCTGACCTTCATATGACCTTTAAACAAAGCACATGACCTCCTCATTACCTTAATACAAACCTTAATATGACCTTTTATATATTTCTGTCTAATGATGTGACAGATGTTGTGCAGATATCTGGTGTGACATTACAATAAAGATATGAGAGATATTTAAATGGTTTATTATTTCATTAAGTACTAATGTGGGTGGAGCTTAAGTATCGAGGCAACAACAGATGTTTATATTTATTAAATCTATAAACAATTACAACAATAACAACCATCATAACACAATAATAACAATAAGCTCCCTCGTACCTGGTGATGATTCTGAGCTGATTGATGGGTGGAGGAACACGGGGTCGTCGTGGTGCAGGGGGGTAGAGGGAGCGCTGGGAACCGCAAGGTTGGTGGTTCGAGTCCCGGCTGCCCCATGTCTCAAATCGAAGTGTCCCTGAGCAAGACACCTGACCCCTAATTGCTCCCCGGACAAAATGTAAAAAGACACGTGTTTAAAGTGTAAATGACCTGTAATGTAACATCACATCACATGTCATTTATCTGACACTTTTATCCAAAGCGACTTACAACAAGAACATTTAACCATAAGGACACAAACTCAGAAGAACAAGAAACAAGAAAGTGTGATTTCCTCAAATAAGCCGATGTACAACTTGCTGTAGATAAGAACCATTATAAGTCCAATGTAAGTGCTGCAGTTAGTTAGTGTGTTAGTGGAGGTAGAGTGTGAAGAGGTGTGTCTTTAGTCTGAAGATGTGAAGGCTCTCTGTGGTCCTGATGTCTTCAGAGACCTCCTTCCACCCTTTAGGAGCAGGACAGCAAAGAGTGGAGATCTAGTGGAGTGTTTTGCTCTCAGTGAGGAGGAACAAGCAGTTTATCACATGCAGAGCGGAGAGGTCAGAGGTCGGGGTGTCGGGTTGGACCAGGTCCTGGATGTGAGCTGGACCCCATCCATTCACAGCGTGGTACGTGAGCACCATGTTTAGAACTGGATGAGCCACCGGAAAAGAAGAGGTGATGAGAAGATAGGGGTGATGGGAGGTAGATGTGATGGAGGAGGTGGGGATGTTGGAGGTAATGAGGAGGTGGAGAAAGTCGAGGTGATGAATGTTAAATAGTTATATTTTAATGTTAAGAAAAAGTCTTTGATATTTAATAAAACGGTTAAACGTGTTCATCTTCATCACCATCATCATCTTCGTCTCCCGGTCCTCACAGCGCAGGCGCCTCTCTTTGGACGCGCACGCGTTTTGCTCGCTCCAGGCTCGTTCACGCGCCGGGCCGTCGTCCCGGTGAGCTTCAGTACGCGCACAGTTGAGAGTCTTTGTTCAGAGAAGAAGAAGAAGCGTCCTGCAGTTGATGTTGAGATAACTGAAGAAGAATCACGTCCGTAGAAGTCGGAGTTCCTAACTTTTTTATCTGCTAACTGCGCGCGCGACCATTGCCTGCGTGTACTGCGCATGCGCTCACCGCGGCTTTTTTTTCTCCTATGTACAATGGACCGATTGTGTCACCAGACACGGCTGTGACGTCACCGGAGCGGAGGGAGGCGTGCGGCCGCTGAACGCGCTCATAACCAGGAGAGGCGGGAACGCGCTTCAGCTCGATACATGAACGTGAGTGTTTGTTTACAAGATGACATCAGAGAGGTCGGACTTAATGATGAACATCACAACTAAATGCATTCTTCTTAGATGTTATTGATGATATGTAGTTGACTGTGTGATTGTGTGTCTGTGTGCACACATCTGTTCGTGTAGGTCATAGCTTTTGTCAGCTGCAGTTTGCAGTGATGAAAGAATAATAGTGTATAAAGTAACTTAACGGGTGTTAAGAAAATGTTGTGGATGTTCTATCTATGAATAGAATATGAATCTGTATCATCTGAAATAGACAGTGATTGTGTTTTTCACAGCTGAAATCCTGCAGAACCTGAACTCAGCATGCATGCGCACACACACACACACACACATTACTCCAGGTTGTGCAACAGGCAGCAGGATGAAGCAACAGTAACAGAATGACTCAGAAAACCAGAAGTAAAGAAGAAAAGTTTGCGACGGACAATGTCTGTAAGAGGAGAGACAGACAGACAGGATGTGGGGTGAGACAGACACTGAATCAGGAATCAGGAATCAGGAAACATTTATTTGCCAAAATATGCTAAATATACAAGGAATTTGTCTTGGCGGTTGGTGCGCGACAGTAGACAGACAAGACAACAGTGCACAAGTAATAAAATAAAGTGGAATGAAATGCTAATGCAATGGGTTAGTAGAATAAGGCTATGGGTTAGTATAAAACAAGAGAATAAAGTTAAACATTTTAAATATTAAAAAGTTTAAAAGAAAAGTATTAAGCATAAAGTGCACTAACGAACAAGTAACAGACAAGAGACAAAGTGACGAGTGACGACGAAGTGAGAAATGACAGTAAAGTGACATGTGCAGTATGAAGGGGAGTGACCGGTGGAGTGTTATAGTCAGTCAGTGGGGGACCGGCTCTGTTGATGAGCCCGACTGCCGACGGGAAGAAACTGTTGGTGTGGCGGGAGGTCGTAGTCCTGATGGACCTCAGCCTCCTGCCAGATGGAAGGGACACAAACAGGTTTTGTCCGGGGTGGGAGGGGTCGGCTACCATCTTTTTAGCTGCTTCAGAGACCTGGAAGCGAACAAGTCCTGCAGGGACGGCAGATTGCAGCCGATCAGCCTCTCTGCAGAGCGGAGGACACGCGCGAAATTCTCCCACACTACTCCTCCTCTCGCTTCACTCACTCGACTAGATCTCCACTCTTTGCTGTCCTGCTCCTAAATGGTGGAAGGAGGTCTCTGAAGACATCAGGACCACAGAGAGCCTTCACATCTTCAGACTAAAGACACACCTCTTCACACTCTACCTCCACTAACACACTAACTAACTGCAGCACTTACATTGGACTTATAATGGTTCTTATCTACAGCAAGTTGTAAACTGGTTTATTTGATGAAAATGCACTTTTTTTCTTGTTCTTCTGAGTTTGTGTCCTTATGGTTGAAATGTTCTTATTGTAAGTCGCTTTGGATAAAAGCGTCAGATAAATGACGTGTGATGACCATAAGAAGAGAGAGAGACAGGATGTGGGGTGAGACACTGTTGTTTAACCTGCTTGTGTCTGTAATAAAGCCGATTCTCTTTGTGTTCCAGTGATCCTGCAGAGTGTGTGTGCGTGTCTGTGTGTGTGTGAGAGGATGAGTGGTGGTAAAAAGAGGAGTGGCTTCCAAATCACGAGCGTGACCTCAGACAGGGTGGTCCTGACCGTCCTCCAATCAGCAGCTGCCTCTTGCAGCCCTCAAGGAAGCTCCTCCCAGCCCACCACACCCTCTCTGAAGAGGAAATACATCTCCCATGATGCCTTTGGGCACGGGGTGGGGTCTTCCTCCAGGTTCAGGGTGGTGAGCTGCGTGGGAGGGGCCTGTGATGTGGGCAGGCGAGCCATATCGCAGAGGGATGGACTTGCACAGAATTATAGAGCATCTGGAAGGGGCGGGGTTTAGGCGGGTGATGGACTCTATGAGACACGCCCACTCGCTAGAGTCCCTGGAGATCATTGGCCAGGACACAGACAGAGGCGGAGTCCACTCCCATTACGCCGGCCACCTTTTAGCTCAGCCAATCAGAGGAAAGGAAGAAGCGAGTCTGATACAGCTGAGTGGGCCATCTTCACTAACACACCAAGAACCAATTATCCGGCTCCTGGATTGGAAAGAGCCAATGGGAGCTCAGGGTTCTGACTCCAACCCACCATGTCCTTTGACCCGCCCCCGACACATCCCTCCTCCGCTACGATTGGACGTCGACTCTGCCGGCCGGGTAAGGACCAGTTTTTATTGGCGTAAGTGAGCCACTGTGCGTCTTATTACTCGCTCATCTGTCTGTCTCTCTGTGCCAGTCTGTCTTCAGGCTGTCTCACTCTCAACCAAGCTCCCCCCCCGCTGGAGCATATCATCCCCCTTTGACCCCTGCTCGAACACCAGCAGTCTTCAGTCTGGACCAAGCCATCTTCAGCCTGCCGGGGGACGCAAGGTGTGTATAGATCACGATACCAAATTATGACTTTGATATTATACCAGCCAAAATATCCCTGGGGTCGACATGGGGTCGCAGGGGTAGAGAGGGTGCGCTGGGAACTGCAAGGTTGATGGTTCGAGCCCCGGCTGCTCCATGTACAGCTGGGTTCTCTTTTTCACTCGGCATCTGTTTGACTGTTGACTGTCTGTGGGATAAACAATGCTTATATTGTCACATTTTATCTTAATTCATGGAATAATTATTTTTCCTTAACTGAAAAAATAAAAACAATTGAGGGTGGATCTTCACCTAATTGTTTTTATTTTTTCAATACATCAAGTGTGTATTATTTGGTAAAATTTTGTGTGCATTCTGACCTCATGATCATATAGGCCCACGTTATTTTGCATGTATATGCCTTATATGAAGGCATAAGGATATAAGGCATGTTATATAAGGCATATAAGAAGATGCCTTATATGACATGATCGACATGAGTAAGATGCTAAACCTAAAGGTGTTCATTCAAAAATCAAACTGATGCTGGAATAAAATAAAATAAAATTTCACTACACTAGCTGACATATCATATGCTCAGAACCCATAGCACTTATTAAAAGTGCCGATGGGAAACGCCATTATGAGGCTAAATGAGCACCTCCAGGTGAGGAGAATGGCTCTGACTACATTCAGGAATCAGGAAACATTTATTGCCAAAATATGTCAACATACAAGGAATTTGTCTTGGCGGTTGGTGCGTGACAGCAGACAGTGTAACAATAGACAACAAGACAGCAGTGCACAAGTAATAAAATAAAGTAAAATGAAATGCTAATGCAATGGGTTAGTAGAATAAGGCTATGGGTTAGTATAAAACAAGAGAATAAAGTTAAACATTTAAAAAAGTTAAAAAATATTAAGCATAAAGTGCACTAGTGAACAAGTAACAAAGTGACGAGTGACGACAAAGTTCATGCTCAGGTTTAAAATCCTGGCAGGACGAGCTAGAGCTCAATTCTCCAACTGAACTGAATTTAAGCAATTTAAGCAATAAGGTACGAGAGGCTGTACTTTATCGTCAATAATGTTACAGTTCAGTGTGTGCGGGAGAACTGTCAACAAACAAACGCAAGACGAATGAAGCATCCTGAAATGCACTGATTTACATCACATGCCGTTTATCTGACGCTTTTATCCAAAGCAACTTACAATAAGTGCATTTCAACCATAAGGACACAAACTCAGAAGAACAAGAAAGTGCAATTTCATCAAATCAGCCAATTTACAACTTGCTATAGATAAGAACCATTATAAGTACAATTTAAGTGCTACAATTTACAGTAGTTACAGTAGTCAAGGTGGGCGATGACAAGAGCAGCACCTGCGCCGCCTTCTGAGTGAGAAGGTGACGTGTTCTCCTGGTGTTGTAGAGCGAGTATCTACAGGATCGTATTGTCGCTGTGATGTTGGGAGTCAGGGAGAGTTGGCTGTCGAGTCTCATGCCGAGGTTTCTAGCAGTCAAAGTCGGCGTTGCAAAATTAACAGTCAGGTCCTGATTAATTCAATTCAATTAAATTTATTTTGTATAACCCAAAATCGCAAAGAGGGCTTTACAGTCTGTACACATGTGACTTCCTCTGTCCTGAAACCCTCATATCAGCACAGGAAAACTCCCCAAAAAATTAGGAACCCTTCCATGGGGAAACAAAAGGGAAGAAACCTTAGGGAGAACGTGAGAGGAGTCTCCTGGGACGGACAGACTACAATGGATGTCATGTGTACAGAACGAACTATTTAAAATATGTGTAATAAAAATTCCTATGACAGAAATTATTCAAGTAATTGCGAGTAGCAAGCCAGGTGTATGGCAGGACCACTGCAGGGGCAACCACCATCAGATAGAACCACCATCCACAGAAGGTGTGGGGAGGGAGAGCACAGAGACTTCAGAAAAGGGTAATGTTGATTTATGATGACAGTAATAGACAGTAATAGTTTGGATTAATATTTAAAGTAATGATGATGATGATGATGGCAGCAGCAGGTGTCAGCAGGGCCATGGCAGGTGTCAGGACCAGGGTCCAGAAGGATCTACGATTTACGAAGACCTGCAGGCGAGAAAGCACAAAAACACCCTGAAAGAAGCTGAATTAGTAGAAGGAGAGCGTGAGAGAGGAGCTCAGTGTGTCCTAAGAAGTCCCCCGGCATTCTAAGCCTATAGCAGCTTAACTAAGGGCTGGTCCGGACTAACCTGAGCCAGCCCTAACTATAGGCACAATCAAAGACGAACGTTTTAAGTTTTACTTTAAAAGAGCTGACCGAATCTGCCCCCCGGACTGAAAGTGGAACCTGGTTCCACTAAAGAGGAGCTTGATAACTGAAGGCTCTGGCCCCCAGCCTACTTTTTAAAACCACAGGAACAACAAGTAACCAGCATCTATGGAGCGCAGCTGCCTTGTAGGGCAATAAGGTGTTACAAGCTCTTTAAGATACGACGGTGCCTCTCCAGCAAGTGCCTTGTAGGTGAGGAGAAGTACCTTAAAATCTATTCTTGATTTAACAGGGAGCCAGTGCAGAGAAGTTAATACAGGAGTGATATGATCCCTTTTCTTAGTTCTTGTTAATACACGTGCTGCAGCATTCTGAATCAACTGGAGAGGCTTAAGAGATTTACAAGAGCAGCCCGATAACAGAGAATTACAGTAGTCCAGTCTGGAAGTGACAAACGCATGAACTAATTGTTCTGCATCATTCTGAGACAGGAAGTTTCGATATCTTAGATGTTAGATATTAGATGAAAAAGGCAGTCTTTATATGGAGGTGAAGGACATATCCCGGTGGAAGAGAACTCCAAGATTCTTGACGGTGCTCCTGGATACCAGAGCAATTCCATCCATAGAAACTCTATCACGTGACAGCTGACCTCGAAGGCGCTCTGGGCTTATCAAGATAAGCATTCTGAGCATTTCTGAGTTTAGCATCAGGAAATTGCAGGTCATCAAAACTTGATGTCTCATGACATGCTTGAAGTCTAACAAGTTTAGGAGAGAGATTAGGAGAACCTTTTCCCGGAAGGAGAAGTTTAGTCTTGTCAGGGTTGATTTTCAGATTGTCAGCGGACAGAGAAGGGAGAGAGCAGAGCCTGAGATAGCAAGTTCCTGAAGGGAGGAAATGAAGATCTGGTGTTTTACTGTGTTAAATGCAGCAGAAAGGTCCAGAAGGACGAGGACAGAGGAGAGAGAGGCAACAGGGTGGAGTTGCTCTGAGACAGCGAGGAGAGCAGTCTCTGTGGAATGGTCTTGAAGCCTGACTGGTGGGGGTCAAGGAGGTTGTTACGGTCGAGATAGGAGGAGAGTTGGTTAGTTTTAGACAGAAAGGGCAGAAGAGAGACCGGTCTGTAATTGTTTTTCCTCAGATGGGTTTCTTCAGGAGAGGGTTGACTCTTGCCTCCTTCAGAGAGTTGGGGAGATGGCCAGATAGCAGGGAAGTGTTAATGAGACCAGCCACGAAAGGAAGAAGGTGAGGAGCGATAGAATGTAGAATATGGAATGGAATGGGGTCAAGAAGGCAGGTGGTCGGACACTTGGTTAAGAGACAGGGGGGTGAAAGAGGGAAGCGAGGGCGATAGCGGCGAAACATTAGTAATAGGCGATGGGTTTGAGAAAGAGGAGTGTATGTCAGCTATTTTTTGTACTTTTATTTGTGTAAACAATTCAAACAAATGAGGTGCTTTTTGAGAGCAGTATTTGTTTACACAGTAGCAGTCTATTGATCTATGGATCCATCATCTATCGATGCATCGATGCATCAATATTTTATATATGGATCAACAACCTGTGCAGCAATAATCTATCTATGGATCAATCATCTATTCATGGATCAGTAATCTATCTATCAACAATCTATGCATCAATAATGTATCTCCATGTTTTTGTCCCTGCTGCCGCAGTCTTAGCCCCGCCCCCAAATGCTGTCATTGGTTGGGACATGTGATGACACCCCCCACATTTGCTTAATATTTGACTCAGTATGAGGAATTCATGGATGAATGAAGCCTTGTGTTCAGACTCATTCTGAGTGGGCGGGAGCAGAATCTCACTGCCGTGTTTCTATTGGCTGTGTCAGTGAGTGGGCGGGGGCTGGAATGAGAGCAGCTAATCGAAGAACAGAGAGGGAATGTGTGTGTCTGTGTCTGAACATGATGTCTCTCACTCGTCAATATCTGGACGTCCTGAGGCCGCTGCAGGGGATTAGCCAGGGGTTCTAAGGATGGACAATCACAGACAGCCTTGGTGGAGGACCGGAGACCAAAACCAAGGATAAGGGACAATAACAAGGGACAGCAAACTGGAGTTATTTCCTGTTTTTTTGATTGCCTTTCAACCACGTCCTAATTGGCCAATCTGAACTGTGATTGGTTTGCTGTAGCTGAGCTCTGATTGGCTGGTTATGTTTGTGGGTGGGCTGTGATTTGGAGATGTATCGTGGTGCAAGTAAGATGGTTTCTGGGCGATGGCAGCCTTCGTCTACCCTGACTGACTCCGCCCCTCGTCCTTGTCATCAGCGGCGTCCTCCGTCAACCCCGCCTCTCCCGCTCAGGACTCTGCAACTTGTTGCTAAGCAACCCGAAACGACCGTTGTGTTACGTGATCGGATGAAGCCCAAAGGTCAGGTATCAGGTGTCAGGGAGTCCTGGCCGGGGGCCGGGCCGATGACCTTCGAACCCAAATCCAAGAAGAGTCAGAGGATGCCGGCTCCACCCGCCTTGGCTGGACCAATTGCGGAGGCCTTGTCTAAAGATTCCATCCAACCACACCCTCACGTGAACGTGGCAGCCCTGTTCCCCGCTGCCCTACACCCTCATTGGTCAGTCCCCATTAGAGAATCGCTCAGTGGGCGGAGCTTTGACGCCATTATGATGTCACATCTGCTGCTCTGCCACAGGTAGCCATGGTAACCAGGTGTGCTCAGATTCACCTGGAGGTCGATGTTAATGAAAAAGTTAGTGATGATGACTTCGTATGTGCATGAGTACTTTGAGCCAGTACTTTCTTCATCTGTGTGTATTAGTACTTTATGCTAGTCGTCCAACTGTATGCATTAGTGCTATTAGCTAGTACTCTCTCCCACCACCGTCTTTGTTTCACCTGTCTCTCTCTCTGTGTCATAGCAGCTCCGGGAGCAGTCTGATCGCCATCGACAACAAAATTGAGGCAGCTATGGTGAGACAAATTCCCTTTGTAGTTTTACCAACATTATTATATATACAGTGTATTTACTATATATATATATAATATATATTTATAAGGACTGTCATAGGTATGTATGCCTATTGACATGTATGTATGTATGCCATATTTCTGGCCAAAACTTCTAATTCATGATGGTTATGTTGGCCTTAAAGTATTACAATGCAGTGATTTTCAAAAGAATTATAGCGCCACCTATTGTCATAGGTAAATGCAAACGTTTTATCTCCTAGCCCTTTTATATATCAGCCTTACATTTTTGCAGATAAGCCTTGGCATACACATTTACAGTTAAAGATGTCGTTACTTCATATGATTTTGAAAATATATCTGCCAGGTCTCTACTCAATCAAAAAGGTGTGTGGTTGACAAGGAAATACTTCTCTGTGGAGCAGAAGTTGGTTGATGAGCACCCGTTCTTTGCCTTAACTGAATGGAAGCGATATATATATATTTTACTGACTTTTTTGTTGTGTCAGTACAGCAGGGCCAGTGGCCTAGTGGTTAGGTGTTTCGGTTATCAAGCCAGCGACTGGAGTTTGAGTATGTGATTCACTGATTATCTTCGGCAGTCCTTGTAGCAGCGAGGCTATGGTTTGAGCAAACTCTTCTCAAGGCAGTCTATTCCTTTGCTTTAAGTCACAGTATTTGTTTGCTCGGAAGGAGCCCTCACATTAATATGTGGAAACAAAGGGCAGAAACTGATCCAGTTTACTCTCCACGGTGAGGGTGCTCCTGCTCTCCACATCCTCACTGGAGAGAAATGATCCTTTCCATGAAAGCAGAGTTCTTTGCTGTCACTTGACCACAACTCTGCTCTCTTCAGGAAACCACCTACGTTGTCAGTTTAAATATTGGTCATTTTGTTCTGCAGAGACACATTCAGTGTGTTCAGTGGGCAAAATATATCTGTCAGGCCTCTATTCAATCAGAAAGGTGTGTGGTTGACATGTTAATACCTCTCTGTGGAGCAGAAGTTGGTCCCATTCTCTTGTGTCAGTACAGCAGGGCCAGTGGCCTATTTACTTTTTACTTACTTACTTAGTAAGTCTATGTCTATGTATAGCAGGGCTGGTAGGCCAGTGGTAAAGCATTTCACCTTCAATGCTGGACACTTGGGTTTGAATTCCACATGCGCCATTTTTGAATGCAAGTCTACTTTTACTTAATGAGAATGGTGTGTAGTAGTACGTACTGCAGTGGTCCCCAACCACCGGTCCGTGGGCCGTTTGGTACCGGGCCGCACCACAGAAAGCTTGTATATATTTTTTTTCTGAAAAATGTTTTATTTTGAAAATTGACCGGATTTTCCACACCAATCAGGTGTAGAGACCGTGGTGACTGGCTCCGCCCCCTTACTGTCAGAAAGAACAACAGCGAGCGCGTAGAAAACACCTTCGAGCGCGAGCAGAGACTCACCTCTCGAGCGAGGAAGTTCACGTTCTGCGAGCGAGCGAATATCTTGCGCGAGATGGACTTTTGCTCGCGGATGTTTGATTTACGCATCAACCTGATTTGCGCTCTCGAATTTTGAGAGTGATTTGCCGCCATACTCACCCCCCTTGGAGTAATGGAGTAATTCCTCTGCAGTTCTCTGTTGTATGTCGCACCACTATTTGTTTTTCCTCCAATGCAAAAAGCTCCCTCCATCGTGATGTAACTGACTGCAGCTAGCCGCTGTTTCGTTTCCGTGGTCAACGAGGTAAACAAACGAATGTTAACTAAAGTTAAAGTTCGGCTAGATTAAATATTAATCTAGGCCACATTTATTGCATAGAATAATGCATTAATGTTGACAGCCCTACTATAAATATATATATATATATATATATATATATATATATATAGATACACTGTATTTACACTATATATATGTATTGTATATACATAATAATATAGCAGCAGTGGTATTATTGTTATTATTATGTGTGTGTGTGTTTGTAGGACCTGGTTAAGAGTCACCTGATGCTGGCAGTCAGAGAGGAGGTGGAGCTTCTGAGGGAACAAATCAGAGAGCTGCAGGAAAAGAACCAACAGCTGGAGAGAGAGAACCAAATCCTGAGAACACTAACACACAATCTACACAGCACACACAACCCCTAACACACATTAATACACGTACAGAGTAAATACAATATACAGAGTAAACACAACACCTAACTCACAGTATGCACACAATAAACAAGACACACATTGTGCACAATACACATCATGTAACACACAATATACAGAATATACATAGCACACTGACCTGAGAGCGTTGTCGTGGTAATGAGTGGAACAAGCTGATAATCAGATTAAAGAGGACCCTGGTAACCATGACATCTGATGATGATGATAGAGCGTAGAATCTTATGAATTAATAAAGTCTTAACTACAGATCTTGTGTTGTTCTTGATGCTCCAGACCGAAGACGTTCTATAAAGAACAGTTCTGATTTTTGTCCATTATACCAGTTTACCCCAGTTTGTTGTACCAGTCTTTTTACTCCAGTTAATACCAGTTTACACCAGTTTGTATGGCGTACAGGAGGGACACAGCGTGCAGGAGGTACACATTGTATAGTAGGTACACAGCGTGCGATTCGGCTGTCCCTTTCCGTTGGCTTCTTTAACGCCGTCGAACAACGCAGTCTTCCTGGCGGCGATTTGTAGGACACATCTGATCTATCCTATGTGGCTGGGCCACATAGGATAGATCAGCATATCCCAGTATGCAGTGCGTGTTGACGAGGATAGAGGCAGGTGAGCTGTCTGTGGTGGAAGCGGGAAGTTCACTTTTAAATGGAAGTAATAGAATTCACTTGAATATCTACAGAAATATAGCAATGTTATAATATATAACATCACGTTAGTTTATAAAATAACTGAAGTGACGTGACGTTGGTAACCCATGTTGTGTTTTTAAATATGTGAAAACAAACTGCTTTTTGTCACGGTGTGGATCTGGGTTTTATTTTGTAGTTTCCTGCCTTTTGTGTTTCTGGGTTCACTTCCTGCCTTGTCCTGTCATCCCCTGTGATTGTCTGCCATGTGCCTGATGGTTTCCGCCTGTGTCCAATCACCTGCACCTTTGCACCTCTGTGTATTTAATCTGTGTGTGTCTCGTCCTTTGTCGAGTCATTACGTTGTATGTGTTTTGGTTTGGTCCTGGGGGTCCGTTTCAAGTAGGAGGTTTAACAAACTGTGTCAAACCCTTAACTTTGAGTTGATTTACCCTGAGATTTCGGTTTCAGGGGTCCGTTTGAAGAAGCAGGTTAAGTGGAAACTCAGAGTTTGTTAACCCTGAGATGAGGGAAACTCTGGGTTGAGCCAGGTACAAGTTTCTCACGGCTCTGCATGCAGCAGCTTTACTAATATTCTAATGTTGTAAAGAAAACTGCCGTTTGCAGAAAAACGTAATACTACGCAAAGAATCTGCTTCGATGTGAGAGTATGTCCACGATGGGGGAACGTTAGTTATATGAGGACGGGTGCGGTTATGTACATGTTTTTGATGGACCGTGAAGAAAAACGATACCATTTAAACAAGTACTTATCTGGAAATGACAATATATCTAATCAATATAAAAAACAATATTTCAGTTACCATGGTGACGCTGCTCCTAAATGGTGGAAGGAGGTCTCTGAAGACATCAGGACCACAGAGAGCCTTCACATCTTCAGACTAAAGACACACCTCTTCAGACTCTACCTCCACTAACACACTAACTGCAGCACTTACATTGGACTTATAATGGTTCTTATCTACAGCAAGTTGTACATCGGCTTATTTGATGAAATTGCACTTTTCACTTGTTTCTTGTTCTTCTGAGTTTGTGTCCTTATGGTTGAAATGTTCTTATTGTAAGTCGCTTTGGAGAAAAGCGTCAGATAAATGACATGTGATGTAAACAGACAACCCAGAGTTTGCCTCATCTCAGGGTTAACAAACTCTGACGGTCCACTAAACGCACTTCTTGAAACGGACCCCCGGTCTGTGTTTTGCCCCTAGCCATTTTTGTTTTTTGTATAAATAAAGTTTTCAGTTTGTTAAGTCTGAAAAAGTCTCAATTTGAGTCCTTGCTTCTGCCAACCCGCTGTGACAGAATGACTCGACCACCTCGTTTTTGGAGTAGGCCTATGGATCAAACCAGCTGCATACCTGCTCCGAGAACTGCTCAACCGCAGGAGACGATCGGACAAAGGGAAGCAGCGCACCCCCGTTCCCGCTGGGCTGCAGCGACGTCCCATTCCGTCTCCCCGACGCCTGCTGACTCTGACTGCCAGTTCCTGCTTCCCGATGCCTGCCCCCGACTGCTGTCCCAGCCAACCACCGGGTCCGCCAGAGTTCCCCCGCCTGTGTGACTTAGGGCCGTCTAGCATCCGTCCCTTGAGGAAGGGGGGATGGTTCTGTCATCGTGTGTGTTTGTGTCCTGTTTTATTTTGTAGTTTCCTGCCTTTTTTGTCCCTGCGGTAGCTTCACTTCCTGCCTGGTTTAGGTTTTGCCCCTAGACATTTTTGTTTTTTGGATAGTTAGTCAAGTCTGCATTTAAGTCCTGCTTTCGCCCACCCGCTGTGACACTTTTGTCATGCTGCCTCCCCATGAAAGCAAATCAATGTCAAAATCCGAGAGCATAAAAAAAGTTCATGCATGCGGAAATCAGACATTCGCGAGAAAGTCCTTCTCGTGCAAGATATCGCGAAACTTGAACCCCCTTGTTAGCGTGCTGTTTTTCTTTTTGACAGTAAAGGAGCAGATTCAGTCCCCAGATATCTCTACATCTGATTGGTTACAAACCTCGTCTTTGAGTTGGCTGGATTTCAGCGTTGTGCATTCCCACTATAGAAGCCCATTTCCGCACTGAAAAAATGAAGGGGTTTGAGTTGAAATTGACGTAAGACGTGCGCAGGCTCCTTCATGGTTCGGTGAAGTTGGCAAGATATTCAGATTCAGACTTCAGACAGAGATTTAGAAAAAAAAAATACAAAATCTCTTCTCATGTCATTTTTTTTATTCAATGGAAGCAAAACAACCCAAGGTGAAACAAAACACATATGATGGTTTGAAGTGGGACTTGGGATGCCTACCCCAATAACTTCCAACGAACTGGCACAAAAGTCTGGCATCAATGCAAAATCAGAATCACACTGACAATGACGCTTCCTTCTTTTAGAAGTTCAGGGAGAAAAATCCCGGTCCAGTCAGCACTTTGTTCACATTCCTCGAGTTTGGGCTGAACATTTTTCACCAGCTGATAAAATCTATTAAAGAATGATCTACATCTTGAGGTAATGTGTGTGCGTGTGCGTGCGTGTTAATGTGTATATTTCAGTGCATCTGCGTGTTAATATATGTATAGTAAATATGTGGGCATCTGTATGCGTACATTGGCATTATTTCTTTGCATTCTTTTGTCGATCCAGAAACTTTTGTCTTCGTTCAACTGGAATCTCATCCAGACTGATTCCATGATTACTGGCCCTGAGAGTGAGACAGACAAGAGTGAGACAGGTGAGAGAAAGAGGTAGAGACAGCTGTGTGTGTGTGTGTGTGTGTGTGTGTGTGTGTATTCTTACCCTCCAATGAGGTCTGGAGGAATAGGAAGAGGTTTATCAAAACCCTCTCGACCCATCAACCAGTATGTGTCCACCGTGCCCTTCACCTAGAAACAAACATTTAATGTGATTACACTTTAGTGTTGCAACATGAACATCTCCCTCACAGGACAGGTAACTTAGTCATTGTCTGTGTTTCTGGGGAAAGGAAGGATCAAGATGGGACTTTTTGAGAAGTGATTCAACCCTTTAGTATTCATAAGAACTCTGACATCAAACGAGTCAAAGACCTCTTGATTATGGAGAGGGAACGAGGTGTAATAGGAACACTGTGAACAAAGAAGTGTGGACCATCAAAGAGACAACCGTAGGCCACCGTGGTGCACTGATTAGGGAGGGTCATCTGGCAACAGCAGAGGTGGCGGTTTGATCCCCAGCTGATACGTGTCCTGGTTCATAGAGACCCCGAGCAGGTCACCTAACCTCTCACTGCTCATTGAAAGTCCTTGAAAGGATAATAATGTAGTATAATATCTTCATACTACTAAAAAGATTGGTGACTTCTTATAAATGACACTGGAGAAAAACGATGCTATACTGTTAAACCCAAACCCTCTGTTCTTGTTACGACAAATAACACACATCTAATTATCACTCCAAGGTGATGTATTTAAAATGTTTATGTTTACTTTGAAACGTCAAACCTGTGTTGCTATCGAGAACATCTGAAGATTCTCAGAAGTTCATAAAACAGATCCTTTTTTCCTCTTGTGTTGATTTTAAACAGACCATTTCCACGTAGCAACAGTACAGAACATTCGAGAAATTTCTTCATTAGTTACGACAGGTAAAAAACAGATTTTAACGTAATTACTCTGAGAAGTCTCCTACGACTGTTGAATCATAAAGTAACATTTCTAAAGGACAAATACTTCATACAAGGTAACATCTGTAAACATTACATATGAGCAGGTCAGTGTACCTGTGCCTTTCTGGTGTCTATATGGTACCCAACTTTGAGACTTGTGAGGACCTTCACTGTATTCAGACTGATGTGGATCCTGTAGGCTAAAGACCACAGAAACCAGATAATTTCAAAATATTAGTTACTGATGTTGGAATCTTAAGCGCATTGATTTCATATGTTTTTACATACGTAGTCCACTGGCTTCCATGTGTGATGCCGTGGTCACTGTGTCTCCAAACAGACAATACCTGGGCATCGTGTGACCGACCACACCTGCTACCAACGCACCTGGAGACACAGAGAGAGAGACTCAGGCAAGTCTTTGTCATCACTGTAAAGCTGGGCGGTCACAAGGTTCTCACCCTAACTTAGAATGAGTCACAATGTTCACACTCTTGAGAGTTAATATCCTGCTATGTGTCTGATCCCAGTCTAATGACGGATTTCTACAGGAGTCCACAAACCAAACATCAAATCTACAAATAAACGTTGCTGTTGTTGCATTATCTGAAGGTAGGGATGGTTCTTGAACTCTGGATTAAATCAATTCCGGAATGAAATTATTAAAGACCACAGAATTGATACAACCTCTGATGTCACTCCTGCATTTCAGAGTTACATTCAGAGTTATAGCCAAAGCATGTACATGTGAACAATGAGAAACCTAGTTCCCTTTGCTTTGTCCCACGTCTCCTCCACCAACACTTTGCTAGCTCGGCTAATAGCACAATGCTACAAGTGTGTCTATAGTCGAAGACAGCGGTGCCCACACTTTTTAGTCTCGCAAGCTACTTTTCAATCGACCAAGTCATGACGATCTACCCCCCCACCAAGTACTGGCCGACAGGTGTGGTAGTAGTCATGCGAATGAGTAGTAATCAGGCGAATGAGTATGATGGGGATCAGGTGATGGAGCTGAACACCAGCTCCATCACCAAGAAGGCTCAGCAGAGGTTGTTCTTCCTGAGGCAGCTGAAGAAATTCAACCTGCCAAAGACGATGATGGTCCACTTCTACACGGCCATCATGGAGTCCGTCCTCTGCTCCTCCATCAGCGTCTGGTACGCTGCAGCCACAGCCAAGGACAAGGGCAGGCTGCAGCGTGTCCTCCGCTCTGCAGAGAGGCTGATCGGCTGCAATCTGCCGTCCCTGCAGGACTTGTTCGCTTCCAGGTCTCTGAAGCAGCTAAAAAGATGGTAGCCGACCCCTCTCACCGCGGACAAAACCTGTTTGTGCCCCTTCCATCTGGCAGGAGGCTGAGGTCCATCAGGACTAAGACCTCCCGCCACACCAACAGTTTCTTCCCGTCGGCAGTCGGGCTCATCAACAGAGCCGGTCCCCCACTGACTGACTATAACACTCCACCGGTCACTCCCCTTCATACTGCACACGTCACTTTAACTGTTATTCATCACTTTGTCGTCACTCGTCACTTTGTTACTTGTCTGTTACTTGTTCGTTAGTGCACTTTATGCTTAATATTTAAAATGTTTAACTTTATTCCCTTGTTTTATACTAACCCATAGCCTTATTCTACTAACCCATTGCATTAGCATTTCATTTTACTTTATTTTATTACTTGTGCACTGCTGTCTTGTCTGTCTACTGTCGCGCACTAACAGCCAAGACAAATTCCTTGTAGTTTAGCATATTTTGGCAAATAAATGTTTCCTGATTCCTGATTCCTGATAGTAGTAACCAAGCAGAACAACAAGGAAACATACCGTGAGCCCGAAACAAGTGGATATTTTTTTTATAACAACAAGCTTCTCATCTGTAAGAAGGAGAGAACCGTCACAACCATTCCAGGCATTTCTGATCATTACCGTAGTCGGATGACTTGCACTGATTGGAGTCGGTCAGGGTTGCTTTTGAATTAAATTAAATGTGTCCGTTAGTAAGCAAGGATTGCTAATTAGCATAAATTTTCTGTTAGCTCCTGCGGTCGTCCGCGCATGCCTGGTGACCCGACGTGATTTTTTTCCAAAGGCAGGCGATCTACCGGCACTGCCTTGGCGATCGACCTAATGGGCACAACTGGTCTAAGAGTTCGCATTTAAACTTGGAACAAAGCACACAGGATATCAGAGGAGAAAGCAGAAACAAGAGGAAACTTTATGAAGTCTTTTAAACATTGCTGTGATGGTATATTTAATTTACATTTTGAATAATCTCTCATCTTGTTCTGAAATGATTAAAATAATTAAAATAATCATTTCAGAACAATACAGCCTTGAATGTCTACCCTGAACCTCGTCCCTGTTCCCCGTCTGCGTTTTTCCGTGTCTTCATTTTTTTCCCCCCTGGTGTTTTGGGTTTGGGATTTTGGGATTTATTAAAAGAATCGTTTTTGTTGTGAAAACCTACGTCTGAGTACTGCTTCCGGCCACCCCACCCCACTGTGGTGGCCGTTTTGTCAAAGAGCCGAATGTAACTCACCAGTAGATGCCTCTAAATCTCTCACACTGCAATGTGTGCATGTTTGTGTGTGTGTGCGTGCGTTTGTGTATGTACCTGAGTGAAGTCCGATGCGTATCTTCACTTTGATCTCAGGCATGTGTTTGATCTTAAAAGCTGCGATTGAATGTAGGATGTCCAGAGACATGTTGGCCACTTCACCTGCGTGTCGATTCCCATTTCTGTTGGGAACACCTGAAGCCACCATGTAGGCGTCTCCGATAGTTTCTACCTGCAGACACACACAAAACACAACTATGTATTAGTTATCATTTATAAGATATGTTTTTTTATGTTCAATGTTTTATGTTCAATGAATCACTTTGACTACATGAAGCCGACCACCAGGTGTTTTACCAGACGCACCTGTGCACACCTTTGACCAGCTGTCTGTTTAACGTTTAAGTTCTGCAGTGAGTTTTAGTGAATCGTTTTATTCTGAACCTAGGCTAGGCTCAAAGAAAAGAACGGCTTTAATCATTTAGCCGGCTACATGTGGACAAACATGAAAGTTCTTTGTCAAAGGTTTCCTACCTTGTAGACATCATGAGTGGCAATAATAGCATCAAACATGGTGTAGAGGTCATTCAGAAGATCGACCACCTACACACACACACAAACCGTTAGCCCTCATGGTGGTGACAGGGACGGATGGAGATTATCACAGCTATCTGAACACTTTGTACCTCAATGGGTTCACTTAGAGCTGAGATGGTTGTAAACCCAACAATGTCACTAAAGTAAAGAGTGCAGTCTGAATAATGTTCAGGTTGGACCGGCTTCCCTTTCTTCAGAGCCTGAGCCACGGACCTGAAACACACAGTTATTAATGAAGCCGTAGAATAAAAGTCTACTCGCCCCTTAGGGATAAAAGTAGCAGGATATCTGCTTTAACTAGCAAACAATAGGAGCGGTTGACATATTATGAACTTAGTTGGGTTTCCTCTTCAAGATCAAATCAACATTTTTTAAAACAGAAGGTCTAACACAATGGGTCTTAACCTGTGTTTGATCGAACCCCAGAGGTGCGGCAGGGGTCAAAACACACACAGTATAGCCTGGTTCACACGAGCATTGTCGGGCCATTTTTGGCAGCCGTCAAAAACAACACACAATTGTTTTCCACAGTGTCAGTGGTATGAAGCCCACTCGTATTATTCCTGATGTTCTCGACGGGACAGTATATTCGGCATGAGTGACATAGTCGTTCACATTTAGTTTTGCGAGAGCCGATGTCAGTGGATACCTTGACGAAGTTATTGAATTTCAGCTGAGCCAGTTTCAACAGCAACTCTTAAGAAAAACAAACGTTTTGGTGTCACCAAATTGTACCATACCGTTTTATTGCTAAGAAAGCCCTTGACATTCTCACACCGTTTGTTACAACGTATCTTTGTGAGCAATCTTTTTTTAAGGATGGTAGACATAAAAACTAAGAATTGGAGAAGACTTTGTTTTGCGAAAATGATATGAGAGTGGCACTTGCCAAGGTGAAGCGGTGCATTGCTAAGCTTGTATCTGAAAGGCAACAGAATAAGTTACATTGATGTGGTGTAAATATGAGTTTATTCTTTTGTGTGAAATGTTCTTTGGGCACATTTTGTGTGCAACTGATGCATTTCATTTTGTGCCCTAATTAAATATATACCTATGTTTTGAAGAAACCATATTTCATTTTTTCAATAACGAAGGGTTTGGTGAATGCCCTGATGAAGCTTGCAGGGTACAGTAGCTCCATTAAGATGAACAACCACTGGTCTAACATCTTATAATGTCACTTTAATGTCACACGATTCCAGCTCAGGATGTAAACAGAAGATCTTTTATTGATAAAACTGTAGTGTTGCTATTGGTAGCAGTATCACAGGTATTATAGATGGAGAATTATGGAAAATGTAGCAACGGTATTATGCTAAACCTGTATTTTATTATTTTGGATGTAATTAAGATGTGTCTTACTTGGGCAGCAGCTGTCCAATCAGCTTATCTGTTTTGTTTCTCTCAACCTCCAGTTCATCTGTTCGTTCTCTTATCAGATCCTCCAGGTTAGAACTGTATTGCTCCAACATCCGCAACATTGAGTCAATGATGTTTGCCCTCTTTCCTCTGTTAATACCCCGAAACTGCAAACACAGAGTAAAAGCACATCACAGCTCCTCTCAGGAAAAATGGGCTCAGACGTTCTCTGCTTTAAAACTGCGTGAATGAAAGTCAAACATATGCAGTGACAGTTTGAGCTATGAGCCAGCAGAGGGCAGCGGGTAGCTCCTCTCACCTGTTTGAAAATGTCATCAAAGCTCGGCCTCATGCTCGGATCTTCATTCCAACATTCGTTCATCAGACTGAGACACTCGGCAGGCGCTTCATCCAATGAAACAAGTGGTCTGCAGAGAGGAGGAGGGTGCTTCAGGCGGTCCACTATCTCTGTGAGACAGACAGGAAAAAAGAAAGACAGGTGGTCAGACAGGGTGTCTGCAATGAGGAGGAGGAACCTCAGACGGTCCACTACCTCAGGGAGACAGACAGGTAGACAGCCTGACAGGGGTTCTGCAGAGAGGAGGAGGGATTAAGACGGTCCACTATCCCGATAGACAGGTGTCATATACCCTTTCTCACCTTGGGAGGGCATGTCCATCATGGCGTACGGCAATGATCGTGAGATCACTTCCTGTATGATGATAGAGAAACTAAAGACATCTCCAGAAAACGAACCTCCTTGCACCGGCTTCCTTAAGAGCTCTGGAGCAGTCCACAGCAACTCTGAGATACAAGTAGGGAGACAGACAGGTAGGGAGACGGACAGGTAGGCAGATGGTGTGTCTAGAATCTTTGACGGTATTCTTGTTTTATCTGGTTCATATTTTTTGACATGCAAAAGTTCAAGTTCAAGTTCTATTTTTCAGCGAGAAGCTTTTAGATAAAAATGTATGCTTCCCGTTTCAGAAAAACTAAAAACTAATCGAATGTAACTGCGCTTCTATGAATTTCTGGTAACTGCCATATGCCGGATATCCTTTGGTGTTTGAGCCACTGCCAAGTGGACTATTCACTATGACTATATATATATTACCAAAGTCAACTTTGCAATGTATAGATGCTCTCTGAAGACACCAGGATTGCAAAAAGGATAGCACTTAAATGTGTTAAAGTGTACCGCCCACCTATCGATAGCCAAATTGTAAATTGGCTTATTTGAGGAAATTGCTCTCTCCTGTTTCTTGTTCTTCTTAGTTTGTATCCCTTATAGTTGAATGCACTTATTGTAAGTTGCTTTGGATAAAAGTGTCAGCTAAATGATATGTAATGTAATGTAATAAAAATATAGACTCTGCTGTCACCTCGGATACCATTCCTACTAAATTTCCTCATGAGTTCATGCATTTCTAAGTGACCAGGAACTCTGGCAGGCATCCGGGATCCATAGAACCATCGTTACACTCGTAACCCTTGTTCTATTTCATCCTCGCTGAGCACCGGACCCAGAGATACATGTGCAGAGACTTATATCAACAGAGTTGCAAGGAATCCCAAGTACATTCTTCATACTGCTGAAGCAGAGGAACTTGACCCCATGATGTGGACACACTCCTGGTAGAATGGCTTAGCACGGTCATTCACTTTGCATGGACGGGCAGTCAACTATCCAGGTTGACATATGCTTTTTGAGAAGAGCACATCCCTTCTCAGGGCCACCATAATAGATTAAGAGCTGCTCTGACCATCTCGCGCTGACTTCCACATAAGCTCAGAGGCCTGCACCAGGCACAGACCCCTCAACAAACTATATGAGCTGGACAGGGTCGTTGAGATAAGAGTTTGCCAGCCCCTTTCTGACAAAGTGACAGCCGAGCCACCCGAGTTCCACCTCAGATATGATTCACTCAGTGACAGTAGCACACAAACACGCTTTGCAATAGTGATTACAAGGAGAGAAGACTTTAAGCATTTTACCTTGTGGGTCCTCAGGTAGGGTGATGCTCTGAGAATGAAGAATCATGGGAAGCCCGTAGTCTGTGATTTTCAGAACAAAGCGTCCGTCGACTAAACAGTTTGTGGACTTCAGACGACCGTGACTCAAACCTCGTAGATGAAGGTACTTCATTCCCTAAAACAGAAAGCTTTGTTATCATTAAAGTGGCAACAGACAAGCCTTCCATTTCATATTTCAGGTTCATAGTTGAGGCCGGCTCAGGTTCATAGTTAGGGCCTGACCTGGGTTGCTTTAGTCCATCCCCTAGATATGCCAAGATTGCTTCCTACGTTACACAGAGCTCTTCCCTTCTCTTCCTCTCTATCTGTATACATTCATGTCAAATCAATTTAATCTGACATGATGTATACAGATGGTATACAGATGTTAATGTAGTAATTGTCCCAGAATTTGAGTATGACAATACATTGTAAATGTGTGTAAGTAGTAGCAGCTGCCGTAGCAGTCATATAAGTAGTAGTAGCAGCAGTACTAGTATTGACAGTAATAGTGGTACTATCGTAGTGGAACTACCCAAGCAGCACCTTGATAAGATCCATTAGAAGGGAGGATTTAAACATCCAGTCAAGCCTCATCTCGCTGTCGGCCAGCAGGTCGGCCAGACTCCCTCGAGGACATTGTTCAACGACCAGAGCAAAGATCCCAGAGTCCAGAAACAAACCGGCGTAGAGGTTTAAATTCTCATGTCGCATCTCCCTCAACTGGAGAAAGGTGAGAGGAAAAATATAACTCTAAAATAAATGTAATTGCTGACTAATATCAAATTTCAGGTTTTCATGTCATATACCCAAAATGAAAACCAGACAATAATAATCTTCATAATGAGAATATGATTTTACTATGTGTGAACAGTGTATCTAATGATTACTGATCATCGTACCTGGCTGAACAGACTTTGAGTGTTTTGATTTACAGCCATTATCGACTTCCCGATGGGGATCTTCTTCAGCCAAACCAAGTCTCCCTGGTAAAAATATAACAGTCAGGGAGTAAGCCAGACAAACAGACAGGTAGACAGGTACACGTAAAGGTTGTTGGGACTGTTTTTTAACAGTCGTATTTGGCTATAAATCCTAACAAACAGAAGGCCCATTCAAGTCTACGGTCTCATTGGACCAGGGCCACAGAGACAATGCGGGATCCCTGTGCTCATCCTCATATGAGTCTGTAAATATTAGTGAAGACAGAGGGCACGCAAAAAGTTGTTGATTTTTAAGAAAACCGAGGACTCGTTTTACAGTCAAGTCTCTACCAAATTAACCTGCAAATGAAAGAGAAAGACATTATTTTCCCTTAGCAAGTAAACATTTTCCAGTCATAAGGATGAAAATCCCCTTCACTTCTCAAGAATTCCCGCATTCAGTTTGTTTTGGTTTGAGTGCACTGTTATAACGTGTTATTGTGCATGTTTACATGCACAATAACACGTTATAACCCTTTGTGCTGTATGTATATTACCGTTCTATTCAGTGGTGCTGTAAGTGTTGTTTGGATCAGTCACCAGTTGGGTTCATTTGAACTGGAACTTTGTCAAAAGTTTGCCTCTCGAGTTTTTGGATGATAAAGTAACAATTTATGTCAAAGTACTATCCCTTTTTTTGTAAAAGTTATTAATTATGTTTTTTTTTCTTCATGAAATTAAAATGTTAAGGAAATAAAAAGTTGTATTATCAAGGATTAAAAAATTGGTTGTTGTAATGCTGTATTATATGCTGCTTATAGATATTGTAAACAATTTCTGTAATATCTATTCATGAATGTAATTTTGCTGGTAGGGTGACTATAATTTTTTTATTCCATTCCAAGAAGCATAAATGAAGGAGTCAAAAAATGTGGTTTCAATGAATATTCTCCATTTTCTCCATATTCCTCCAAAGCGGGTTGTGAAAGAAAAACCTCGAGAAGTTCTTCTGTACGTACCTCCAGTACTCCTATGTTGGAGCTCTCAGGTGTTGTCAGGATGTAACTTCGAGCAATCGACCGTTGAGGCGTTTTAACTTCAAGTAAACTTCTCATGATCGACTCGTCATTCAGTTTCTACAAAAGACAAAGATTCAATCAATGTTGTAGACAAGAACTAAATCAAATACAATAACTATGTGTGTAATCAGTAAGAACCAGAAGCATTATTTAGTTTAAATACTGATACTCAAGTTTGAAAGTAAGTCTAGAATCAGGAGCAATATAAAGTACCTTTATATTGAAGTAGAGAACTAAAGAGTTTCTTACCTTCTTACTGAGATGAGTATCAATGAAAACAATATCATCCAGAGTAAGGATGAGTTTGGTGATGTTCGCTGTCTTCTTGTACTTCCTGTACACACATTCATTAAAAAGGTCATTTTAATCATCATAATCACCTATCACATATATATAAAATATAGGGGAAAAAACAAAAGTTGAAAATGAATCAAATAAAAAGACAAGTGAGTTAAATGAATCTTACAAACACACACAGAAAGACGCAACAGTGTGTGTGTGTTTGTTTGTTTACTTGATCCAGAAGAGGAAAGCTCCAGTGACACCACAGAACAGCAGGAGGCTGAAGACCATGTCCACTGTGTCTAAACCTGCCGAGAAACAACGAAAGCTCGAAGAAGTTTCAGAGTTGAGACTAAAGTTTAGAAGATAGAGTAGCTTAGGCTTTTATTGACCAAGCAGCACATGAACAGCCCATTACAGATACAGCTGATAGTGTACAGACTATAAAAACTTCCCTCCCTCCCTGTCGGCCGGTGAACGCACCCCCACTGCAGGCCTCGTCTGGACTGAACCAACAGAAGCTGGCGGAGGCGGGTTTTCCTCCTGGGAAGAAAAAGGAGCGACTCATCGGTCTCAGGCCTCCGACCGCCCCGTCTGTGTGTTTGGGAGCCAGCGAGTGCGTTGGCACGAGTCGATCACCATCACTGTCCAACACCACGTAGCCGGCCACCAGGCCACGCCCGTCTCTACCTCCATGTAACACCTGAGAAAAGAGAGGAAGGGAGGAGGGGTTGTTAGCCCTAACTTTGATTTAAGATAGCTAGTTACTTTATTAATCCCCAATGGGAAAAGGTTTGCTGCATCAACATTTTTCATTGATAGATAATATAAATCCACTGATACATTTCACACAATTGGATCAAATTTAGCCGTAATGGTAGTATGCTTATTTGAGTCAGTCAAGTCTCCTCAAAGAAGCACCAAGTTGCAGTAATTAGGGGTCAGCTTGTTTTAAAGTTTTTATCCAGTCAGATTGAGCCTCGTGTCTCTACGTAAGAGAGGTAGTCTAGGCAGAAAAGTCTATGGGGACCATATTGTTGATTGTCTTAAGCCTAGTTTATGCTTCTGCGAGAGAGAGAGACGCAGCCTTGCGTCTGCGTGTCCCTGGCGTGTCTTTTCACACCTCCTTGCGTCTAAAGCGACGCAGCCTCCTGCAGCACCAGGCTGTGATTGGTCCGCTGACTACGTCCTTTACGGAGTCTCACGTCTCCGTTTTCACAGCACAATACGGCCGTTATTAAAAGGAAGAACGTTTACGAGAGAACGGATCAGATTGAAGAGCTTTTAAATATGAGCGCTTGTACAAGCCGTCATTGGCGGACTATGAGGACGCCGGATGTCCTCTGATTCATGGAGGGAGATCTCCACAAACGAGGGGAACAAAGTCGTGGAGAAAAATACGGGACAAATGTGTCCTTGATGAAAAGCAGCAGTGTGGATGCACGTGGCAATAAAGTCTATGATACATAAATAAAGCAACCAACGACTTCCACACACAAAGACGTGACTCTTTAAGGTCGTCTTCAACAAAACACGTGACTCCACCTGTTGTTCTGGAGGTGAATCGCTCTGCAACACACGCAGGACTTTACAACCAGGAAGTGAAACCAGTGCGTCGACACAACGGTGCGTAAAGACGCAGACGCATGCCCAGTTGGGCGTATTCTTTGACTTGCCAGATAGCATCATATGTATGTCGGCATTAACGTGTGCTCTGATTGTTCAGTTGACCAGCGTGACAGCGTGAAAACAGAAAGCTAAGGGAGAGCTTTTATATTTTGTTTGTGAAAGCACCTAGTGTAAAGTATTCAACTCAAGACAATCCAAAGTGTCACTTTTAACAGATGGGAAGTAAGACTTTTCTCCATGAAGCTTATCTGCTTCAGTGTATACAGGTCAGGTCATTTATATAGTATACAGTTGTGTAAACATTACATCAGGTTCTGGGTAGATTATCCTACCCAGGAACTAAGGGTTAACGCCAACTTTGACTGCAGGAACCTCGGCGTGACGTCGCCAGCCGACTCTCCCTGACTCCCAACATCACTGACAACACCACCCTGTAGATACTCGCTCTACAACATCAGGAGAACACGTCCTCTTCTCACTCAGAAGGTACTGATTCAGGCTCTTGTCATCTCCCTCCTGGACTACTGTAACTTTCTCCTGCAGGTCTCCTGCTACCACCATTCCACCTCTGCAGCTCATCCAGAATGCAGCAGCTCCACTGGTCTTTAACCTTCCTAAGTTCTCCCTCACTCCTCCACTCCTCCGCTCTCTTCACTGGTACCGGTGGCTCATCCAGTTCTAAACATGGTGCTCACGTACCATGCTGTGAATGGATGGGGTCCAGCTTCCATCCAGGACCTGGTCCAACCCGACATCCCGACCCGCACTCTCCGCTCTGCATGTGATAAACTGCTTGTTCCTCCTCACTGAGAGCAAAACACTCGACTAGATCTCCACTCTTTGCTGTCCTGCTCCTAAATGGTGGAAGGAGGTCTCTGAAGACATCAGGACCACAGAGAGCCTTCACATCTTCAGACTAAAGACACACCTCTTCAGACTCTACCTCCACTAACACACACAAAACAAATTGTAGCACTTAATTGCACTTATAATGGCTCCTATCTATAGCAAGTTGTAAATCGGCTTAATTGATGAAATTACACTTTCTTGTTGTTCTTCTGGGTTTGTATCCTTTGGATAAAAGCGTCAGCTAAATGTAATGTAATGTAATCTATGACCTTTTCAAACCTGTAAAAGCAAAAACAGCAGTTCCTCAAATGTCAACTAGAGGCTCTAAAAGAGATCGTTTCTATAGATCTCGTATTAAAAACTTTACAGCAGAAGTAGACATCTTACAACATAGTTTTGGTCTTTAATACCTCCATTTAGGACAACTGTGGGCACATAATCACATATTTCAATAATAAGACGTGGCCTCTTTGAGCAACAGGTGGGTGTGGTCTTAGGTGGTTCTCTTCACTGCAGAGATGGAGAGAACCCTGTGGGTCAGGTCATGAAAAATGTTGATATCATAATTTATTGAGATACATTAACTCTTCATAGAGCTAAATGAAACAGGTTATTTCACTTTCTTATTCTTTTACTATCTTCTATGAATTCCCGTTCCCTACACTCAATGAATAAGAGGTAATACAAATATTTTGAATGCATTCTTGAATGTTAAAAATGTTCTGACCTGATTGAAGCCCTGGAAATCAAAGCCTCCATCTGATTGGACAAGCTGATTGCCTGTCACCCAGTGCCCCCCCCCTGCCTGACGACGTTCCTCCACCGCCTTAGCAACGAAGTACACCATGTTAAAGATGGTCCCAAAGACCGGAGACACCTGCAGGCAAATTGTAATAAAGTACATTAAAAGATGTATTTTTTGCCATAGTAACTGATCCAGAATAAGTTGTGTGTTGTGTGCATGTAGTAGTTGTATAGTAGACTTGTGCCGACCCTAACCCTATCCCTGTAGTGCAGGGGTCTCCCCCCAAACTGATGGTGAGATGGAGCAGGGACGCCCTATTCTATGGAGTTTGGTCCGCCATCTTTTTTTTTGAGCTGTGTGCTCTTTAGACGTGATCTGATTGGCTGGGGCCTGTGCTGTCGTATTTGCATGAAAGGTGCTGTGAGTGAACCGGTGCCCAGCTTGAGAGCTGCTGTGGGACTGAAAGATCTTCTGTACGTCTTCTCTATCAATTTATCCTCACGCTACCATATGTTGGATTCATGTTAATGTGTATTTAAAGACAATAAATACAATTCTGATTCTGAAGACATTTAAATTTGTACAGTACCTCCACGCACCCCCTGTTGAACACCTCTGTGTAGTGGTTCGATGCATAGTACTTGTATCTGTTCTGTACTTACCTCAGTTGCTGTGACAGAAGACCGGATCTCTCGGTTAATTTGAGCTTGACGAAAAGCTTCGTAGAAACTCTGGTCGGACGCCATGGTAACGGTTAGAACAGAGCTGTAGGCGTGCCGAAGCTGCGTGCTATTGGTTAGCTGAGGGAATACTACGTCCTGATTGGATAGAGTAGAAAACCGGGGAACAAAAAGTACATTCATCTTCAAATAAAATGTATTATTACCTTGGTAATAATATAAATATATTCATATTCTGGGGCATTTCAATGTGATCAAAATGAGGTGTGATTAATAAGAGTAAAAGCATCAGGTCACTGGACTCCTGCATGATGACACAATAACCTCAGCTGATGCTTTGTGGAGATAGGGATATTTGCCAAACTGGATGAATACCGCACAACCTGAAAGCATGCCAAGCTCAGTCATGACCTCTATCACAAAACTAAAAGATAAATAGTATTATATAGTATATACTTTCTTTAACCTGCTATATTTGTGGGGGGGCGTGACTGTCAGTACCGTGGACCAGTTATATTCAGTAATCAGTACTCCCAGATTGTACCTGATATGGCATGGAGTACAGCAGGGCGTCGTAAGGAATGAACACATAACCATCGGAAACCATCCCCATGTCTAGAGCAGCCAATAGGAGTTCTCTCTGATCCTCTCCACCAATCAAGACGGAGCTCATGCACATTATCACCACTGGAAATAAAGAACAACAGTTTGTGAATGAGTTTTTGTTTCTCAGTGGACAAAGCACGTGTATGGATTGAATGTTTCGACTCTACTAAGTTAAATATTTTTCATGTCTTTTTTCTAAAGGTTTAAACAAAAACAACCACATTTCCCTCTCATTTCATTTTTCTGCTCTGACCTTTGACCTTGTTGGCATCTCTGATAGATCTGAGAGCAGCCTGGGGTCCACCCTTGTTCTTTGTTTCCATGGTGACCACCGGACCGATTGGCAGGCCCAGAACCCTTAGCGCAGAGGCAACTTCCTGTCCAGTGCTCTCCCATAGGTCAGATGGAGCTGGTGACCAAACAGGAACAAGAACTACAAGTGAGACCCTGCAGTGACATCATCTAATCATGTTAGACCACACCCTACACTGACATTTGCCCTTGATGTTGGACAAAGCACTGCAGTGACATCACCCCTTAATTAGCGACCATACTCTTCAATGTTGACGCACTCACCTGAGATGATCGCAACATGGGCCCAACGGAAGAATCTGAGCACAGTAAACAGGACTCTGCTTGGGGGAGTGACTGGGGCCAGGTTCGGCCAATCAGCATTCAGACAGCCTGGAGAGGCAAGCCCCGCCTCCCAATGCTGGGCTAATAAGGAGGCTGCATGACAGAGGGAAGGGTTGAAGGGTCCAATGTAGGCATGACCATAACCCTCCATGTCCCCAAGTTCTGTCAGTGCTGTAATAAACCAAATGAGTCACAGGTGATGATGCAACCTTTAATGAGACAAATAGAAAATCTCTGCAATATATGTTAATGTTTATTACATTTGTTCTAAAAACCTTTGATCTACATTTTATTGAATCTTTCCGCTCATGATATAATTAATGAACTCTTTGTTGGTTGATTGGTTTGCAAACCTTTGGAAGCGGAGCAGTCCTCATCCAGGAGTCTGATGTCATACCAGTATCCTCTGCTCAGAGTGATGTCGCTCCGTAACCGCGACAATGCCAGATTTGCCGCCACGGTCGGCATCGCCCGCGAGAACATAGGGTCACATGACCATGGACCTATAAGGGCTAGCTTAAAGGTTGCTGTCCAGATCTCAGAAATGCATAGCAACCACAGCCATGAGCCTAGCAACCATCTTGGAGGCCGCATCCTGGATAGACAAAAGAAATATCAACAAAAACAGTTTAATTCAGTCGGATTATTTTAGTTCAGAGCGGGAAATAAAAATAATTTAGATCCAATAGACCTGCGTCGCATGCAAACGTTTAAAAGGAGTTTGTTTAGATGACATCAGTGGTTGTTGATGTCCCTTGTTGAAGTGACCTAAATGGTGACATTCAGAAACTCAAACTGTATATTTGTATATCACATTCAAACGGAGAAAAAGACCAACTGTTTCAGTGTGAACCCAGCTAACTGATGTGACCACCAGCGTCTAAACCTTCACCATATTATTAGCTAATGGTAAATAGTGCTAAGAACGCTAAGTATAGCAACATTGCTAAATCTGTTAACACAAGCTGAGAGAGACAGGAGCAAAATATCAGCATCATTGGAAATGACAATATAAATAACTCTTACCTGATGACATCACCCAAAGAATCTTTATATTACTTTTAAGTCCGAAAATCTAGTGGTAGATATGAAATCATTTTTTTGTCAATATTGAAATAACAATTATTTAAATGCAGCAATCTGGTTCCAGATCCAGAGGCTCCGTCAATGCAAGGTTTTGTGATCTTAAATCTATATTGTTTTATAATACTCGTTAGTATGGATATGAATAAGGATGGTATGGCAAAAAACGTTCCCTTTCCTTTCAGTTGACAGTGAAGTATTTGCTGTTGTAACGCTTCGACTGGATCTCGACAAATGACAGCAGGTCCACCACAGGCAAAATTACACAACTTAAAGACAAAGCTATTGTCTAGTGCAGGGGTGCCCAATAGGTTTGCGATCGAAGGCAGTACCAGTAGATCGCGTGCCATCGATAAAGAAAATGACATAATGACGGCTCCCTCTTTCTGATGAGAGGCTCATTGTTTTCTTCACATCCACTACCCGTTCAGCCGACTATTACACTCCATAATTTTCTCTGACTTTGGCTTGTGTCCATGTAGAAAACATGGGCTTGAAGAACTTTGTCTTCTTGGAGACCCTCTGTCTCAGTGGGGAGCCCACAGGTTAGATGAGTTGTTGGTAACAATGGAGACTGATCTGAACGTTTGTTGTTGGACATTACTGGATCCACACTAAACTGCATATATCTGCATACATACAAACTATCATTAGGGTTTGGTTGAGGGGGAACCTAGCCAGTATAATGTTTAGAAATAAGAATATAATGTGATTGTGTGAGAGCTGAAACTCACTATACTTGCAGATCCGGTGTGCAGGTGGTGGAGATATAATTGTGGGAGAGTCTGATGGACGAACGGCAAACAGCTATGTAGAATAACTATGTATTCTGTATCTGTCCTAATCAAAAAACAAAAAATATCAGAAAAGAACCTGTTCTGGAATTAATTTATGTCGTTTGATGTTTTCTTGGGTTTCTACCAATAATTTCAAACCGCTCCACAGCTGACAGCGTGCACTGGTAGTATGTCTCTCGGGTGCAGGAAGCACTGATCAGATGTGTGACCCCTTGTGGGGAGGTAGGTACAATTAAACCATTTGGTTGAAACTCTTTAAAGTCCCATTTTCACTCTCTTCAACGTTACCTGAGAAACAAGACCTGTGTCACATGTTCCACGTAATCTTATGAAGCAGACCCGGTGTTTGTTATGTCCAATTGATGACCAGCACAGAAGTCCAACAACAATCCACCGCTTGGGTTCACACCAGGTTGACTCCCCTCGCCCTCCCCTCCCCCCCTACCCCTGCCAGATTTCTCCATTGCCCACAGAGGACACCTTTACCGCCCAAGACGTGAAGAATATCAATCAGTGGGCATATTCTCTCCTCAGATAAATATGCGTGAAATGATTCATTGCTAAACCGCTTCAATGTGAAATGACAGCTGGGACGTTTCAGTTAATTTAACCACACACACACTCATTTGGTCACTTTGGGGGTCATCGTCGTATCATTACATGAGACATATAGTTTCAATAGATACTTGATCATTTTTATCGTCAGTTTAACAGGGTTCAACTTTTTAAATTGGGGATAGACAAGGCACTCAAAGGTATAAAAATACATCCAATGTAAGTAATAAAGTAACACTTCTATCAAACTATACAGGTTAGGCTCATCAGGGTTTAGGGTTAGGTAATCCTAAACCCTAAATCCTAACACACGGGGAAAGTCACATGAAATCACCTACAGACAAACATTTATACGCAGACGGAGGGTTTACCTTTGTCTCAAAGATTCATGTGTCCAAAAACCCTTTTTTGATGGACAAAGAGAAATCCCTTGAGAAGAAAGGACGCTGAGCTGGAGAAAGCTGATGTCAGGTGGAGCGAGGGAGAGGCGTCACAGAGGCTTTCATTTAATCCTGTTTAGAGTTCTGGGGGAAGTTTGGCTTCAGTTAAGTCTGTAACGAGAGGATGACTTACTGTGTGTGTCCGACCTTCTTACCTGTGATGACGTCATCGACCTGTCCTTGTCTCAGGTGACAGTCTACCGGTGGACAGGGGTGTTTTAAACGTTGTTCAGTAAAAAAATATATATACAGTTCTAATGTCTCATAGTTTGAATGTTTCACAGTTGTAGTGGATTAATCATCAGTAGAATCCATAGTTCTAGTCTCACAGTTCTAGTGTCTCACAGATCTAAGCGATCAGTTAATCCTGATCTGGATTAGGTCCATCCTCAGAGATCACAGCTCCCAGCTGGTCTGGGGCCAGGAATAGGTAAGATTAGACATGCAGTAACCTGCCTGGAAGAACCAGCAATGGGTCCGATGAAGGCAGTGCCATCTGGGTCAGAGTGATGCTCTGAAGGAAATGTAATGAGTCACAGTCTGGAGAAGTGCCTTGCTCAAAGGCACTGACTGGTCAGATGTTGGGTAAAAGCCATCAGAGAGAATAAAGTTTCTCCTGAATATATAATTACTCTTATAGCCGCAGAACTGTAATTACTTCATTTGTGTGCTTTTAACAGTTTATAAAATTAAATATGATTTGTCATTGTTTTATAAAAACGGGACGAGAAAAAATGGGAAATCGACAGGAATCAGTTTTAATTGAAGAGAAAAAAAAGAAATCCAGTCTGAACCAATACTGGACAAGTCAGTATACTGGTTTTACTGTACAGGTAGGGTTCAAATGAATCAAACAGTGACACACACACACACACACACACTCACACTCACACTCTTCAGAGGGAGATCTTGGTGTTTCTGAAGCTGGAGTTGTCCCTGAAACACACAGAGCGATGTCTTCGGTGATTTGTGGCTCTAACACAGGGTTCTAAGGCAAAGGACATTAACAGGGACGAGCGGAGTTCAACAAACCCAAACAGATACATTCTTTTAGAAAATGCTCTAGATACAACAGATGGTCTGCCATTTAAAGTTAGATTATATTGATCTTGATGCAGCTCAGATTCAAGGTTTCTCTTTGATGTGAAAACACTAATTCAAATCACATGTGGGAAAATACTTTAAAAAAAAAAGTTTATTCCACACCTTTTCAGGGTGAGATCACAATCAAGTTCAAATCCAACTGGGGTTTTCATTATCCTATTGGCCCTACAAGTAGTAGTCGTACCTGAGACTGTCGTTGTGGGTCTTGTACTTCATGATGGTGTTTTACACTAGTATCATAGTAGTAGTCGTACCTGAGACTGTCGTTGTGGGTCTTGTACTCCATGATGGTGTTTTACACTAGTATCATAGTAGTAGTCGTACCTGAGACTGTCGTTGTGGGTCTTGTACTCCATGATGGTGTTTTACACTAGTATCATAGTAGTAGTCGTACCTGAGACTGTCGTTGTGGGTCTTGTACTCCATGATGGTATTGGCTGGAAGGTTCAGAACTCGTCTAAGAGTGTCTCTGATTCTGGAAGTTGTTATTTGGTCATTGGACGTTTTGTTCCAGATCGACAAGATGTCTTCCTGTTAGAACCAGACAGGACAAAAAGAAGATTCACAATTGATTCACATCAGACTTCAGGATGAAACGTTCGTTACAGTTCATTGATCCTGTCCAGCTATGGTAATCCTGAAGTAGAAACAGTTTGGTTTGCAGTAATAGTCCTCTGATTTTACTATAGTAGCGCTGCTGCAATTCTTCAATAGTAGTACTACAGTAGTACCTGGAAGCGTATGGAGACCACTGCTCCACAGATCTCTTCTCCCACCATAAACTGCTCTCCCAGCATGGCCAGTATGATGTTCTCCCAGAATCGACTGGCTAAACCTTTACGAAGTCGAATGATCCACTTCCCTCCACTACGGTTGTAATCATCCTATGGGGACGCAGTGAGACAGTATATATAACATTAAAAGTAAAACATGGTAACAGTACAACTCCATTATATAAATAGTTTAACTACCAACAGCTTCTTCCCGTCGGCAGTCGGGCTCATCAACAGAGCCGGTCCCCCACTGACTGACTATAACACTCCACCGGTCACTCCCCTTCATACTGCACATGTCACTTTAACTGTTATTCATCACTTTGTCGTCACTTGTCACTTTGTCTCTTGTCTGTTACTTGTTCGTTAGTGCACTTTATGCTTAATATTTTTCTTTTTAACTTTTTAATATTTAAATTTTTTAAACTTTATTCCCTTGTTTTATACTAACCCATAGCCTTATTCTACTAACCCATTGCATTAACATTTCATTCCACTTTATTTTATTACTTGTGCACTGTCTTGTCTGTCTACTGTCGCGCACTAACAGCCAAGACAATCGTATAAATTCAGCATAAGGACATTCATTTGACAATATGGCTGCAGTGTTACAGTACATCATTAGTAAAGTATTAGTACAGTATTTAACTTTAATACTGCAGCATTATTACAGGGTGGCTATAGTATTATTATCAGCCGTGTTTCCTCTACCAAAAGCAGCCCTGCCTGCCCTAGACAGTCAGGTGGATGTTGTTTCATTTTATTTTCAATACAACGCCAGATCCCAACAGAAGTTATATACGGTTCCCCTCCCCATTGAACAGGTCTATAACTTTCTCTTTCATTAAACAGACTAAATGTTCATCTCATCTTCAACCGCTTATCCAGGTTGCATGTTGCAAGAGTTACTGCAGGGGATGCCAAACTTCCCATACCCGGGCCACATCTACCAGTGTATTATCTCTCCACCTAGTCCTCTTTACATCACATGTCATTTATCTGAGGCTTTTATCCATCCTTAAGGATGCCCAAACAACCTCAACTGGCAGAAGCCAGCTTTGGGTGTACAGGGATTGGAGGCCCCAGGAAGGGACTCCCTCACCTCGTACTCCCATAGCACCTCCCATAGTATCTCCTGGGGGACCTGGTTCTCCAAGTACACAAAACACCTGTAGACCAGATGAGCATATAGCACGGCGGGCTTCGCCCCGAAATGCACGCAACCATAATCCTAACCCAGTATCCGTAGAGCATTAGTATTTTAACAGTAAACCTGCAGTACTAGTCAGCATTTTGACAGTTAAACTATAGTACACTGAGGCTGCTGTTACCTCCCACATGGGCTTGATTCCTTCCTTGAACAGGTGGAAGTCACTGTGTCCACTCAGGTCACCTGGTCTGACCAGGTGACTGTAAAATCTCCAGAACTGCTCCACCTGAACACACACACAGAGAAACCCACACAAAGTAAGTAGAGATGTATTGATATGTATATCAAAATCATATTTACATTTAAAAAATGTTGTGTGTGCGTACCGATGCCACGCTGCCAATCTGCCGGATGTTTTGTTCATAACTTTGAGAACTTGCAGGACGACTTGGTGTTCTTCTGCTGTACCAGAAGGTGTAGTTATACTGGAGTGGATGTTCACCTACACCCGGACACACCGTCTGCACAGACAGGTTCATGTCCAGGTAGAGAGACAGACAGGGTCATGTCCAGGTAGAGAGGCAGACAGGTTCATGTCCAGGTAGAGAGACAGACAGGTTCATGTCCAGGTAGAGAGACAGACAGGTTCATGTCCAGGTAGAGAGACAGACAGGGTCATGTCCAGGTAGAGAGGCAGACAGGGTCATGTCCAGGTAGAGAGGCAGACAGGTTCATGTCCAGGTAGAGAGACAGACAGGTTCATGTCCAGGTAGAGAGACAGACAGGGTCATGTCCAGGTAGAGAGACAGACAGGGTCATGTCCAGGTAGAGAGGCAGACAGGTTCATGTCCAGGTAGAGAGACAGACAGGTTCATGTCCAGGTAGAGAGACAGACAGGTTCATGTCCAGGTAGAGAGACAGACAGAGTGTGTCTCACCTTGCGTCGGTTGTTGTTGTTATTATTGTTGGTCCTGTCACTGTTGTCATGGTGACACTCAGTCTCTTCCTGGTCCTCCTCTTCTCTTGTGCTGAAACAAACGCGACCGTTGTTAGCATGCTAACATGCTAAAGCATTCAGTTCTACGGTTTGACTTATTGATTTCATTTTGGGTTTCACAACGTCAATTAGGTCGAGATTATTTAGAATAGTAAAAAAGATGCAGCACACCTGTTAGTAAAGAAACAAGCACGCGTGCGTGAACGTGCACGCACACGCACACACACACACACACACACACGTCTTGGTTCATAACACACTCTCCTGATATGGATCAATAACCTGATCAGCATCTGATGTATTGACACACAAAATAACCGGAATCACACAAATAGCTGTAAACAACAACAACAACACGTGACGTTCTACGTGATTAAAGTTTGAAATGAATGTAATCTAATGCTAACTGTGAGCCGTTAGCTGCGGGTTCGTACCGGACATTTAGCGTTTATTTACTGGATGAAGAATGTCTTAGTCTTACCACTCCAGCTGGTTCATCCCTTCTTTGGCAGACTCTTCTTTTTATATTTCTTCTATTTGCTTTACTATTTTACTGTTTACTTACTATTGTCCTCTTACGGTCTCCTCGTGCATCTGCGTCTGAACTGTGCAATTTCGGTTACTGCGCATGTGCGTGACCAGTGGACGGTAAGACAGAAGGGACATTTCAAAAATCAAAGATCGCTTACTCAAAGTCGACAGGGCCAAAAACTGATCCACTAAGTTACCTAAAATAAATGTACGTGGCTTTTTGTTACATTGAAATGATCAAATTCAACTTTCATTTTAACGTGATTTGAATAGTGATAACCATAGCCATTGATGTCTGTGTTTTGTTTATATCAATAATCAGTGAATTAATCTAATGTCTTGTCTTGTCTGTCTGTCATGTTTTTATACATTCTTTTGTACCTGTTATTGCTGTACTGTATTGTACTTTTACAATGACAATAAACATCCGTATCCTTATCTTTATCCTTAGTGCTGTGTGCGTCCGCGTCCGTGTACGAGTCTGAGTGTTTAGTGTGTGTGAATGTATGGTACAGACCCTCTGATTGGTACATCAGTTGTCTGTGTCGGATCTTAATCTTCGATAGATTAAGGTGAGGGTTAATGAATATATACAGAATATATACGTGTAACCTTCACCTTAGAACAGGATCAATAGTGTTCAGTAGAAACTGATTGAATCAGTGGACATCACAGCATACATCTGCTCAAATATCAATGAATAGTGTTGATTACCTGAAAAACAATCACATATTGATGCTCATTCCCACATATCCAGTCACTATGGTAACCAGTATGGTTGATAATCACGATCAGGCCAGCTCATCGGTTGTCACTGTTACTAATGTGTGCGTGGGGCTTAGACTAATCTCTGACACGGGCAGAAAAATGTATATTAATATATTAAAAAGTGGCCATGTACCCGTCTGAGTCTAGCCTTGCCGGCCTTGTGGGGTTTCCAATAATACTATGCTTTACTAACTATTTGTTTATTCTGTGCAGTAGCTAAGCTAATTAATAAGTGTGGTTTATTGGATTCAAAGCTCTTGATGCTAACTAAGACCTGACTCAGCTAACGAGCAGCTGATTGGGTCAGATTGTCCTGGAAACACGTAATATGTTGTACTTGCATGTAAGTGAAAATCAATTAAAAATTTGGATGAACTCAGACCATAAATCACACTGAAACTTTACAATGTAAAAATCCTTTAAACCTCTGGAGTTAAAACTTTATTACCAGCTGATGACTTTACATTGATAATCAATCAATCAAACAGTGCAAAAAGCACTTCCTATGATTGAGTATAAGTGCCACTGTAAAATAAACAAGTGTACATCTTCAAGACACAAGTTTAAATGAAGCCATGGTATTAATGAGAAAAGTAGTTGAACTCGGAGTAATATAATTTAACAGTAATAATAATATAATATAAGGATGGGTAAAGTTACATCTAATACCTCATCATGAGCGTTTTAGAGAGAAAGCAAATCAATGTCAACCAGACCATAATATTGCCGTGGAAAAAGACCTTTAATGCAGACACTCTGTGATAAAGGTTTAATGGTCTCGTGTTCAAAGTCTTGTTAACTTTCACAGAAGCATAATTGATTACTTTAGTGTGATCTCAGGATGAATCGGCCAGCTCACAACTCCTGATTGTCATAATGAAAGTACTGGTTATTGGAGGTTTTATTGCTCTCACAGTGACCACAGTGTTATCTCAGCTGGTTTCAATAAAGTTACAGCTGCTACTCGATGAGCTCTAATTCAAATGCTACGGTAATAAAGTATTTTATTTTGAAAGGCTCAGTCTGTGCTTAGAGGAGCTAGCAGAGCTAACACACTAACTCTAGCCCTGACCGGAAGACATGTACGACATCATCGCTGTCTTTTTCCCAGCATGCCTTTGGCCTTCTCAGCCACGGCTCTGACCTGTGACCCTGAGTTTTATGTTGTTATAACAACCAGCCCACCGACGTAATGTCGTAATACCGACATGATATCAGAATGACGACATCTAACACAGTCAGACACCTTCATCGTTGTCTTCATTGTCATCACAGTAGTGCAGTAAATACGCAGCAGGGTGTGTGTGTTGTTATATATATGTATATATATATATATACATATATATATATATATCTGTATATACAGTACATATACATATATATATGTATACACATACATACAATACATATATGCATGTATGTGTTCGTTGGGCATGTGTCTGATGGTGTGTTTGTGTTGTATATAAATGGTTATATGTCAGTGTTCATTGGGCATGTGTCTGATGGTGTGGAAGATCCAGTCCATCTTGGTGCTCCACCCTCCGTGATGAGCGTCGTTCATCTGTTTGGTGAAATATTCCAAGGCTTCCTGCTGGCTCTTCTCTGAGAGACAGACAGAGAGACCGACAAAAAAAGATGGGAAGTTTTATAAGTTTACGGATCAAAATCTGGAGATCAGGAAAATATCTCTGATCCAGAGCTGTATAAGTATAAAAATCTGGCAACGGTTTCATACGGAAGACAAGAAATTGTCATCAAGTTAGTTTAAATGTTCTGATAAGAACTGTGGAGACTTTCGTGAAGAGTCAAAGACACAAGATATATATATATATATATATATATATATATATATATATATATATATATATTTACATAGACACAGTAGCAGTCAAAGGTTTTGACGCATCTTCACATTCAACGCTTTTCTTTATTTTTTCTACATTGTGGATTAATATTTTAGACATAAAAAGTAAAGGAACACAAATATAATTATGTGATAAACAAAAAAAGTGTCAATTGCTGCAGCTTTCTACACTCTTGGCATTCTTTCAATCAACTTCACGAGGTGGTCACCTGGAATAATATTTCATTAACAGGTGTTCCTTGTAAAGCGTTCATTTGTGGAATTTCTTGCCTGATTATGTGTTATTATGTGTCGTATTGTGCAGGCACAGGGTTGGTGCACAGCTCTATACAGAGAATAGGCATATTTGATGAGGATGATTTCACAGTTATGTCAAAACAGAACAGAAGTTGTTGTTAATTGTCGAGCAATAGACTCAAAGCAGAATTCCCAAGTTTCTATTCATGAAAATGACATATGATCATTGCTAAATATTGTTATTTATGTTATATTTGTGTGAGAAAATCTACCGGAAAATCTAATGGTGGGAAAATATATGTTGTATGACTTTTGCCCTCTCGATAGATGTGGAAATATACGTTACCAACTTCAATTTTAGTGAATTTACTTATTTTAAAAATAAAAACACTTTTTATAGAGTTCATATTATAAGCAATTCATTTAAAACAAAGAAGGAACAACCTTTTTTGTAGCAAATTTTCGCCACGCTTTACTCGCACGAGTTTACTCAGCCCACTAGTTGTAGTTATTTTGCTTCATTCGCGTCCCATTTTTTTCACTTCATTCGTGCCTGAAAGGGGGAGTGGCTTATCTCTGCAGCTTTTTGTTCTGTTATCGACAGGTATCGTTTTCACCGACTCCTCCAGGAAGTGTGTCTGGGTAACTGATGACTGACTCCAGCGCTGCTTCAGGCGGACCCTAAAAGCGGGCCCTGGCAGAACAGGTTTGGGAACCACTGGACTAGAGGTTTAGGTCATTTTAGTGATTCTTGTTGTTATCGCACGGTTTCCTTTAGTGCTGTTAGACTTATTAAGGACTTACATATCTTAATGGATTAATAATGCATTATTTCATTATCACGGTTGGAGCCGTGAGAGGGTCATTATCTCCTTTCCTTTGGTAAAAGACGGCCCAGTGTATCCCAAGCTCAAGGAGATACGAGTGGAAGGACTGAAGCACCCGAAGGTGAGCAGCTCTTGACTGTCTGATGCTTTTGTCAAGAACCTTCCTGAGAAAAAACAACATTTCAACCACAGCCCAATAATAGAAGATGAGGTTACATCCCCGGTCTCTCAGCTTGTCTCCCCCTCCACCTACCTAGGGCTAGAGTTTTCCTCAGATAGGCAATGTCGTCGAAGCTCTGCAGTTCGGGCATCCCGCAGCCCAGCAATAGGGAGAAGAGATTGATGAAGAGGCTGGCATGCTGCCGAATGGCCAAGTAGGCCTTATAACACATCTCCTGGAACCTGACATACAGACAGGTAAACAGGTAGTGAGACAGGCAGAAAGGGACAACGAGGACCAGCATTCTACAGGTGAGGTGCAGGCGAGACCTCTCAAACTCCTTGGTTTTAGTCGACTCCTGGACGCCTTTACTGATGACAATGAGGAAGTCCTGAGTTAGAACAAAGGGAACCCGCTCCCTCTTGTACCCAAACTTTTTCTTCTTGTGATCCAGAAAGTGACCGAAGTCGATGTGGAACAGCTGGAGGAAGAAGAGGAGGTCAAGTGAGTGGGAGTCTGGATCGTTTCAGGATCTGCGGATGAGCTGCTCACCTGGCCATTCTCCTTCACCATAATGTTGGAGTTGTGCCGGTCTCCAATTCCCAGAATGAAGGTTGCGACGCAGTAACCTGCACACGACCTGGTGAAGAGGTCAATGGCCCGGTCGTACCTAAGAGATAGACGTTGTCACCTGCCTGATGGTGTATCTGTGTTATATATCTGTGATATATATATAAAGGTCTGATGATGTTCTTGTGTTGTATATGTTTGTGTGACTGCCTGAGATAATGTGAGTCTGTCTTACAGATTTGACGGGTTCAGTGACAGTTTGACCTTTTTTCAACAACTTATTTCAACTGAGAGTCTTCTTTGTGAGTTTCGCAGCAGATGTTGAAGCTTCATGGAACTTCAGACTGCTGCTCGTCCAAAGCTTTGCTACACCAAGGAAACTTCACCTACCTCCTTAAGATAATATTTAAACAATGCTCTGATTGGGACCGGCAGACAGAAAGGTATTCAGATAGACAGGTACTTACGCCTCTCCTCGGTTCTTGTCTTTGATCCAGTGGTGGAGTGTGTTGGAGTTGAACTGCAGCGCTCCCTTCAGGCCACCTTTACACTGAATCTGCATTATGGTGAAACTGTTCTTCACCACCTCAATCAGACCCACACAGTCTCCGATGGAGAGGCATCCATACGGCAGCATGCTGACACACACAAACAAAGACACACACACTCAATTAGCCAGGTGTTTTATGATATCAGAGCTCATGTGATTGATGATATCACAGGTTCTCACCGTAGGTCCAGGCCCTGGTTCTGCCAGATGTTCTCCATGATCTTAATGATCTGCAAAGTCAGCATGTCCTGACGCAGGTCTGCAACACACACACAAACACAGGTTACACAATGCCTTACACGCAGTCCAATAGGTCTTCTGTTAGCACTGAGCTACCGTCTCCGTTCTTAAAGATGATCTCGTTGTTGGTGAAGAGCAGCTCAGACATGATGTCGGGGTTCTCCCAGTTTAACCACAGGGGGCGCTTCGCTGACGACATGATCCTGCACTCCTCCAGCCTGAAGATAAACACACTTCTCTTTACTTCACTTATACTTTACTGTACTATATCATATCCCACTTTGCTTTAATGTATTGTACTTTAACTTTATTAAATGTACTTTACTATATTTTACAGTACTGTATTAGCTCTATTCCTATTTACTCGATTCTACTTTACTTTGTTATAGTTAACTCTATATATTCTATTTTACAATACTTTATTCTACTTTCCTTTATTCTATTTAGCTTTACTCTATTGTACCCTATTCTATTTTCTTCGCTGTAGTATATTTTTATTTTGTTTTTTTTTACTTAACTTGACTTAATTGACATCACTTCACCTTTTTGTTCTTTAACTTAAAATGCCTTTTGAAGCGTCACTTCACTTAACTAGTTAATTTGTTAATGAGTTAGTGAGTTAGTTTGTTAATGAGTTAGTGATTAAAGTAGGTAGTTAGTGAGTGAATGAGTTGGTTAGTTATATAGCGAGTTTGCTTGTTAGTGAGTTAGTTGGTTGGTTATTTTGTTAGTTACCTCAGGTTTCCCAGCTGGTGAACTGGGTTCAGCGGGGAAACAAATCCCTGAAGAGCCTCCATGTAATCTGGACGAGACATGTGTTCAACCAGGAACTTCATCTGAGTCTGACAACCAATCACAGCACAGAAACACATCAGTACCATCCAATTGCAGCACATCAGGATAACCATCATTATGACTTTGACAATAAGAAGCCAAGTAGAATCGCCCTCCAGTCGATTGGTCTGTAGAGTCTTTGATCCACAGGTTCTTTCTCGGTGGGCATCTGATGGGGTTTCATCGAGGTGGTAGTTTGAGGTTTTGCCCTTCTCTTCAGTGGTACTAGGTTCTTGCTGTTCCTTTGGAGAACACCCTGTCCCAGATGTTCGTGTTGTTCAGGTTAAAGCAACACCTGCATATAGTGTTCCTCTTTTGATGTCCGTTTGGGTGCGTTGACCTTCATTCAGTTGGCCTTAAAATATCTGTCCATCTGGTGCTGGCTGATGGTTGAGGTGATGATGGGGATATTATTCAAATCTTAATCATCTTGACGTTCAGATCAGGTTCCCGGAACCAGTGAGTTCTAATAGCCTTTAAGATGCACTGGAGGTCTGTTGGTCTTCATACTGGAACTCCATAATAGTGGAGGACAGCATCTGGCTTAAGAACCTACCATCGGCCCGGTACACCGGAGTGCCACCTGACACTAATTATTGTCTTTGTGTTAGCTTAGCACAACGATAATGATGAGGACAGAGAACAAAGAGAGGAGAAAAGATGAGACAGAGGAGAGGAGGACAGAGGAGAGAATAGAGACAAAAGGAGGAGAGTGGAACAGAAGAGAGGAGGACAGAAAACACAGGAAAGGACGACAGAAGGGGAGGATAGAGGATATAGTAGAGAAGAAGGCAGTAGGACAAAGAAGCATACAGAAGAGAGGAGGACTGTAGAGAGTAGAGAAGAGAAGTAGACAAGAGGACAGAGGAGAGGAGGACAGAAGGGATTAGGACAGAGGAGAGGAGGATAGAAGAGTGGCAGACGGAAAAGAGAAGAGAGAAGGAGAAGGAGAGGAGAATAATTCATTCTTTTAACATTACACAATTGTTTCGTAGGTTAGGGGTGAGTATTGATTGAAGAGCAGCTCCTAGTTGTTATAACACGTATCCCTGAAGGCCATTGTAGTTCTCTGGTCAGTAAACCTCAAACTCTGCTCCTCTAAAATGGGAAACAGGATGTTTTCATACCTTTTGTGTTTCGTCCTTCTTCTCTTGTTTGAGTGTGTCGGTCAAGTTCACCAGTTTGTCCATGGCCTCCACCTGCATGCACCCACGTACACACAGACACACACACACAGTCATTACGACGCTGAACCACTAGACGGCTTTCCAGCTGTGCTCACCTGTCTGTTGAGGTGTTTCAGGTACATCCCACATGCTCTACAGAAAGCTTCCAGCAGCAGCCCAAAGCGACGGGACACCGTCTTGTTGTGCATCTCTGACCTGAGAACACAACAGAAGAAATGTTAGACATCACGTCATGGTTAGCATTCCTCCACTCCATAGGTGGTGTTCCTCACTTGAGATGCCAGAAGAAGAAGTGTCCAATCCTCTGATTGGTCAGAGCTTTCTTTATCAGAAAACGAGCCAGAGGATTGTCGAGGTACATCTCATACTTCAACACCTGAAACATACAATTAAGAGATGGCTGGTAGTTGTTTCCTTCATTGGCTGGATTGAACATGAGGGTAAGAATATAAGCCAGTCAGAGCCAGAGAAGGATGGTTCGTGCCTCTGCTGGACCACACAACAACAGGTTTTTCACAGACTGTCAGAGGAAGACGAATAAAGTGACAACATACTTAATGAAGTACTTATACTACTGTGCATACAAGAGAGGGACATAGCATATATTAGGATACTATTTTAATAACTAACCTTAACAAGTGTGTTCCTACTTTTGCACTGCATGCCATATGCAGCATGGACAGTAAAACACAAAAAACTCCGCAAGTAATACGTACCTGTACGAGGAAGTAATCCTGTAGGACAAAGTGAAACATACTTCTACCAAGATGTGAAATTTAACTCTGCAAGTAATATGTACCTTTATAAGAAGTGAAACGTACATTTAAATTATACGTACCTGTATGAAGAAGTAAAACATTTCTGTACTAGGAGGGAAAAAGTACAAGTAACCCCAAGTAATACGTACCCATACCAGGAAGTTTCATGGACCTGTACCAGGAAGTCAAATGTACTTATGCCAGGAAGTGAGGTGGTACTAGGAGGTGAAGCCTTCCTGTACCAGGAAGTGAGGTGGTACTAGGAGGTGAAGCCTTCCTGTACCAGGAAGTGAAGCGTTCCTGTACCAAGAAGAGAAACTCACCTGTACAAGCTGCAGCAGGTACTGTGACAGCTTATCGTCGGTTAGGCCTTGTACCAGGCAGCGCAAAGCAAACTCTCTGACCATCGGATCAGGAAAGTTACAGTCCAACAACTCCAGAGCGGATTCAGGTTCCATTAGAGGCCACTCCTTCAGCAGACAGTACATCTGAGGAGGAGGAGCAAGAAAGGTAACTGAAGAGGAAGAGGAGGAGGAGACAGACAGGTAATTGAGTACAGGAGGAGACAGGCAGGTAACTGTGGAGAAGACAGAGGAGAAGACAGACAAGTAACTGAGGAAGAGGAGACAGACAGGTAACAGAGAAGGAAACAGAGGAGGAGACAGAAAGGTAACTGAGGAGGTGAGATTCTGACGTGTTGTTCAGACCTGAGACACTTCGTCTCGAGAGTTCCATTTGACGGACAGAAGCAGCTTAGGAAGAGACTCTGGCATGTTTACACAGTAATGTCTGCAGAGAGAGGGATAAACAGGTAGAGCAAAACACTGATGGTGTCAGATATTGTAGATAATAAATAATAAAGTCAGAGACATTAGAGATAAACACTAAGAAAGTAAGCCTGAGTTGACAGCTTGAGAGATAGGAGATCACCTATGCCTCCACAGGAAATCCTTCTCCTGCTCCGAGAGTTCATAGAGAGGATCTCTGGAGCACAGCGAACAAAGCTGCTCTGTATCAGCTACTGAAGTTCTGCTGTCACAGGCCAGACGACTGCTCTGAGACAGAGAGACAAGTATGAGGAGAGAGGTGGAGGAGTCAGGTAGAGGAAGAGAGACAAATAGGAGAGAATGGGAGGAGTCAGGTAGAGGGAGAGAGACAGGTGGGAGAGAGTTGGATGAAAAAAAGGAGTCAGGTAGGAAAGTAAGTAAAAATGAGAACTAGAATGGGATCTGATCTCATCTTTTATTTCTGGGTTAGGGTTAGGTCGACACTGCGAGTCGGGCCATACACATATATGTGTGTGTGTACATGTACACATATTACCACTCCGTGGCAGTAGTTGTAGCCAAGCTCTCTGCTGATGGTCCAGTTAGCATGTTCCTCTATCTGCTGCTCATCAGGAAATACCACAGTCTGATTAAACCAGGAGAACTCCAGTTCCACACAGGGAGTCTCCTACAGAGGACCATCAGTCGGTCAATGAACGGACTCATTCATAGGCAGAGAAACGGACCGGTAGTCAGGGACTTACTCTACCTTGTTGGGATTGGAACCGGCAACTCCGATGGGATTGAGGAGGTCCTCGAGGCCGTGAGGCACCGGCCAAAGACTGAGAGCCACTTTACCTGAAACCAGAATGTCAGTGTAGTCGAACATGTTCACGTTGCCCCAGGCCAGAGGGCAGTGCTCCTGAGGGACAGACAGGGGGATTTAGTCACTCTTCCTTTGCTTCCCTCATCTGTTCATAAGCCATTGTCTCCTTCCCATTTCACCTCTTTGGCTCCTTTCCTTCCCTTCACAGAGCAGATTGACAAGCAGAGTCTGGCGGAGCGAGGAATATCAGCCAGGTAGATGTCATAGGCCAGCCACTCGTTCCACCTGGAGACAGCCAGATAGATGGGACAGGAGAGACGGGTACTCCCTATGAATGTAGTCTGTGTTGTGCATATTTATAGAGGTCGTCGTGGCGCAGGGGGTAGCGCGGGTACGCTGGGAAACGCAAGGTTGGTGGTTTGAGTCCTGGCTGCCCCATGTCTCAAGTCGAAGTGTCCCTGAGCAAGACACCTAAACCCTAATTGTGCCCCGGGCAAAATGTAAAAAAAAAAAAGCCATGGGTTTAAAGTGTAATGTAAGTCGCTTTGGATAAAAGCGTCAGCTAAATGACCTGTAATGTAACTTATATTTATTAGTGCTGGCCAACGGTTACAATTTTTCAACGCAATTAATTGCTTGATTCTTTCTGTATTGCGCACTTCTATTTGTGCCATCACTTTAAACAAAAAAGGTGCTTAATAACAGCAGAAGTTGCTTTATACAGTTAAAGTATTTATTGCAAATCTCAAATTAAACTTCATTAAATAAAGAAAATACATCAAACCAAAACTAGTTTCCAATTCCAGGGCATTAGATCCATCATCTATGGATCAACAACCTCTGTTTAGTAGCAAGTGTCCCCGTTAGAGTGAGGTAGTCCATGTTTATTCTGGATTAATTGTTGAGAATATCAGTCAAAAAAAGAAAAGAAAGTCCCTTTCAGTGATGCAGTTTATCAACAACTTTGGTTCCATAAACTTTGTCTGGAAGAGATTTAAAATGTGTAGCATTTAAAAAACAGTTTGCTACTTTTTCAATTTTTCTGTCCCCGCCACAGCAGTCTTAGGCCCGTCCCCAAATACTGATCAATCCCCAGTCCTTTGACCCTGTGTGTCTGGATGTGTTTTCAGAGCCAGTGATCAACAGGCTCACAACAATCATAAATTAATTGTTGCATTAACCCAATGATAATGTGTTAACGTGTTCAGCATTCATATATATAAAGTGAGGTACCTGGGGTTGGAACAAGGGACTCTCTGGGTGTTGACGTTGTCACAGAGTGGTTCTCCACCGTGATAGATTCCTGTCCTCACATAGATCTAAACACAAAGACACAAGGAGACACACAGTCAGTTTTGATATCAGGCTTTACAGCAGACACAAACAAAACAGAAAGATACTCTAAAAAGTAGACTGAGGAAGTTGTGGTGAGGAACCTTGTCGATGTCACGGATGTTGACGTTGACGTAGGTGGCGCACAGTAGTCGTACCCTCAGCAGAGTGTTAAAGGCCCAAAGAGAACGAGGAGGAGAACCATCACCTCCTCCTGGACAGGGAGAAGGCTGAGGAGTCCGACGGCTGAAACACAAACAACACACATCTTCCATCTGTAGAGGCTGCTGATTCGCTGTCATGTGAGAGATAAAGATTGATGCTGGTTGATGCTGATTGACTGTTGTACCTGTATGAGGGTGTGACAAAGCCAGAAGCAGGAAGCTGAGAGTAGAGACTGTCTTTGGAAACCAGCATCAGATGTGGAAGACGTCCCACTATTATACAGGACCGGATATACTGCAGAGAGACAGGTAGAGGGAAAGGCGTCGTACTAAAGAGCTCATCCATGAAGCTTTGTGCTCTCAGACTGAAGTTGTTACCTTGTACTGACTGAGAGGGTACTTCTCCAGCAGGTACTCGTCACAGCCACAGACCTGAGGAGACAGGTGCACAGGTGAGTCAGACAGACTGGATGGCTTCAGGATGTACTGTCTACATTTAGATACCTTTAATATAGATATTCTCCTTGACTAATGTTTTAATTCCTCAGGTCAGGACAGCTGTACCTTAAGGATGTACTGCCCTTGGTACTCTTGGACACAGAGGCGGAGCTGTTGAGGTGACAGGTGCATCGATCTGCTTTTCTTCCTGATGGACTCTGCTATCAGCTGCTCAGGTAAACTGTCATGACTTACCTGTACATAAACACACACATTATGATACAATTTTGTAATAAAAATCAAGGATCAGGAAACATATGTTGCCATAATATGTCAGACATACAAGGAATTTGATAGTGAACAAAATAGTGAACTAATATTAAGCAAAGATGAAAAAATGTAACCTTATCAACCTCTTGAAAACCGGGTTTTTATGCCCCTGCTGATAAAAAAGGGCATTAACTCTGGAACGACTTTGTCTATCTGGACAAATATTACTGTCAGGATAGAGGGGAACACCTGCAGGTGTGATCTGATGTGTAAATATCAGTACATATGTTACTGGTTAAAAATAAATGAAAATAAATAAATGAAATGAACAGAAATAAAATTTCCAGAATTGCCTGAAAAGAAATTAAACATCTAAGTCATAGCCCAGTGTGTGGACAGTATTTGTGGAAAGTTTTACTGAGTGAAGAGTGAAGCAAAACACCACCTAGAGGCTTTGCTACAGTTCTCATGATTTACGGTGACTCTGAGATCTCAACCCCTCAGAATTGTCTGAAACTTCTGGATCAGACCTGTAGAGCAAAGGATGACGCTCGTCGCTGAAATTTACCCCCCCCGGAACACTCTAACTTGATCTGAAAACGGGGAATCTAACCCCTCCACATGAAAAAGATGGCTGTGGGTATATGCCAGTCGAAAAACCCTAGATTCATATTTTGGTTAAAAATGGCAGGGGTAAGAAACATTTGATATGATGCAGTGCTTGGTGTTTGGTGTCTTTGTTAGCTGCACGCTTCAATTTGCTGCACTACTTTGCATCGGATATTTTCAAACTCTTTTAACACTTAACACAATGGAGCATTTTTAAACGGATATGATATGTTGTAAGCAAGACGTTTCTGTGGTTTTGAGGCATTGTTATGTTTGTTTGTGATGAGATGGTATGCAGATATTATGCAGCAGAATTATCGAGTTTCAAAGGGGCTAACCCCGCTACCAGCCCCCACCAGTGGGGGTTGGTGGCTAACAGGTTTCACATGATTTTCTGATTAACAGCGATCAGTTGCATTATGCGCAAAATTCAACAATAAATTAAAAACTGGAAAATTCCGCAGAAATTTTAAGAGTGTGGCCTAGACTGCCCGCAGGTGCCTGTGCATTAAACGGCCAAGCAGGAAAGTGAAGACTAGGTAGTAAACTAAAGACATGACCCATTTTTCTCTGGCTGTTTTAGCCACTTGTCAGCAGTTGGGTCCTGTTATTACTAGTGCAATGCTCCCCCCACCGTATTGCCCCCCACTCCCCCATCGCCCCCGTCGTAATGTCAGCTAGACTTGCATTAAAAACGACACACACATTGTACTGCATCCATTCCAATGGAGCTTTTTTGCTGTAACGTCCGCCCCTACCCAAACCGAATTGTCCGCCCCCCCTGCGGTAATGTCCGCTCTCCCCCGGTTAGTGTTTTTTTCCTATTTTTTCTTAAAACTCCTTTCCTAAAATGTTTCCATTGGAGTTTGGAGCTCGAAATTTGCTTTTTTGGGGAAAACCGTAAGTCATTTTTCTTAACCAGATAATAGCACAAGATTCCCGATGGGTTCCGACAATCACTGAAAGGTTGAGACAATTCCAAGCAACGGTGCGGAAGGAGATGCGTGCCAAACTTTTGTACGGAAGGAGAATAAGGCAAAGAAGCCCAAGTGATTACTAGGAGTTTGGCAAAAAAAATATTTTTCAGTCTGTAAAGCCTATGGATTTCCTTTTTTTTATCCATTCCTCCGACATAACATTTTCTTACTCCTGTGCATCAGGCCATGGTCTTTTACATTTTCAGATCATAAAGAACCTCTCTTTATCTGAACAATATGACCAGCGAGAGAGAACCACCTTCCTCAGGGTGCAGATGTTGGACTCCACACTGCTGTGTGAGTCTGCATGCTGTCAGTGAGAACATCAGGATAATGAGGTGCGCAGTCAGAACGAGGGAGCCAAAATAGAGTCAACACACCAGAGAGGGGGGCTGGTGAAGGACGAGGATGAGATTAGTGGGACAACAACAACAGGTGGAGAGTTACGTAGTCAAGATTGAAGGGGAGGGCTTCACTCAATCTAATGGTCATAGAAATGTATAACTACAGTGTTGTATCATCGCCTCGTTAGTGTCTTTTTGGAAAGAATTCAGATCTCCAGTCTGTCGTATGGGTGTGTATTACTGAGAGTCCCTGGTCTGGGAGGATGTGTGGGTCCTCATTTTTAGTTAGATAGATAAAGTCAGTGAGTTAGAGAATAATTAGAAAATAGTTAAAACTATGAATAAATTAATCCCCAACATTTGGCGAGCTACCAGCGACCACAGGCTTTCTCCATTTTCTTGGTTAATGTGCGCAGACCCTCCCAATGCAAAAGAAAAAGCTGCTAACTATGATAAAATCATTATCGGCACGATTGGATTGCTTAAGGTGCCAAGCCCTAAGAAATGCATTTTATTTGTATATCATACTTTAAAATCATACTCAAGGTGGGTAGAGGGGTATGGAGTGGCAGACCGGCTATTTAAAAGGTGTGAAGGAGACTGGTTGAGATCTGCATTGTTGATTCCAACACAAACCTAGAGCAGCAGTCCAGAGGATGTGTAGTGATCTTAAAGACCTATGAGGAAACTTTATGATAAATAAAATGTAAAACTTCTTGATCACCTAAACTTTTCCCACTTAGATTTCTAAAATGGTAAAAGAAAAAAAGGGTTTGTCGACTTCCTCTTTTTAGTCTTTGGTGCTATTGTCATGACTGAACCTTCTGCAGCATTACATGAAGTTAGCGATGCATTAATGATGCTGGTGTAACCCCCCATGAGCACATTGGTTGGTGACGTTCTGAGTTTGGTTGATGTAAGGTGATGAAATTACCAATTTGTAATCAAATGAGAGCTTGAAGGAGTAATTTTTGAAAGGATGAAAGTGACTCAAACCAACAGACATTCATTACATTACATTTAGCTTTTATCCAAAGCAACTTAAATTACATTTTTAACCCATGGCTCTTACATTTTGCCCAGGGAGCAATTAGGGGTTAGGTGTCTTGTTCAGGGACACTTCGACATGGGACATGGGGCAGCTGGGACTCGAACCACCAACCTTGTGGTTCCAGCACACCCTCTCTACCCCCTGCGCCACAACGACTCCATCTTCATCTTTACCTTAAGGGTGTATTTCTGTTTGGAGTTGGACGGAGATACTATGACCCAGATGGTGACGATCAACCTGCCTGCCAAAACAGAGAGAGAGTCATTAACTTTCAATGCATCTAATCTATACCTAAAGATTCACAGAACTCACAGTGTCCCCCAGAAGGAAGCTCACGGATCATCGTAACCTCTGCTCATTTAAGGAACTTTGAAAGTCAACGTAGACGTCCCTTTCTGATTGGCTGGATTTGTTGGATTTGTTCTGGGTTATCCCTGATCTGGGGGCATACTTTAACAAGGTGAATACCTTTGTCCAGCTTGCTGTAGATGTGCTGTGGGAGCTGGGGGCTGGATTCCAGGTTGGGGGGGTAAACGTAAAGCGCCTGGCTGTGGGCGCCCCCTCCTTCTCTCTCCTCCATGGCCTCTCTGCACACGCTCAGTATGGAGCGACGGAAGTCCTGAACCTCCGGGTCTTTCATCATCTCGAACTCACAGACTGGCATCCCAATGGCGAATCCTGAACACGGGGTCTGAATGTGAGGGTGGAACTCTTGGAGGTGGAGTTTGGTGAGCCATGAGGTCATATTGTGAGGGTGGAAATTTGGGAAGTGCAGTTTGGTGAGGGATGACATCATATTATGAGGGTTAGCGTATGATGACGGACTAAGGGGACACAGACGTTTTTTGACTTGTTTCTTGATTCCTCCATTTAATCCTGTTTGGACCTGTTTTGAAACAAGTACTCTCTGGTCCTGCTCCCGTTGGAGCCAAAGACGTCCAACATGGTTCTTATTCTTACCTGCAACCAGTTTAGCTATCTCTGGTTCTGTTGATGCTTGAGCTTGTTTTGTACCTAGTTCCTTCACATTGGCATTGTTGGGCTCCCACCAGAGCATAAAACCAAGGGTGACTTTTGGAGCAGTTTTCTGCTGCAGGACATGGAACCCCCACAAGGAATGTGTCTTCACACCTAGGTGTGATTTCTCTCTCTTGATGAAACAGCCCTGAGATCTGATTGGTCAAGCCACAGACACGACAGGGGTCTCTCTGCTATGGTCTGTCAGTTCCCTCTCACAAACTTTCTTTCCGGACTGGCCTCAGGTCAGTGTGAAGTTAAAGACAGCCACTCCTAAATCTTTTCATTTCTGGACTGTCTCTTGCCGGTTAAAGGTTAAGACTGTAGGATCTCTTCAAATCAAGCTTTTCCAAACTGACAATTGTCAGTGCAAGGTTAAGGCTGCAGTATCTTTTCAGATCAATTTTTCCGAATCGACTGTCGATGACAGTATTAAGGACCCAGGCTCCCCAGCTTTCAGTGGCTAGGCCTCTCCAACCCAAACCATTTTCTAGCTGCTCCAGATAAGTCTGGCTGCCCCAGTCTTCACTTCCAGCCCAAGCAGCTCCAAAAAGAAGGAAAACTTCTTGCCCCGTGTGAAGCTATTCACAACAGCGTCTTTCAGTCTTACTACTTTTCCCTGATTAGTGAGATGCTCATGATGGGTGAAGAGATGCTTGTGAACTGACCAATGGCTGGAGAGACATTTGGTGTTACCTATCTCTCGGTTCAGAATCTTCTCCTCCCGGTTGCCCAGCGGCTCGATGACTTTCAGGATTGGGTGAAACAGTCGCAGGTCACACAGCCGCCTTGTCTCATCATAGAACTCCTCCCTCTCTGCCTCCTGGGTCACTCCCACAAAGATGTAGCTGGACTCCTCCTGGCCATTCAGAGAGAAGATATCACTGCACTGCCTTCAAAAACAAGTGTCAAAGGTCGGAAAGGATCTTACCTGCAGCAAGTGGTATAGCGGGTACTTTCTGGCCTCAGTGAAGAGCTGCTGCTTGATGCTGATGAGAGGAGTTTCTCTGAGACACTCCAGACTCACCATCATCCCTGGAATATAATCATTATATTATATAGATATTATATGAACGGAACAACGTAGTAGAGAAGAGAATGACTGGTACCGTTTGGAAGGCAGCAATCCACCAGGATGCGTGGGGGCATCAGGTGGAGCCCCCACAGCTCCCCTGACGACGGCCTGGGCCCCATGGCATCCACCAATCACAAGCAGCCTCACCTCAGCGCCAGGCTACCTATACACAGACCGACCATTTAGCTTTGACCCTGTTTGTGACATCTAAAAGTTCGGACTGATCTATAAGCACTAATGTGTCAACATGGAGATCCATCGTATCACATTGGTACCTTCAGCCCAGACTCTGTAAAAGGACAGACAATATCTGTAAATGAACAACCAAACTGTTATTTTAGGTATTATAGGTGCTAATATGACAAATTATTGTTTACACAGCATTTTACTGTTTCCTTATATTACATATAATTTATGTAAAATAACAATACATATCTTTAATTAATATCTAGCTCATTCTATCAAGGTTAATGTTTATGTGTACTTTTATATTCAAACTCAATTCAAAATTGTGGATCTCAATACATTAAATATTATGCAGTCTTTTGCAGAGTACAAAGCTGCACTTCTCTAAACCTTCAGGCATGTTGCGCCTCTGCCGACACCCAATCACGTGTCACCGTGAGTGAAAGCACATACATGCCAAATAATCTGGCAAATATAAATTGAGTAAAGGCAAATTGAGAAAAAGAATGCATTGTAATAGTCCAGGCATAAAGTAGAAGCAAGAATGATAAGTTTCAAGTCCTTCATGGTGACAATAGGGGTGACCATGACACAGTGGTTAGAGAGGGTCTTCTGGTAACTGCAGGGTCAGGGTTGGATCCCCAGCTGTGTCATGGTGTCCCTGAGCAATAGACCTATCTTCAAACTACTTATTGTAAGTCTCATGGATTATCAGCTAAATGGTATAATGTAAAGCGCTTGAAAGTCACAACCTCAGGAGAGCAGTGCGGCAGTACCATCTTTGCTATGGTCCAAACCCTGATGGACTCTACCATCTAACGTGAGACGGCCCAATATCTCATTCGGTGGGGCAGTTATGACCTGCTGTACTTCATATAAATATTCAAAATGACTCCTGTAATGTTTATTTACAGGCGTTTTTTCTTCACTTTTGATCTTTGAAGTTTTTGTTAAATAATTTCATAGTTACGGATTTCCTGATTTAGTCGAGTTCTCTATTATATTGCTTCATGTCTTCATGTTGTCTTTGTCTCTGGTCCCTTTTGTCTCTTTGTTTGTGTGTTTTCAATGAATCCATCAAACAAAGAGCAGAAAGTAGGACACACACGCACGCACACGCATGCACACACACACTAGGACAGACCGAAGCAGCTGTGTGTATGTTAGTATGTGTGTGTGTGTGTGTGTGTGTGGGCGTGTGTTTGTAAGTGTATGTGTACGTTTGTGTGTGTATGTGTTTCCTGTCAGGAAGCTGGTTTCCTTCAAAGTTGTTTTCCTGTTGACTTGCTGATTTAAAGGAGCCGTCTGTTAAAACTTTTATCCAGAGAAAAAATATTTCAGTTAGAATAGATTTCTCATTAATAAATTAAAATAAATAGATCAAAATAAGATTTAAATAAGTTTAAAGGATGAAACCTGCAATGTCGTGAAATCGGGGAGAGAGACTCAACGTGTTTTATTTTATTATAAATCAGTAATATTACTGAGCAGTGACGTGCAGTCAGGGTAGGCAAGTTAGGCACTGCCGACCCTGTCAAAATTCAAACATAAAAATACTTATTACATTATTTTATTTAATAAACTTGTAGTCATATTTTTACTGTTTATTCGTATAGTTATAAATGCAATATGTGTGTTATTCCAAATGTTTAGATGTTACGATGACAAATGCAGCCGTTACGCATAATCAATTACAAAGAAATGGTAGAATAAGCAGTGCTTTTACTGTCCATTGATTGCGGACGGCAAGCAAAAAACCCATGTTGCACATGTGCACTTCGATCCTGTATTCTTCAAAATGTACATCAAAAAGCACAACTCTGCTGTGCCTTTGCACGTAAATAGGTTATTGCCAGTAATCATCCACGTTTCGTATCAAACATGGACCAATTTAAATCGAGACATTACTGGACATTTGCACAGCTGACATTACCACACCAGCTAGGTTGTAAACTTAATCCTGCGAAATTCAGTCAAAAGTCAAAATGACGGCGGTGTTTTACAAAGCTGTGATCAACGTGTTCATGTGGACAGAGCGGAGGTTGGATTTCATGTACAAATAATCAACTGATTGGTGAGTCAGAAACTATTTGGGGCTTAATATCGAGTTGATAAGTGTTGTTGAATGAATGCCGACAACAAGCCATTTGTCTTCATATTCAGCAGTGTGTGTTTTCATTGATGCTGATTGACAAACATAATTGGCCGCTGTGCAATAAATAAGCAAAAGGTTCCGAGAGGCCAGACTTTGTCATCAATAATGTTACAATCGGTTGTGAAAGCAAATGTAAGCACTGCCCCAAACAAATCGCTGAGGGTGTGTGGGTGTGCGCGCGTACCCGAGCAAGCTACCAAGAGAGTAGTAATATTGATATGTCATTCTCATTGGAAATATCTTGATCCCGACCCTGCGTGTGTGTGTCTACCTATGTCTCGCGCTTGTGTGTAACATTTACTTGTTTTGACGTGTTAGCCTAAACAACACACTTTCATAACTCAACGCCTACCCTCTTACTGACCTCACTGCACGTCACTGTTACTGAGTGATTTGGCTGATTGTTTCACTGATCAAACACTCAGTTCTTTATATTTATTTTTTCTTAGAAGTAGTATATTGTTAAGTATAAGTATTATATGGTATTATGATTATACATTATTAATAGCATTATACGGTGTCATTTGTAGTTTTATTAGTATTACGTGGTATTAAGGGAAGGATTAAATGATATTAGTAGTTGTATTGTTATATGATTTTTTAGTACTATTATATGGTTTGCATATTATTTTGTATAATATTTGTAGTACTAGTATATGGTATTAGTAATATATGTTTTTAGTATTATTATTAAGCGCTCCTATATGATAGTATTATTAATATCATTTGCAGTATTTACTGTATTATTAGTTATATGTTTTTCTTGTTATATGGTATTATTATTAGTAGTAGTTAGGGTTTATTAGTACTATTAAAATATTTGATTAGTAGTATTGTACTGTATCAATTAGCAGAACTATATATTATAAATTGTATTATATGTTAAGTAGTATATTAGTAGTAGTAGTAGTAATAGCAGTTTATTATTAGTAGTTGTATTGTATTCTTATTAGATTATATGGTATTATCAATAGAATTATTACTTGTATTATTAGTAGTAATATATGGTACAATTACATTGTATTACTAGTGGTAGTTTTAGTAGTACTCAAAGTAGTAGTACTAGTAATATATGGTATTATTAGTAGTAATAATAGTAGCATCATATTTTATAATTATTTGTATTACTGGTACAAGTCAGGTCTGGGCTGATGTTTGACGGGGCTCGAACTGTCCACCCGGCGCACCTTCTCTACTCCACGCGCCACGGATGCTATGTGTCTGCACCAGCACACCCCTCCATGACCCCAGACTGGGATATGGTTGCCATGACGACGGCAGCGGGAGCATCACTGGATGAGATCAAAGAAAGGACGAGTCTTTGTTCTGTCACTCACCTGAGCTCGTGCCTGACGGTCCAGCGGCCCGTGCCTCCGGTCATAGCGTCTTTCCCATCAGTCGGTCTCCCTGTCTGTCTGTCTTTCTGCCTGTCTGTCTGCCGGTTTGTCCGTCAGTCCTCCTCTGTCTTTGTCTCCTTCAATCAGCTGGTGGATCCGTGAGTCTGCTCCATTGATTTCATGTCCAACACAAAGAGTCCCCAACGTGCACAGCGGAGACCTGTCTGTCTGCCTGTCTCTGTCTGTCCGTAGAAGCTGCTGCTCGCCGGGAGAACAATGTGTCGGAGAGAATGGGGGGGGTGGGAGGGGGGTTTGAATGACGGAGGGGGGGCTGGGTGTCGGCTCATCCTCTTCTCTCTTAAAGGGCCAGCAGCTTCACAGAGAAGACAGAGCTCTCACTCTGTCTCAAATCCAGAAGACAGAAATATAATACACATCTCAAAAAGAAATGTAAATAAAATTCATAGACAAACGGACCACAACGTATTGACAAAACCAATACACAGCAAAAGGAAAGAAAATTGTACAACAATACACCACAGCAGAACCACCTACACCACAAGGACATATACTTCATATACCACGGAAGCACACAACATACCCATACGAATGAATAGAAAAGAGCAACACTGAAGACAAATTGACATACAAGCAAGCAGGACAGATAGTACATAAATGCTTGCACAGCTGATTGGAAAAAGCCATGTTATGAATTTAATGAGGTTCTGGTGAGAATATAGCAGTTTCCCTCTATGTGCAAAAAGCTGCCTTCAGTATTCGGAAAACATTAAGGTTGGGTAAAGTAGTTCTGTGATTCCACGCAGGACGGTCCAGAGAAGACAACAGGGTCCTGCCTCGGGCTCCCTAGGAGTGGCCAAGCAACTTCAGCCTCCTGTGAAAATTGCCTGCTGACTGAGTGAGAGGTAAGACCCTTTCTCAGTACTGCTTTTATGTCATGCAGGCTGTGTGAAAAGTCTAACACAATGTTCTGTTAGAATTTTTGCTCCTGCCAACTTAGCAATATGAGTAACAGGTAAGACTTTTTTTCCCAGTAATGGTTATGTAATGCTTGTCATGCAGGCTGTGTGACAGGTCTAGAAACTTTATTGCAATTGTATGATTGCATAATGTGTTAACTTGCGGTGCTTCTTGTCTTTGGTTGTATGTCCTGAACTATTCTGTTAATAGTTGGTGGGGGTAAGTGTGGTCTGGCCCGGGGGTTGGTGGAACACAGTGTGGTCTGGCCCGGGGCCAGGTGTGGTCTTGCACAGGGCCAGGTGGGGCTATGTGTGGTCTTGCCAGGGGCTAGGTGGGGCCAAGTGGGGGTTGCCCGGGGGTTGTTGGGGCCAAGTGGGGTCTGGCCCGGGGGTTGGTGGGGCAAAGTGGGGGGTTGCCCGGGGGTTGGTGGGGCCAAGTGGGGGTTGCCCAGGGCTTGGTAGGGCCAAGTGGGGGTTGCCCGGGGGTTGGTAGGGCCAAGTGGGGGGTTGCCCGGGGGTTGGTGGGGCCAAGTGGGGGTTGCCCGGGGGTTGGTGGGGCCAAGTGGGGTCTGGCCCGGGGGTAGGTGGGGCAAAGTGGGGGGTTGCCCAGGGGTTGGTGGGGCCAAGTGGGGTCTGTCCCGGGGGTAGGTGGGGCCAAGTGGGGGTTGCCCAGGGCTTGGTGGGGCCAAGTGGGGGTTGCCCGGGGGTTGTTGGGGCCAAGTGGGGTCTGGCCCAGGGGTTGGTGGGGACATGTGGGGGGTTGCCCGGGGGTTGGTGGGGCCAAGTAGGGTCTTGCCCAGGGGTTGATGGGGCCAGGTGGGGGTTTGCCTGGGGGTTGGTGGGGCCAGGTGGGGGTTGCCCGGGGGTTGGTGGGGCCATGTGGGGGTTGCCCGGGGGTTGGTGGGGCCAAGTGGGGGTTGCCCGGGGGTTGGTGGGGCCAAGTGGGGGTTGCCCAGGGCTTGGTAGGGCCAAGTGGGGGGTTGCCCGGGGGTTGGTGGGGCCAAGTAGGGTCTTGCCCAGGGGTTGATGGGGCCAAGTGGGGGGTTGCCCGGGGGTTGGTGGGGCCAAGTGGGGGTTGCCCGGGGGTTGGTGGGGCCAAGTGGGGTCTGGCCCGGGGGTAGGTGGGGCAAAGTGGGGGGTTGCCCGGGGGTTGGTGGGGCCAAGTGGGGTCTGTCCCGGGGGTAGGTGGGGCCAAGTGGGGGGTGACCCGGTGATTGGTGGGGCCAAGTGGGGGTTTGGCCCGGGGGTTGGTGGGGCCAAGTGGGGATTGCCCGGGGGTTGTTTGGGCCGAGTGGGGTCTGGCCCGGGGGTTGGTGGTGCCAAGTGGGGGTTGCCCGGAAGTTGGTGGAGCCAAGTGGGGTCTGGCCCTGGGGTAGGTGGGGCCATGTGGGGTCTGGCCCGGGGGTTGGTGGGGCAAATAGGGGGGTTGCCCGGGGGTTGGTGGGGCCAATTGGGTGTTGCCTGGGGGTTGGTGGGGCCAAGTGGGGTCTGGCCCGGGGCTTGGTGGGGCCAAATGGGGGGTTGCCCGGGGGTTGGAGGGGCCAAGTAGGGTCTTGCCCAGGGGTTGGAGGGGCCAAGTAGGGTCTTGCCCAGGGGTTGGTGGGGCCAAGTGGGGGTTGCCTAGGGATTGGTGGGGCAAAGTGGGGGGTTGATCGGGGGTTGGTGGGGACAATTGGGGGTTCCCCAGGGGTTGGTGGGGCCAAGTGGGGGTTGCCCGGGGGTTGGTGGGGCCAAGTTCGGGGTTGCCCGGGGGTTGGTTGTGCCAAGTGGGGGGTTGCCTAGGGATTGGTGGGGCAAAGTGGGGGGTTGATCGGGGGTTGGTGGGGACAATTGGGGGTTCCCCAGGGCATGGTGGGGCCAAGCGGGGGTTGCCCGGGGGTTGGTGGGGCCAAGTAGGGTCTTGCCCAGGGGTTGATGGGGCCAAGTGGGGGGTTGCCCGGGGGTTGGTGGGGCAAAGTGGGGGGTTGCCCGGGGGTTGGTGGGGCCAAGTAGGGTCTTGCCTAGGGGTAAATGGGGCCATTTGGGGGTTGCCTGGGGGTTGGTGGGGCAAAGTGGGGGTTGCCCGGGGGTCAATTGGGGGTTCCCCAGGGCATGGTGGGGCCAAGCGGGGGTTGCCCGGGGGTTGGTGGGGCCAAGTAGGGTCTTGCCCAGGGGTTGATGGGGCCAAGTGGGGGGTTGCCCGGGGGTTGGTGGGGCAAAGTGGGGGGTTGCCCGGGGGTTGGTGGGGCCAAGTAGGGTCTTGCCTAGGGGTAAATGGGGCCATTTGGGGGTTGCCTGGGGGTTGGTGGGGCAAAGGGGGGTTGCCCGGGGGTTGGTGGGGCCAATTGGGTGTTGCCTGGGGGTTTGTGGGGCCAAGTGGGGTCTGGCCCGGGGCTTGGTGGGGCCAAATGGGGGGTTGCCCGGGGGTTGGAGGGGCCAAGTAGGGTCTTGCCCAGGGGTTGGAGGGGCCAAGTAGGGTCTTGCCCAGGGGTTGGTGGGGCCAAGTGGGGGTTGCCCGGGGGTTGGTGGGGCCAAGTGGGGGGTTGCCCGGGGGTTGGTGGGGCCAAGTTCGGGGTTGCCCCGGAGGGAGTTTAAGTCTTATCGCACAAATACATCCACTGAGTTTGTTGTTTCCTGCTATTCTTCTCACTGAAGGTTCCCAAACAAAAACACACAAGCACCCATACTTCGCCACCCCATGTGAACGCTGTCATTTAATCAGTTTGGATAGCTGGCCGTAGAAGAAGACTCACTAGATAATTATTCATATGTGAATATTTGATTAGTCTTAGAAAAAAAGTCAACCACACACATTTTGTCCTTTTCTGATTACAACAGCACTCATCGGATTGGTCGTCAACATAGCCCTAGTTAGCAGCTAGTTAGCTGCTAGTCTTAGTGGAGATGCTTCAAAATGCACAACAACTGGAGCAATAACACAAAGTAGCTAAACAACAACATGACGTATAAAAACAATATGGAAGAAAATGATAGATCAATGCCACCATGTGCCAAACTACAAATGAAGACCAAAAAGTCACCAAATCACAAGTCAACACCACCAAGTCACCAAAGTACATGTGGAACCAACAAGTCACAAATCACTGGTCAAAATCACTCACCATTAGCTGCTGGGTGCTGTTGCTCTCTCTGGTTTAGCTAAGGTTGGTGGGGTTATGGTTGGTCCATGCCTTGTGGTTTGTTGATGATTTTAGTCCAGTGGTGGTGATGATGCGGTTTAGGTCCACATCAGAAGTGGAGTCCGGAGTTGATCGGGGGTTGGTGGGGACAATTGGGGGTTCCCCAGGGGTTGGTGGGGCCAAGTGGGGGTTGCCCGGGGGTTGGTGGGGCCAAGTTCGGGGTTGCCCGGGGGTTGGTTGTGCCAAGTGGGGGGTTGCCTAGGGATTGGTGGGGCAAAGTGGGGGGTTGATCGGGGGTTGGTGGGGACAATTGGGGGTTCCCCAGGGCATGGTGGGGCCAAGCGGGGGTTGCCCGGGGGTTGGTGGGGCCAAGTAGGGTCTTGCCCAGGGGTTGATGGGGCCAAGTGGGGGGTTGCCCGGGGGTTGGTGGGGCAAAGTGGGGGGTTGCCCGGGGGTTGGTGGGGCCAAGTAGGGTCTTGCCTAGGGGTAAATGGGGCCATTTGGGGGTTGCCTGGGGGTTGGTGGGGCAAAGGGGGGTTGCCCGGGGGTTGGTGGGGCCAATTGGGTGTTGCCTGGGGGTTTGTGGGGCCAAGTGGGGTCTGGCCCGGGGCTTGGTGGGGCCAAATGGGGGGTTGCCCGGGGGTTGGAGGGGCCAAGTAGGGTCTTGCCCAGGGGTTGGAGGGGCCAAGTAGGGTCTTGCCCAGGGGTTGGTGGGGCCAAGTGGGGGTTGCCCGGGGGTTGGTGGGGCCAAGTGGGGGGTTGCCCGGGGGTTGGTGGGGCCAAGTTCGGGGTTGCCCCGGAGGGAGTTTAAGTCTTATCGCACAAATACATCCACTGAGTTTGTTGTTTCCTGCTATTCTTCTCACTGAAGGTTCCCAAACAAAAACACACAAGCACCCATACTTCGCCACCCCATGTGAACGCTGTCATTTAATCAGTTTGGATAGCTGGCCGTAGAAGAAGACTCACTAGATAATTATTCATATGTGAATATTTGATTAGTCTTAGAAAAAAAGTCAACCACACACATTTTGTCCTTTTCTGATTACAACAGCACTCATCGGATTGGTCGTCAACATAGCCCTAGTTAGCAGCTAGTTAGCTGCTAGTCTTAGTGGAGATGCTTCAAAATGCACAACAACTGGAGCAATAACACAAAGTAGCTAAACAACAACATGACGTATAAAAACAATATGGAAGAAAATGATAG